CAAAATGGGGGAGATATACGCGGCTTAGCTTATGCCAGTGAGTTGTAGGAAATGGTCAAATTGTTCAGTTCGGAGAGGTTTGGTCAGGCCGTCTGCTGCTTGTTCTTTGGTAGGGCAGGCCTGGAGTTTAACAATACCGTCTTGGATCTTCTCCCGAACGTAATGGTAACGTATATCGATGTGTTTGGATCTCTTGGTGGTGAGCTCAGCTTCAGCCATGGCGTGTGCACCTTGATTATCGATATGGAGAGTAATTGGCGGGCATTCAGTAGGGAGTACGTTGAGCTCATTGATGAGGTTCCGGAGCCAAAGGGCATCTCGGCTGGCTTCACTTAGAGCCATATACTCAGCTTCGTTGGAGCTAAGTGCAACGGACGTTTGCTTGCGGCTTTTCCAGGCAATTGGGGCCCCGGCAAGCAGAAATATATATCCAGATACTGACCGGCGATTGCCTGTCAGTTGACCACCCCAATCAGAATCAGTATAACATCTGGGCATGAGGAGGTCAGATGTAATGGGTTCCGTGGCCTTATGGTAGGTGATTTGTCGGTTAATGGAGCCTTTAAGGTAGCGTATAGCGTGTATAAGGGCACGCCATGCCTTTTGGGTAGGTTTGGCGTGATATTGGGATAGTACGCCAACTGTCCGGCTAAGATCAGGTCGGGTTTTGGTGGCTAGCCAAGTAAGGCAGCCTACACCACGTTGATATTCTTTGATGTTCACTGTAGGGTCTGGGTCATCATCAATTATTAAACTAGGATCCATGGGGATCCCAACAGGGTGTGCTTGTGCTTGGCCAAAAGAGGCAACAACGTCTTCAGCATAATTGGCCTGGGAGAGAGTATATGTGGTCTTGGATTGAGAGGTGGCCATGCCAAGGTATTTGGTAGAGTTTCCAACTTCTTTTATGTCAAATTTAGCAGAAAGAGACTCCATAAACCAAGTGGCATCATTCTCATGCTTAGCATAGACTTTGAAGTCATCCACATGGGTAGTCACATAGAGTTGGGTCCGGGTGGTATGGATCCAGAGACCAGAGTCGTATTCGGAGCTTTTGAAGCCAATTTGTCGTAAGAAAGCATTTAGTGTATCATACCAGATACGGGCAGATGGGATCAGTCCATAGAGGGACTGGCGGAGTTCACAAACCAGGTCTCCAGAGCCTTCTTTGAATCCCTGAACTTGGGTCATAAAGACACGTTTATCTGTGGGCATTTTTCCATTTAGGAAAGCAAGGATGGCATCTGCCTTTCGAGTATGCCAGCCAAGTAGAGTGGCCAGTGCCGTAAGGGTTCTAGTGGTATTTTCATCTACCACTGGGGCGTATGATTCCATGAAGTCCTTGTCAAGTAGATTTCCACGGATCACCCAGCGAGCTTTAGCTTGGTAGTCCCTTGTAATAGGGGTACCAGGGATTTCTTTCTTTTTGTATACCCACCGGCCAGGGATGACCTTGGTCCCTGGTGGTAGGTCAGAGCGGCGGATAAGTTGCCAGCAGCCTTTTTCTTTGAGTTGGTTGACTTCTTTTTGCATGGCTGCTTGCCACTTGGTGGCATCAGGATGAGATATAGCCTGCTTATAGGAAGTAGGCGTGTCATCTTCAGACGAAGGAGTAGTTGAAGTGGTGAGATAGGCTAGGGACATGCCTTTGGCGGGTCGAAGCCATATTTCCTGGTCTTCATCTTCAACAGGTTGGTTTGTATCTTCTTTATTAGGAGTACTTGGATCTTCAGGAACAGTAGCTTGTGGAGGTGTAGTTGTGGGATCCTCATATTCTTCATCAAATATAGTGTCATTGGTTGAAAAAAATGGCGTCTGTTTTAGGGTCCCACACTCTGTATTGTTGGCTACTGATTTGGCCGATCATGAAGCAGCATTTAGAGTGGGAATCGAACTTGTTTATAGGCTTATCTGAGCCATGTCGATGAACCCAGACAGGGCAGCCCCAACGTCGGTATTTGTTGATACTAGTTGGTGAGTTGGTCCAGGCAGCCAGAGGCGATTTATATGGGCTTGGGCTGATTTTTGTGTTAGTATTGACCCCCCCAGGGATAGGTGAATTGAATAGGATTGTGGATGTTGGGAGGCGGTTTGTTATATCTGATGCATATTTTAAAGCATCAACCCAAAATCGCTGTGGTATATGGGGAGCGTCAAGCATTAATGTCCGAGCACGGTCAAAGAGTATGCGTATGCTGCGCTCACTGACACCGTTTTGCCAAGGGGAATATGGAGAACTTGGTTGCCATTCGATGCCTTCCTGACGGTAGGTTTTCTGCCATTCAGCTGAACAGAATTCATTGTCAGAGACAATATAGGCTGGGGCAGGGAAATGGTGATTCTTCATCTGTTGTAGCCAACCCCGAAATGCATCAATTGCAGCAGATCTTTCAGTTAGGTAGTGGACCCAACGGTAACGTGTAGCGTCATCAGTAATAAGCATCACATATTTGGCTCCTGTACGTGAAGGTAGAGGCATATCTAGCTTCTCTATATCTAGTGTTCGGCCGCCACCAGCAAGGTCTATGTGGACTCGGGCTAGTGGTGCAGTCATACGGGATCTTGGTGTTTTGCTGTATTGGCGAGTTTGCTTGCCCTGGATGCAGGCTTCACAAAGTGGTAGTTCTTTGGAACCTTTGATTTCAATGTCTGATGTAGGATCTGCGGCAAGGCGTAAAAGATCCTGCTGGTTTAAATGGCATAGACGGCGATGCCATGTCATAATTGGTAGAGCTGTTTTGGAGCTCTTAGTCTTTGGGGATGTTGTAGGTTTCTTTCTGGGAGGGTCCCCTGGTCGGTTGGCCTCTTTGCCAGACCGGGTGGTGACAAAGGCATAGGAGCTCTCGTCGGGAGAAATGCAATCTGATAGGATGAATACATTGTTGGTATTCAAAATGGCTTCAAATTCTGCACCAGAAGAGGTTGTGATTTGTGCTACTTGAGAGCTGGAAGGGAATTCGATACGAAAACCTTGTTTGAGAAGCATTCCCATGGAGATTAAGTTGGAATTGAAGGATGGAACATGTCGTACATCCCTAAGGATCAAGGATCCGGTTCCAATATCAATGACGACGGTGCCAATACCATGAGGTTTGGAAATCTTCCCTTGAGCATCTTCAATATAATCCGCTGGAGTAAGGTCCTCCTTTCTCAATGTTTTATAGGACGTGAAGAAAGCTTGATGGGGTGTAACATGGAATGAAGCACAGCTATCAAGATACCATGAAGCTTGGAGAGATTGGGCTGATTTAGCAATGGCTGTTTTTGCAGCTGAAGAAGTCCATGGTACCAGTTCATTGGTTTCTGCTTCAGAGAATGAAGCAGTGGAAGATTCTTTAGCAGTGTGTAAAGCACGAATAGCTTCAATAGTATTTTTATTGGCTCGGCGCCAATGCTCAGAGGCTTTCTCAGGGTTCTTGTAGAGGCAAGGCATTGGGTGGAAATGACCACACCAATCACAACGGGTCTTTGGTTTGCGTGAGTCCTGGTCCTGAGGTTTATATTTAGTGTTGGAACTTGAGGCGGAAGAGCTAGCAATGGGGTTAGATGCTTGTTTGGAATAGCTTCGTCCGGATAGATTCTCTCGTCGTCCTCCGTGTTGGGAGCGGGATTCACGGGCTTGGGTGCCCATACGGATAGAGAGTTGAGCTTGAATGGTAGGTAGGTCCAGATTGATGACAGGGCCTTGTCCAGTTGAGTATACTTCATCAAGTTTACTCTTAATGAATGCTTTGTTCCATTCGCGGAGGCCTATAAAAAATAGGTCGTGAATAAGGTTGTCAAATGATGCTTCTTTTATAGCATGAAGGCGGTCTACTATCCTAGTAAACGCAGATTGGTAGGATAGGTAGTCATTGTCTTTTATATAGAGCTCCTTGAGCTCTTTTATGAGAAGCATTCGTTCTTCACCAGTAGAACGTCCGAAAAAGGTAGCAGTTCGGTCCCATAAACCATGGGCTGATAGGTCATATGTGTTGCCCAATTTGTCAATGGCTTGGGCAGTCATAGCATGAAGCATTCGGGCTCTCATGACAGTGGCTTTGCAATGCCATACTTCAGCATCATAAGCTGAGTATCCTACTGGAGGTATATCCTGATGCAAGACTGTACTAGCGTTCAGGACATTGGCTTCTCTTTGAATGGCTGAACTCCAGAGGTCGTAATTATCATGAGACAGTGTGATTCGGCATCGGTCTGGTAGGAGCGCTTTAACTTGAGCTTGTACATGATCAAAAGGATCTTTTTGTACTGGATTTGAGGCTGGAATAGCCGTATTATTTTGAATATGATTGTAGGGAGTAGCGTTATGCCGGACTGTAGGAGTGGAGGATTGGGATTGATGGTGTTCAAGGGCATTAAAACGAGTCATGAACTGGTCCATCTGCTTCTGCATTTGTTCCTGCATTTGTTCCTGCATCTGCTGGAACAGAGCTGTGATGTCTGGTGTGGATGCCATGGTGTTGGCTGTAGTAGAGCTTTGAGCTCTAGGGGCAGTTGGGGTGTCCATTTCTTCAGAGATTACTGAGGAGGCGGAGGAGCCTATATCTGATGAAGGATCTGTGGATTCTGGCTGACGACGGTGACGTCTAGCGGTGGTAGGGGGCGTTCGAGGCACCACCATTTTGGATGGGATCGATCGAAGGATCCTGGGGTTCAGGGGCCGATTGTTGGCGGTCCTGGTGTTCAGAGTCGCTTAGAAGCGCTCGATTTCTGGTTTGACCAATGAGAGGTCACAATTTAGCCTATCTGAAAGGCTTTTTTTTAAGCTCAATATCGTAGAGCTAAAACGGGCTCATAACCTAATGGATAGGCGCATGTATGGTCATATTACTAGGTAGGCCTGCCTGTGCCGTGAGATAGGTAGCGAGGGCGGTCTAGGACGGCAGAACCTCACGTGTACTAACAGGGAGGCCGCGGGTCACGTGTGCCACGTGATCCGCCGAGTGACGTTAAATAGTAATCAAATCAAATCAAAACAGACAACTCCGGCTGCCCTCGTCGCCCACGCCCCCTCGCAGCAACAACGACAACGACAATCGAATCCTCAACTATCGCTCATGGAGTAGGCTTGCATAGTCTTTTCTTTATCGAATTTTTTTCGAGTTCGCTCTTTACATATTCGACCGTCCACCGTCGCTCAGACCGCGTTGTTTACATTGTCATGGCCGCTCCCGGCGCAAGGGTGCTGAAGCCAGTCGGCTCCGCAACATGGATCTCAACAGAAAAGGAGAATGCTATGAACCTGGTGGATCAAGAGATGGAAGAAGTGGAATATCCCGTCCGCAATGAAATGGAGTGGTTAAACGAACACATGGCTGAGATCTTCTCTAGCAGCCATTTGTCAGTTGCGCCCATTATTCCAACTACAAGAGAGAAGCTTTTTTCATGCTGACTGTGTCTAAGCAATCTTACCGACGCCTTCAAGACCCCTGGAAAACTGCGCGGTAAGACACCTAGAACAGCGCGGAAAAGGAATGCGGATGAAACTCGAATGGTCAGTTCCCCCACCCTTTTGTTCACTCACGCCTTTGGCTGTTTGGATTAACACCATCTGCAGCCCTTGAGTGAAATATTTTTCTCTCACAACCAGATGGAAGCGAATTCGAATGCTAGTCCCATGAATCTTCGCTCAATCGCACAACCAATCGCCACCACAACCACAACTCCTGCAGCGCCAACTCCGATAACCAAAAGTCCAGCAGAGGCCCAGTCGCGCCCTCAATATCCCGACCTTACTAAAAACCTAAACTCCTTTTCGCAATATAATACTGATTCCGGTTACCACGGTATGCCGGATGATGGCACTGAAATTGCGACCTCCCAGGCGCAGCCCGAGTCTCAAACGTCGACTCAGCCTTTGGGAGAGATGTCTCCCGCTGCGGCGCCACATGCGCAAACAAGTCGTGCATCGATCAATCGCCGGACAACAGAAGATTCCTTTCACTCAGCGCAGGAGGATATTCGTCTTCGTGGGCAGACTGTAGAGCCAATGGACGTTGATCCTACACCGAACCAGGATGCTGATGTGCAGCCTCCGAAGTCTCAATTGGAAGAACCCGAAAACTATGTATCTGCCAAGTCAAAAACTGAAATTCAAACGACGAAGCCTGAACCGACAGAGCGCGTACCAGCTGGTCCTGGGTATGAGTCCACGGAGTCAGATCCTAAACCTGCAGATCCAGAACATACACCAGCACATAATTCTACACAACCTAAATACAAACCAACAAATTCAGATCATAAGACAATGCCTAATCCAGTTCAAGAATACGGCTCTAAACAAGAACGAAAACCTGTGCTAGATGAGAAATCGTCTCCGAAGACTCAGGCGGCCAAGGATGACGAGTCTGGAGATGAAATGGCGGACGCTGGAAAAGAAGATACAGCTCTTGATACTCTTGATGACATTGGCTCTCCTTCAGAAGGTTCCACACCTGAACCAGTCCCTGTCCGAAAAAGCAGCTTGACTTTCGCATCACTTCCCGCACGAGATCCCCTACCAACGAAGAAGAGCCTTGGTGGTGCGAGAATCTCCAGGACAAGTCATGTGAATCCGCTCAATGCTGGCCGTCCTAGTTACCTTGGAAGACAGACTGGAGGACACAGATTGACTCAGTCCGTGCGGGAGGATGATACATTGCATGGCGAGAAAATGGATGTCGACAATGAAGAGGGCGTCTCGCACACGAACACCGACGACGACAATAGAGCCAGCCAAATGCACAGCAAATCATCTACTCAGAGGCTTCATGAAAAGATCAGTATGCTCGGCAAGCTCCCGCCGTCACGGCCAACGAAGTCAATCCCGTCTGTTACTGGCTTGTCCTCTACCCAGGTGACTTACCCCGAATTGTCATCGACGAAGGTAGAGCAGAAGGTGGAAATGCCAATCCAGAAATCCCATGAGGTCCCGCCTGTCAATTCTGCGCCGGCTCAGAATGATGACCGCGTCAAGCCCCTGGATACCCCTCATACTCCTCGTCATTTCCATTTTCATAGGAGCCGTACTGCCGATATCGTGGAGAAGGATACGTTGAAAACAATGGAGGCTAGAGACTCCCCAGCAAATAGACCTACGACCTCGAACGATATTCAACGGCCAAGAGCAAATACTGCTATGTCATCTTATGAAAGGCCCACAACTCCATTACTCTCGACGCCACGGCAATATGGTCATCAAAAAAGCCCGTCAGTGTCTAATTTAGCTAGCGAATCCCCCACTCCTGGAGGGTCGCCTCGGCGATACGAAGGCCCATTGAGCTCATCTAAGTTTAAACTTCAATCCCTCATGAAGTCTGCTAAGGGGTTGTTTACAAGCAGCGCCAGTGTTTCCGCTAATGCAAGAACGGCGACTTTATCTCCCACTCCCTCACGGGAAGAACACCGTAACCGTGTGAACGCCCAAACCCATGTCCCTGAGGAAACCCAGAGGTCGCCATCAGTCCAGCGTTCGAGTCCCCCAAGGCAAGAAGATGGTCGCCGAACGCGAAGCTCGACAGAAAGAGAAGAAAAGAGACGGCAGAAGGAACTTGAAGATCACCGACGGGAAGAAGAACGTTTGGAAAAACTTAGAGAACAGGAAATGGAAAGGCACAGGGCCGCTCAGGAGGCAGAGGAACGTCAACGTGAACGTGAACGTGAGATGTCAGCACATGTTCCCACGACCATACCTAATTCCAAGAAGGTGGCCCAGCCGCTGCGACAAGCGTCTAAAGAACCGGAACCTGATCATGATGCTGGCTCGAAACATAACGTTGCTCCTATTCCAAACCAGCAAGTGCGGAAGCCAGCAGACCGTCGTCCCGTTAAGCCTACACGTGAGCCTGTTCAAAAGTCACAGCCGCAGCCGGTTTCCATTCGCGTGGGGAGCGCACTTTCTCGTCAGATTCCTCTGGCGTCAGCTGCGTTCTCTTCAAGCGTTCAAGATTCAAACCCTGCGGCGCCGACCCCTGGTCCTGCCTCTACTTCGAAGCCGTCAACAATCAAGAAAAAGCCTAGCAACGCATTGTTACAGACAACTTCTTCAACTAGCAGCTTCAAGAGCACAATCTCCAGTCAGTCACAACGCAAAGCTCAGCTGGCAAACGAACGCAAAAAGGAACAGGAGGAACGTGAGGCAAGACGGAGGGAAGAGCAGAAACGCGAACTAGCACGCAAACGAACTGCTCAACAGCAACAACAAGAAGAAGCCCGCCGTCGAGAGCGGGAGCGTCTTGGAGAGGATCCTAGGCGGGCTGCCCAGATGCAGGAGATAGAGAAACGAAGGTTGATGAATGCGAGGAAATTAGAAAGGCCGGGGAGCCAGCAACGCTCTCATGAACTGGTAAGCCCCGGAAATTCGAAATAGTATACCAGATTTGCTGACTGGTGCACGTTGTAGGCTTCGATGATCCAACATGAGAAGGTGGCCCCAACGCCGTCACAGCGCGGAGATCTAGCTCCTCCCTCCAGGCCAACTTCACGTCTTGGTTCCATTCAGTCGTTTAGCCGACCGATTCACACTCCAGCACCAAATCCGGCCAAGCCACCAAAAAGACGTCTGGATGAAGAAACCGATTCTCGTCCCGCAGCACCGAAGTCCAGCATCATACATCCCTCTGGTGAATCAAAGCGAAGGAAGACAGAGGATGAACATCAGAACATGGTCCCTATCCGACCGACGATGGCCCCGCCTATTCGCCAATCCAACATCCGCAAGGTGAGATGCTAGCACGTAGTCTTTCCATCAAATTCCATTGTCACTGACAGAAACCATAGGAGCCTTCTAAGCCTTCGCTATTCGGTCATGGCCAGCATTCCGTCTCACATCAGCTTGGTCCGTCGGTTCTCAAGGCTGCACCGCATACTGGTCCGACTCAACCTCAGAGACCTGCACACCCGTTGGACATGGCGAAGTACACTAGTGGTAAGATTCCGTTTGCCGAGCCCTCGAACGCGCCGGCCCCTCAGCAGCATACTAGCTCCAGTTCCCAACGCGTACCGGCAAAAGCATCGCCGAAGTATCCTAACGGTGAAAACATCAAACTTCCCGAAATCCCGACAGATAGTGAGGAAGAAGATTCGGAGACTGAAATCATGCCCGTTCCAAAATGGGCTCAACCGAAGGAACTTGAGGCTATCCTCCGCCAGCAAGATGGAATGGAGACTGAATCAATCTTCGGACCAATCGCGCCGTTTTCCCTCGAGGACACCTTCAAGTCCGATAAGAGGATCAAGAAGTTTCGGGAACGAACCAGTAGCGCTAATTGGTCTGGCGCTGATGGGTTGACGCAGGAAGAGGTCCGGCGAGATCTCGCCGAACGGCAGCGACTGAGACTTAATGGGGGCTGGAGTATGCATACTATGGGCCAGTGACATTTGAATCTATTGGTGTGTGAAAAATGCGATATATTTTTTAGGCGTACTGATATATTGTTTGTTTGTTCCTGTATCTGTGTTATCGTCCCTTGGTTACTAGGGCTAATGCTGGGTGTTGATGTTTGGGCTTGGCGTTATATGGGTTTAAGTGCTCCATGTGCATATACGTCTATTCGTCAGTTCTGGTTATTTGCATTGCATATAAATACTTGCCGAGCGGATTTATGATTCAGTTTGTGTATTTGTATTCGTACAGATGGATGAGAGGCTGTCCATGGACAACTATCTTTTTCAGGCCTTCTTACATCTGCTTCGTTCCATGTCCAGCCTCCCCTGAAGCAGGGGTTTTAATTAATTGTCTTTGGCCTTTAACTTCCTCGTCGGTGATAAGTCCATTCAGTCTCGTCTTTCTGGACTCCGGGACGTACATCTTTCGTCCGGCGACACCAAGTCTGCCTCAAAGCCGGGCTCATTCCACCGTGTATGAATGTTCCCATGTTACTATGTAACTTTATGTTGCAGTATGCAGTATCCTAGGTGATACGGTGCAGTTGGTCGGTGTGGGATTCTGAAAGACATCTGTGGTATGTATTTGTCTAGCCTCTATGTAATTATATGATGCGGATATATATATACGAGGTCATTTTTTTCTACGCCGTGCTTTCACTGATACCGGTACCGTGTAAGGACGAAATACCATGCAGGAATTGTACCAAAAATGCCAATGTTCAAAACACTAAGGTCCGGTTGGAAGTGGACCAGGACCAAGATTATTCATTCATTGCCGGCCGACATCTTCGTACGGCAGGGAATAATCATCGAAGGGGGGAAAAAAAAAACAACATCAAGAAAAAGAAATAAAGAAGAAAATAGAAAAAAAGAAGGTTTAATGTTAGATGCATCATCCGCGAATCGAACGCGGGCCTCATCGATGGCAACGATGAATTCTACCACTAGACCAATGATGCTCTTGTTGTTGAAGTTTTTACTTTTACTTGATTTATCAGAAGTTTAATGTTTCAAGCCGAATTCGAAGTTCAAATGGGTATGGGCATATCGACCAAACAGAAACGCACTCGATGAATGGTAAATGCAGGTCTAGATAATGGATGCTCTATATTCTATCTTATCTTATCCTATCTTACCATATCCCATCCACATTTTTATTTCCATTGTCATAAAGTACAACGCAAGTCGTATCAGTAATAATAACAAGAAGTCGGCACTGTCTAGTGTCTATCTTTAATCATCCAGGTCCGGCTCGATATCGCTTCCGCCCTCGTAACCCTCCTGCATCGCGTCGGGGTCAGGAACGCCGTCCGATGCAGACCCGGCCTTATCATAGGAGATCGTTCTCCATCCTGCGGGTGTTGATGGGTCCTTGATGTATTCTGACATGGGGAACTGGAGTAGGAAATCACGTGTTAGTTATCCAGACAAGTAGTACATGGAATGGTTCATCCCCGCTAGAAGGTACCCACGTAGTGATCATTCTTTTTCATTGTTACAACCCATGGCACGTTGTCAAATGTGACGGCGCGCAATCGGAAGTATGTGTTGTCAGGGATCTTGCTGACTTCTTTCACAAAGCTACTAAGATCAGGCGTGGAAACGCCATTTACTGCAGTGATAAAGTTGGTTGGTGACAACCCGTACTGGTAGGCAGGTGATCCGCGTCCCTGTTTCAAATTTCAATCGTCAGTTAGGGTAAACGAGGAGGATGAAGGTATCAGATATAACCTACCCTAGCGCTAACGTAGACCTCGCTGTGGAGTTTGGAAATTTGCTGCCTGACGGCGTGATGCGGTTTTTGCAACACTGCACCGCAGAAAACAACTGCATGGTCCGTCTCCAAATCCTCAGTAGGTACCGTTGGCACCTGGACGCGCATCTCCTGCCCGTTACGCACAATCAGCGCATCAAGCATCTCCTTCTCATACATAACGTCCAGCTCAGAGACGCGGGTGATAAGCTGACCGTCCAGGGTTAGGATAATATCGCCGTCCTTCAGACCGTCTACCTCAGACGTAAAGGATGGCGGTGGACAATCGACTTTCCGTACCATGAAGAGCTGGTGCCGTGACGGATTAGCCTCAGCTACCTTCTGGATCCACTCATCCGACACGCCCATGATCCGAGCCTGGCTCATCTGGACAACGTAGCTCTCCAAGTTCAGAATCCGCAGATTAGGGATGATCCCTTCCTGGATTTTGGAGACTACAGGCAGCAGTGATGGAGTAGCAAAGCCGAGATGGTACTCGATATCCTTGTGACCGCTTGCGGTTCGCTCACCAAGATAGTTCAGCCATAGAGCTTGTACGATACCGTCCTCGCCGATCAGAACACCATTCGTACACTGTCCACTAAGCCCAGTATCCACGGTGATGGCATCCAGATTGATTGCACGGTATCGTGGCGCCGCAGCGTTTGCTGGAATAGACACCGTGGTGATATCAGTGACGGCGGTCTTGGCCACCACTATCCGGAGATTCTGGTTGAACCCGACAAAAAGGGTATCTTGTCCCTGCTTAATGGTTTCCGTACTAAGCCTGGCGCTCTTGACCGGAGCCTGCACGAGACTGGAGTCATACTGAATGATGGTGTAGTTCTGGAGGGGATGCATGAACACGACCTTGGCATCCACAATCACCGAGTCGGCCACAGTAACGCTAATATCGCACAGGTCGTAAGGCACAATCGCTCTTGACACGATAACCAGACCTCTTTCAGCATTGATCACTAAGCCAAAACCAGTCTTCTTTGCTTGCGGAAATCCATCGAGCTTCAACGGCATGATACAAGATACCCGTACAAAGCTGCGAACAATTTCCGCGGCGGCGGGCTGGCTCACACCGTCTAGTTGAATGAAATCGGCCTTCCTGGGAACCGGGGGTTCGGCCCGGATGGGTTCACCAATATCAGAAAAGTCCCAAAGACCGGTGTCGTCATTCCGGACGGCCAAGCGCATCTTTGAATGCCAGTGGCGATCGATATATACAATGCTAGTGCCTCGGGTGTGAAGATCCCTGATATGTCGGTATGTAACTACGATCCTAGAGCGATCTGCGTTGTGTAAGTATGCAAACCGTTGCTATGGGGCAAGGGACAAAAACCTACCAGGTATCGTCTTCATCACTTCGACGAATTCATCTAGATCCCGAGTCGGCCGTTTATCGACCGTATCGATGATCCACCCAGAGATTGTGTTTTCCAGTTTGAATGAGCCGGCAGCCTCGCAGAGGTAAACACCACGCGTGGCGATGGCATACAACCTGGCCTGCTGATATGACAGATTGTGGAATGTTCCCCCGGCCACCATAACAAAGCGATCTGGAGTAATGGCATGAAGGTCACCCACCTGGCAATCGACCTCAACGTCTTGACCTCCTCTTAGGACCAGTAGTCGAACAGTCTGCCCAACACTTGAGTCGAGGATATCGTCTAGCCTCACAAATTGCGTAAGCAGTTCCCCATTAACCTGCAGAAGGACATCCCCTTCTTGCAGCTTTCCATCAGCGGGTCCTTCTGGAAGGATGATGTCGGCCACAAGCAAACCGGTCTCCTTGGGGGCTTTCTCGCGAACGGTCGCCTCCCATTCCGGTGTCAGTCCAAGACGGCGACATTCGTCAAATGGTTTCAGTAACCACTGGGTCTGTATGGTGCCCCGGGTAACTGGTTCGCCCCGGCGGATACAATCTAATGCTCGAAGAGGGCGGTCCAGAGGTAAGAAGTAATCCGTAGCAGCGCCATCAGCTCGGCCGCCAGCCTGGAGAGCAATCGCATAACCTCCAACATTGACCACAGGACTTCCCGAACTGCCACCACTGGCTGCTGCAGCGGCTTGGATGTAATTCGTGTTGAAGTCGCTATATCCGTCGCCGTACTCTGGTGCATTCCTGTCTAGCCTACTGATTACACCCGACAAAATGCTCAGTTTCTCTCCAGCATCGTTACCTACCACTCGAATTTCGGTGCCCACACGAGCAGCATCCGGTTGGAGTTTGAGTTCGGTCAATTTCATGTACCGAATGGCCGCAGGATCAAACTTGAGGAAGCCAAAGTCGTGCACGGGATCTCGGTACACGGGGCGGACATCACACTGTGAACAGGGAGTAACGCAGAGTCAGAACCACAAGATTCTCCGTAAGAAAAGACGAATAAACAACCCAGAATACTTACTTCCTCATGATTATCAAAAACACAATAACCCCAAAACGGGCCGGCGCAGACGACATGACGATTCGTCAAGATATAGCCCCGCTCCGCGTCAACCACGAAACCTGTAGCCTGACTGCACATGGACAAATCCGTGTCAAAGGAGCAGGTCTGACAAAAATGGATAGACACCACACTCTTCACCACGGTCTCCAGAGTGGCCTGCCACTCAGGTGAGTCGGAGGTGGTGCCAACAGGCAACAGACAGCCTGCGTCTTCATTGCCCTCTAGATCGTAGTCAGCTCCATTTGACGTTGCCGCATCCTCTGGTATATGCGCCGCAGAATCCTCGGGTCTGACATGTTTCACCGGACGCTCCGAGGCAGAGGCAACAGAACTGCGTTTCCGCTTTGTACCGTTCATGTCCATGGCCGAATATGTGGGAGAGGCTCCAGAGAAGAGACAGCTATGACGGGAGCGAGAATCAAAGCACGGAACAAGTGCAGAAAATTGTCTGACAAAAGCAGAAGCCTGGAGAGAAGAGTCGCCGGCTGGCTGTGAGGCTGGCTGCCGCGCGAGATCCTTACGCAGCTGCGTCACTGGAGGGTCAGAGAGAAGAGTTGTAGCGCTCGACACAACAGCTAGATGAGCGGCGGAGGACCGGATAGTATACGGAATTCGGGAGGAGACAAGGGAGATCGAAGACGAGTGATAGGCGCGTAGAGCGGCTTGAGAGAAGGGACAACAAGAGGGCGGCCGTGGTGCAGCGGACGAAGCAGTAGAAGTAGCAACAAAGAGGCCCTTTCTGCACCAAAAAAGCGGGGCAGATGACATTCACAAAGGCCTCCTGACCTCCAGCCCGGAGAACAACGTATCTTTACCCGTTGGCTCAGAGGAAAAAAGAGGCTGGAGGAGAGTGTGCAGGCATCGGCACAAAGAACGTCAACGAAGAGCTTTGCGGACCACGGGCAAAGCTTTGACAGCAGGCGGTGAATTGGCACGCGTCTTCTTTTACTCTGGCCACAAAGCCTTCAAATTGAATGCATTTCCCTGGGCGAACATGGGCGGATTTTCGCAGCTGGACGGATCAAGGCTGGTGTTTAATCCTGGGGCATCTTTGCATTGGAAAGAAGCGTGGTTGCTGTTGCGTCGTATATTGCGGAGGCTATGATCTATGCATACTTTCCAACACATGATACTATCTTCTCTGCTAAAGAGGCCCAGGGCAAACAGTTCTTAGTATTGCAACTTAAAAGTACAGTATTATTCACATCGAGGCTTTTTTTTTGCTTCATATGCGCCATGAGGAGCGCCCCCCCGCCCCCCGGAGGATCCTCCAACATGTATATTATATCTTACATAGGACAACTCATTCATTTCCCCTTCATTTATTCAGTATTCGAATTGTACCATTAGTAGGCCCTGGGCTTGCATGGTTGCCCTTGGGGTTCATCACAACCATCTGCTCAAGATGATCTTCCCTGAAGGACGACACAGACAGCTCAAGAAGACACGGTCAGCCTGCAGGCCCAACATGAAAGTGGTTTCCAAGGAATCTTCCTTATACCTGTTCTGCGTGACCTTTCCATGCCATTCAATAGCGGCTGCTCACTGTACCAGTGTCAGAGGCAGATTATATGTGTGCCGGATGAGTCCATCAGAGAGAAAGGGCAAGTCTGACGCGCCGCAAAGCACGAAAAAAGAAAACCCTATCATGAAGCAGCAAAAGAGCCTCTCGCCATAGAGGCTATCCAACTTGAGTCTCAGGTCGCGGACCCCAAAGCCGACGATGGGCTGGGCCGACCGTTTCCTTGCGCAACTTGCAAGCCAGGCTTGGATTGCGGGGTACCTACAGCTGCTCTATTTGCACGCGGAAACAATTCGACGAGCTTTCCATATATTTCATTCAGATGAGGGGCGTTCGGAGGGGGAGTCATGATGGCTGGAGCTGTCGGGGGCACGCCGCCCGATTTCTTGGCCCGGTCTGCAATGGATGCTAAGTAGGCAAGATTTGCCTGCAATCGCCGCATGCACTCAATATATTCCTGGCTGGGCTTTTGCCCTGAACCCTTGGGCGCCTCGGTGGTCTGTTCTGTTGTAGGCGACGGATTCGTTTCTTGACCGGGTTGTGAAGGAGGAGCACCAGCCTTGCCAGCTGCCTGAAGGTTAATGACCTCCTGCAGCAGCATCGAGTTGATATCAAGCAAAGTTGAGACACGAGACTTCTCTCGAGCTGCCACCTGAGCCTGTACGGCTGCCTGGGCGGCAAGCTGTGCACCGTTCAACTGTTGATTTGGCCGTTGTTGAGTCGGGAGTACGTTATTCGCCGAGACCGAAGTCATGTTCGAGGGGAAGGAAGGCGTTCCAGTCGCAGGTACATTCAACGGCGTAGCACTTTGCGGTTGCGAGAATTGATTCATAGTCGTGGGGATGGAGGGCTGAGCGAAAGGAGCAGAGAAGTTGACGTTGGTATTAGCTAGGCAAACGACAGTACAATTCAAGTCAGCCACTCGTCCAATCGTAAATATGTCTTGCTGATTATGCAGGCGTTTGGCACGAGGCAGATGCGTGCTCGACCGCGCCACAATTACTCGAACGTAGGGTTCTTCGCCCACGAGTCGAATATGGATAAAAATAAGACCAAGGAAAGCAAGGGTGATGTGCTGTTAACATACCGGACGATTGGGGTAAGCCTGACGGCATCATAGCTCCACCTGAGCCGACTGGCTGCGTTATTGGCGTAGCGCCGAAAGAGAACCGTTGGTGTTGCTGTTGCTGTGCAAGGTGCTGCTGTTGGTCATGCGGTATCTTCCCCGGCGGGTACTGGGGGGTCGCGTTCGGATAAAAGGGGAGCTGTTGGCTCTGATTTGAGACGGGATAAGCAGGCTGGGATGAGAGCATGAGGTTGGGGTCCTGCTGCAAAGGACTAGGACTGAGGGGAGGGTTTCCAAAAGTGTTGAGATCCATCATTATTCGCCCAAAAAAAAGTGCACTGTCGATCGCTATTTTGAGCCTTTTATTCGTATGACACGCTGTCTTCACCCGTTTTCCCTTTCTCTCTTCTTTTTTTTTTCCTCTCCGGGAATTATTACGACTCCGCACGGACTGGGGACGAGACTTGCCAGGAGGACGCGAGGCGTGGTGAGTGGCGGCAGATCCGATACTTTAAAGACTGTGGCTGGTATTCCTCCCCTTTCTTCTTGGTTTTCCTTTTATCTAGCCTGGTCTTGGCCGACAAGGAGGCGCGCGAGACGTCAGAATCGTGAATCGTCACTGGAGAACGGACGTCTTCCGGATGGGAAACAATAGTATGCAGTGGACAGGAGAAGCGGCAGTTGGTGAGACCCCGGATAATAATAATAATGGTGATTGGCTGCGAATAGCGGGTTTTATGGGCGATCAAACCTCGAATGAGGAGTAGCAAGAACTTGGTTTCGTCTGGACAGGAGGAGGATAGAACTCTGAAGCGGACACGAAGCTGAAACGTCTTCGTTCTATTGGACCCAGGGCGATCAGGCTATCGGCGGTGGAGATCAACCTGGCGCCAACTGCCAGCCACGCAGGGCTTGACTCGAGCATGAGGATGTGCCGGGATGGATGCAGAGGGAATGGCAGAGAGGACAATTTGAGTCTTGATGCTAGTTTGATTTGACAAGGAACAGCACGTTGGAAGGATGGTCGTCATGATGAGGCTTTTGCAGTGTATTGTCGTCCACAATACAGGGCATCACGTGCTTCTAGCATATGAGCATGAACACAGACAAACACTACAAGCATTATTGAATGCTGTTTGATTTGGATATTACTTGATGGTAGCGATAATCCATTATTTAACACTCATAGCAGTTCACCCATGGATGGGATGTTGGCAGCATGAACTGGTAACAGTGATCCCATCTTCAGAACCTCCCAAAGTCATTGCAACTGATCGATGGCCTCCAAGACCTCCTCCAGCCATAATCACAGTTCTCGGTCTGGAAAGCGAGTTCTATCCCCAGAAAAATTTTTTTGGCAAACCAGTTCTTCCTGGGAGTCACATGATAACCTACACCGCGCAGATGCCCAGCTAGATCAACCGACCACTCTAAATCATTGTCATTGCAACAATGGATAATGACAAGGAGAATGTTGGGATGAGAGGATTTCCAAAGAGGGTACAAAGTTGACTGAGGCACCAAGCAAGGATAGTGGCAAGGTAAGTGGAGCTTGTCTGCTCCGTACTGAGTTAGGAGCACTGCTCATGGGTAAATTAGACCGGTGAACAGCACTACAGTAAGTCAGTGGATCTCAGCAATCTTCCATCTTCTATGCTAATACTATTATGTTGAACAGAAGCTGCTAACCAGTGGCCATTTCCCTTCAAGGTCCCATGGGAGGGTAGATATTGCGCGGAGCGTCTTCAGGAATTGGACGAGCTGTCTCGCCATTATGAAAGAACCCCCAGAAGGACAATGCTAACAAGGCCAAGGCGTGGCATTCGCAATTTTGATCAAATTGTCACAGATGAACGTGGTTAGTTTCCAGAAAGGAAAGAAGGTTGAAGGGTCGGAGATTTAATTGGAGAATGGTGTTGTCTGGGATGAAGTAAGTAAAGCCTATTTATCATTCCTCGTGATGTAGTGGCTGATTTGGCGCACCTTAGGGTCGTCCTATGGATGATTCCATGACTGGATAAGGACAAGGATCTCACAGCCTAACACCACCTGGTCCTGCTTATACTGTCACAGGAAATGCTCAATGGAAAACGAAGTGACCTTAGGTATTCAAGTAAACTCGCTTCGATCCTCTCCATTACCTCACGTAAAATATACTCTGGCAATGAAAAAGTAATCCTGATCAAGCCGTGGGCCTTTTCCAGGACAGGGGCAAACTTGGTAGACCCTGTGACGAGCACACCCTTTTCTTTGGCCTTTGATATGGCATCTAGCGATGTTTCCCCTTCCTTGAGCATGGAATTGACGTTGGCCCATAGTACTGCTAATGTACCATACTGGGTTCTATTGTACCTTTCTTTTTGATGATGGCTTCGTCAGTTGCCAACATCCCATGAAAGGATTGTTTGGGTCGAAGTAAGCAGAGCTCTGATACGTTTGGGATCGGAGGCCGAGTTGTGTGTCTTTTGAAGTGCGGGGATGATAGATGAAGATAATCTGTGGCCCATGAAGAGTAAACACTAGGGTATCCAATGCATTTCCCCATCCAGTAGTGAGAGCAATTATGGCCAGGTGTGACAGGGATCTCTGGATGAAAATGTGCTGTAAAGTGCCATTGCCTCTCTCATGCTAGATGGCCACTGAAGCTTCTCGGGGTTGTGAATGTCTTCAGAGATATTAGACGAAACGAAGAAAGTGGCATAAGAGCAATCAACATATGGAGAAGGCTCATTTATTCAGGATTGACTGATATCGACAGTGATGGCCTTTTGGTCATGGCTCCCTTGCAGATCTCGACCATATATGTCTTCATCATCGCGTTCCTGTTATCGCTGAGATTAATATCTCCTGGATCCGTTTGCCCTCCCTCAGCGACTGTAGCAGCTACGGGCAGGAAAGCTTTGACGGGGGTGCCCATTCTGGTGGAGAGTTCTGGAGTGGCCATTGTGAGTTTTAGACATTTGGTTGAAATGGGAGACTTACGGGATAAGCATCATTTTGAACTCTTGATTGTTGTCTTACAGCTGACAGGGTCCTGAAGCAACAATCACAATAACAACTACGCATAAGAATTAACATTGAAACTGACTTCTACTTCATACGCGACCCTTACGGCCCGTGCAGATTAATAATAAGATCGCCCCATAGATACGAACTGCCTCAATGCGACGACGACCTGCAGGGCTTATCGCTCACCACCGCAAAGCTGCTCCGTCCCCCTTCTCCGTCGCCATCATGTTCCCGGTCCACGCTGTCACGAATCATGCAGCCTACCGTCTCGTCTCCTTCTGACTTGTCGCCCCAGTCAACCGCTGCCTCCCCGTCAGACGCTGTTCCTGACTCTCAACGACCGAAAACGAACCCTCGCAGGCGTCCGCTGAATCGCCGTACCCTAAGTTGTCTCCCCTGCAGACAGCATAAGCTTCGCTGCGATCGACATATACCATGCCATACCTGCACTAGATACCGTCGCGAGGATGAGTGCCGACGACATCCAGCACCTTCCTCCCTGTTGGGGACGGATTCCCCGAGACTGGCGATGCCGGCTAGAACCATAGCCCCGGGGCCGTCGCAGCTACAACCGCGGTCGCCTTCGGTGAAAAGGGAACAAGACAAGGGGCTAAATCCTGGGGGAGGTAGCCATGGAAATATCAAGGGACAGCAGGTTGCTCAGTTTATTGAACAGACATCGCAGCGGTCAAGTAGACCTTGGTCGTCGTCGTCACCATCAACTCCAACCGTCCCCTTATCCTCTCTTTTCACGCAATCATCATGCCCTATTTTTCTTCCCGATATCCTCTCGTCGGACCTGTCGCTCTTTTCTCAGTTTATGCGCAACCCAGTGGATGCGAAGCTCTTCTGGAAATCACAGTTGGTGGCTCTACTGCCTTCGCAGATGCAATGCGACCTTCTAGTCGCCTACTACATCGAAAACATCGACTGGCTATATCACGCGATCCATATACCCCTGTTTCGTCGACGATACTCTGCTTTCTGGGCCGGAAGCATTGACGAAATCGATTTGGTGTGGCTGGCGCTTCTGTACACCGTCATATCCATTACGGCGCTCATGGCCCCTGTTGAACAGGCGCAGGTCATGGGCTTCGAGCACTCGAAGTTGCGTGTTCTTTCACACGTGTGGCATCAAGCGTCTCGACAAGCTCTCCATGCAGGCGAGTTTGAATCGAAGCCGTGCCTGGTGCAGTTGCAGGTGTTCTTGGCGACCCAGCTGTATTGGTTGGAGACGAAAAATGTTGAATCGTTAAACTCGTGAGTTCTTCCTGAAAGCTGGCATAAATGATGTCCACCGGCTGAGATATTAGCAGCGCTCTTGGCCAAGCAGTCCGAAATGCGCAGGCATTGGGGTTAGATAAGAACACACCGGGGGCGAATTGTCTAGACACAGAACTGCGACGACGAGCATGGTGGGATCTGTGCGTGGCTGATACGTATGTCGGAGACTTTCTCTTAAGCTATCATCTATTGTACTCACACTCTAATGACTGACCAGGTTCCAATCCATGTGTCTCGATCGAACTCCGCTTATCCATACCCCACTCTCCAAAGTCCCTATGCCTGTAAACTGCAACGACACGGACGTTACAGCAACGTCGATCATCCCTCGCCCTATGGAAGTGCCGACAGATATGAGCGCGCTAATATGTCGCGTCAAGGCGTTCCGCATCTTCCGCAAACTCTACTTCAACGATGGCGCCTACTTATCATCGTACAGCTACATTCAGTCCATAGACAAGGAGATCCAAACCCTCATCGCGGAGTTCCCTTGGTATTTTCGCATCGGCTCCGAAGAGAGCCTGCGACATCTTCCGACCCTGGATAGCATTGCGTGGCAACACGAATCTCTGCATATATGTATCTGTCTGCAGCGGATCCGAATGAACCGGCCGTTCCTGCACGCACGCATCGGGGAATCATGGGGGGTATGCTTCAAAGCAGCACAGGAAATGCTGGCCCCGTACCGCCGGATGAGAGAGGTGAATGTCGAGCGATTTCGTCAGTCGCAGAAGTTCCTCATCCAGGGCTACCAGTCGTACACGGCAGCCGTGACGCTCGCAGCGTTCCTGTTGGTGGAACGATCACTCCCGGGATTTTCGTCAGAGTTCATGAGACACGATATCGAAATGGTGATCTCCGATTTGGAACTCAAGGATCTCGGGCCGCTCATCTCGGACGGAATTAAAATCTTACGGAAGATGCTCGACATGTTCGACCAACGGCGTGACACGCGAGATCCACATACGCGCGAATCATTAGTACGCGATATTGCATCTGTTTTCGGCGGCGAGCAGCCCACACGACGGTATCTAAAGCAATGCGATATTGGATACGTCCTGAACAACACCGCCTCAAGCGCAGACGGCAGCAGTAGTACGGGTAATACACCCACTGCGCAGACGACAGGTGGCAGCGAGAGTGCGATTGCTCAATCGCCCGGGTTAGTATCACTGCCCGAACCCACCGGGCCGGATTGGGGCGTGCGGCTTCCGTCGTCCGTGTCGGTCTTGGAGCCCGTTGATATGAACATGGTGCATCCGGGTTTCAGTCTCACGTCAGATTCGGAAGCGCAGCAGGCAGCTCTTCTTGACGCCAATGTTCCGTATAGCAACCAAATCGAGTTCATGCCGGACGACCTTAACCTGGCACTGGACATGTTGGATAGCGATCAGTGGTGGGATATACTTCCCGAGATAACATTTCAGACGTAGCTTGATTCCGGTTTCATGTAGGATAGATTTCTCTACCTAGTACTGCTAAGTAGTAAATAATAGAATAATACTCGACTATAGAGACAGGTACTATTATCTCTAAGAAGTGAGCAACATGCATATGCATATGCAACCCAAAGAACCCAACCACGGAATAATTAATAGAAAAGAAGGGGAAAAAAGGCCTACACCGTAAGCAAATTATCAGCAAGTATTCCCGACGGACGGCACCGCCAATTCGGATAACCTCGGTTGGGCATGTATGTTTAGTATCGGGGGACTATGCTCCTAGGTATGCTCTGCAGCGAAAAGAAAAAGGAAGAGATAGATACCGCCATTTCTTCCCGCAAAGCAGTCGTCCGTCCCGCCTGTCGGCTCGCTTAACGGGAAATGTACTACATATATTAGTTAATAGATTGAGCCATTGAGCCGACACGGATACATATCATAATGCAATTTCGGTTTCGGTCAGATTACCGGTGGATTCGACGATCGTTGCGAATTGTCAGGGATGTTGACAGCTGTACATGTACGAAGTAGTACTTCCAGGCTATATCCATTACTAACATTCAGCAGATTTTTATAGGTTGCGACAAAGAGAAATGGCGTACGCCACTGGCGTCAGATGTTGCTAGGATGCTGGGATGGGATTGGGATGTACTTCTGGGTTTGCAGGATGCATGGAGATAGCGTTGCAACTTGCCATATGCATGATGTGATATGATTTTGATAGCTGATAGCTTTGGCACAGTGCTGAAGACAGCTTAGGATGCCATAGTAGGTAGGTACTACCTAACTACCCAGGTATGTAGTGACGGAGTACTATTCCTACAGGATTGATTAATTTATTAACATATGGTCTGTTCCAGTCTACGAAGATAAAACGGGATTCGTTTTCCTTAATTGTCTTGATAATATGCATTGTTTCTCCGGATATCTACCGGTAGAATATCCACTGTAGTATGGAGGAGTAATGTACAACAAGTAAGCGAAGATGCAGATATGCAAACTAGGCAGGAAATCCCCTCATAGCGATTGGACAAAGCAGTGGACCCAACCCACTACAACCCCACCAGTCACAATAGTCACCGGCACCGAGTGGGGCATACTTAAAGTTTTTGCATGGAAAATCTCTTACAGTGACCCCACTTGCAAGTTTGGGCCAAGCGTTTTTCGACAAAAATTGTAATTTTAAAGAAAAATTTCTCCCTTTTTTTTTTTTTTTTCTTTAAATTATTTAGCCAAGGCTCGTGGCATTTCTTGTTATTTACGATCGTCATTTCCGTCATCGGCATGCCGCTGGCTCTTTCGGAGATGTCGAGTCGAATCCATTCGGGACGTAGATATGGTAGTCTATCCGGGATGGAGCAGTTGGCATGTGCGAGAGCCTGGGGTACGTGAGCTGGGGAAATGAAACTTCGCGCAGGTGACCTTGAGGCCAACTGGCAAGAATAAACAGTATGGGGTAGATCTCTGATAGTCGGTCGTGGGAGTGCGCGGAAGGAAAGGAGGGGGATAAGATTAAATCCATGTGCTGCCCTCCTTTCGGGCAGGCCACCGAGTTCACCGAAAACGGGCCGAATAGGGTCAGCCCTAGCACTTCCCTTCCGAACGCGGTTAGTGATGTTCTTGGCATGCGGATTATGTCTACATACCATTGTATGTACATACTACACAGTGTTGTCTCTCATCTCACACCATTATGAAGTCACCATGGGTCCACCACAGACATGACGATCAGTTGTCTCGGAAGTGCCTAGTTGAAGTTAGTCCGATACCTAGATAGGATAGGATTGTGATTATCTACGGAATCGATGATACGCTGCCGGACAACGACAATCCCGGCTCAAAGCCAAAAACCGAAAGGGATTCAATCGGCTTGCCGCCTGGTTGATGCCTTGCCGTGGCCATCTCCGGAATCCGGGCTTTATCTGCAGGGCAAGACTCAACAGTAAGTCTACAGTAGTCACCGAATTTGTAGGTAACATGGGTGTTCAGCCTGCCCCATTGTATCAGGCACGGTGTGGTCCAAGGGGGCCAGTTAACGATGGTCCCTGGGATAACACACCATGGAATATGGAATGCCACCCAGCTGCGTCCCATGGGGGAGTCCTCGAATCATAGCCGGCCACCGTGACGGTATGAATGCTGGTGGTTGCGAGCCAGGTCCACCCTGCATGGTGGAGGAGCGAACAAGAAGAGACAGCGCCGCTCCCCGAGATCCTGCTTTGTCACCGCGAAATTAAGACCTGCGCAGGAAAGCGCGACGGGGAGAAGCACAGGCGGTGATGTCATGAAGATCCACCGAGTGGGACCGGCTGAGCCTAAAGATACGCCAGTGACCCACTGTGGACCGCAATGGGGCTTAAACCGGGTTGAACTAGCCCAAAAGGGGTTGGCGTCTCCCCGAGTTGCCCTTGTTCTCCCATGTTTCTCGCTCGACTAAGCCCAAACGGGCTTGGAGAATGTGGAGTTTGGTTGGGGACAATGTTGCCTTCCTCGCTGCCTTCGTTTCTCTCCTCGTCTCGCTGACTGTCAGTCTCTTCTTTAAAGGGCCTCCTCGTCCTCCCCGCAATCCGTCTTTTCCTTCTCCTTCTTTCGTCTTTCCATATCCATCCAATTTCTTATTGACATCTTACGTTCTTGAGCCCTTCGAGAAGGACTCGTCAATTCGCCTCTTGTCTGCTGTCCTCGCTCCCTCTTCCTAGTACCTACACCGTTCACTGTCGTCCCTCCTGCCGATCATGGCGCCCAAATGTGCTGGGTTGTCGGGCAGGCCCCTACATCTGGCCATCACTGCCGTGTCTACTATGGGTTTCTTGCTATTCGGTTATGACCGTAAGTCTTGTCAACTCCCCTGGTGTAACCTCTCCTAGTCGAGAAATTTTGCTGACGCAAACAATAGAGGGTGTCATGGCTGGAATCATCAGTGCCGATCAATTCACCGACGTCTTCACAGCTGCCAAGGGTGACAATGTTATTCAGGCTACTATCACTGCTGTCTATGAACTTGGTACATTCCCCTTCTGCCTTCTATTCTAAATTATTCATGGGCTAACTCAAATGTCTTTCAAGGTTGCTTCGCCGGTGCTATCTACACGTTGATCTTCGGTGACCGTTTCGGTCGTCGCTGGACTATCATTCCCGGTGCCACTATCATGATCATTGGTGTTATCATCCAGGTGACTGCCTTCGTCGGTCACATCCCGCTGCTTCAGTTCATGTTTGGCCGTGTTATTACTGGTATTGGCAATGGAATGAACACCGCAACCATCCCGACTTACCAGGCCGAATGCTCCAAGGCCAACCGTCGTGGTCTGAATATCTGTATCGAAGGTGGAACCGTTGCCATCGGGACCATGATTGCCTACTGGATTGACTTCGGAACTCACTATGCCACCCGCCAGGACATCAGAGACGTGGCTTGGCGGTTCCCCATTGCCTTCCAGATCGTCTTTGGTATCATCATCATCATTGGCATTTATGTCCTCCCGGAATCTCCTCGTTGGTTGCTGACCAAGGAGCGCTTTGACGAGGCGGAGCATATTATGGCCGCACTAATGAATAGTGAAATCAGTGACCCTGATCTTCAAAACGAGAAGGAACGCGCAATGGAATCTATTCAAGCGTGAGTGCATCTGTCTGAGATAAATGATATCAATTCTAACTCGAATGAACAGTGCTGGTGCTGTTGGAAAGACATCCTACAAAGATCTTTTCACTGGCGGCCCCACTCAGCATTTCCGCCGTATGATAGTTGGGTCTTCTTCTCAGATCTTTCAGCAGCTTGGCGGTTGCAACGCTGTCATCTACTATCTTCCTGTGTTGCTGGAGCAGAGTCTCAGCGAGTCCCATGACCAGGCTTTGCTGATTGGCGGTTTCAACATGGTTGTCTATGCTGTGTTTGCCACCTTCTCCTGGTTCTTCGTCGAAATGATTGGTCGCCGCAAGCTGTTCCTGGGTGGCACCATTTTCCAGTTGATTTCCATGATCATTACCTTCGTGTGCCTGATCCCTCATGGCAGGGACCCCAAGAAGGGTGCCATTTTCGGTTTCTTCTTGTACATGGCCACTTTCGGCGCCACCTGGCTTCCGCTTCCATGGCTCTACCCTGCCGAATTGTCCCCCACACGTACCCGTGCCAAGGCCAATGCTGTCTCGACCTGTGCCAATTGGCTCTTCAACTTCACTGTTGTCATGATCACTCCGGTCATGGTTGAACACATCGGCTGGCGTACCTACCTTTTCTTCGCTGTCATGAACGCCTGGGCTCTACCGACCATCTATTTCTTTTACCCCGAGACCGCGGGTCGGACCCTGGAAGAAATCGACATGATTTTCGAAAAGGGCTTCGTGGAGAACATCAGCTACGTTCGTGCCGCTAAGGAACTGCCTCCTTTGAGTGAGATCCTTGGCGACCGCTTTGATGACGGCGAGAAGGGCATGGCCGAGAACCAGGAGAATGTTGGTACTCCTGCGGGAACCCGTGAGGCCCCTCACGAGAAGGACGAGGAGTAAATTATAACATAATACGCTTAATTGCGAATGAGCAGTTTTTGAGAATGACGACATATCTCGGAGACTACTCTTAATTGATATGAGGCACTTTGAGGAGGATTCATTGATACCCCTGGCTCTTTTTTTGTTTTGTTTCACACTTTTTTGAACTGGGAAAGGGTTTGTCAAGTGTCATAGTGATGCTGACAATGAAAGGATAGATAGCGCTTCATTTTTGCTTTTCCATTTACATTTTAACGTCTCTTCTCTTTTCCAGCCTGACATGTGATACACAGACATTGCTGGCTTTTCTAAGGCGATTAAAGGGATATTTACAGGATAACCAATCTTCGCTTTTAGCTATGCTACACTCTTATCTGGTTCACATTTACTTGTTATAGACTCAGCTCAGTTGCTGCTATGATTCACCTGATATGATAAAGATGTTGTTTCAGTTTTCAACAATATAATGAAATGTTGTGATACTGCGATGTATCCTTCAGTCCTCTTCCAATAAGTAAACTGATAGAACAATAATAGTGTAGTAGATTGCAATAAAAGCGCAACAATAACAATAATTTATTAATTTATTCATAGTTTTCATACGTGTTGATCTACATTATTAATATTACAAATCATGATATATTACTCCTGCGAGTGTCTGCTGGTTCAGTTGATTAAGGGTTTTTAGTGCGGAGACGGTGGAGGTATTACGGAAAAGTCATGTCACTGTCGGCAAAAGCCCGGGATTAAGAGTATGACATAAGCAAATTAGTTCTGCTCACTGTGTAGAGTTAGGGCTATTTATAGGGCAATTTAAGTCATGTGACTAAACCCTACCCTGTCATACTACCCCTCCCATCTCTGTATGTTTGCATTGTTTGCTCTATTTTTCAGAGCATGGCATTTATCATCAGTTTCAATCTACGATAAATTGAAAATTAACAACGAAGCATTCTATTAGAAGAAAGAAAACAAAATGGCAAAAATAGAAGAACTCCCCGACGACTTCGACGAATCCCTCAACCTGAACGATACCAACCACGCTCACCAGGAAGATGACAAGAAGACAGATCCAGTTGTTTCCTCCCTCCCACCCAGCGGCCTAAACGACATCATTAAAGATGCAACTAGCAATAACGATATCTCTTCCCTCCCGATTTCCGAAGAAACACCCTTCCCCATTAATGAGGAACGACTAAAGGAGATCCAGAATGACCCCGCAGCTCCCAGGATGCCGCCGGCCATGGCGTCGGTCAAGTCGAATACGACGGAGGACTTGTTGGATATGATGAATAAGACGCCTTTGTTTATGACGGACATCGAGAAGGCGAGGGATGAGAGTATGTCTTTTTACCTTCTCCTTTTGGCACAATATGTATAGGTATATATATGTAGGGATGTGACGATTGCTGACTGAGTGGTAGACGGGGAAAATTACTACCTAGATGCCCTCATGGCGCTTCAGAATGAAGGTACCAGAGGTGAGGTTGCGCAAAATTTCAGAGAACAGGGGAATGAGGCGGCCCGGGAGAAGAGGTGGGGGGATGCGAAGGAGTTCTATACGAAGGGTATTGCTGTATTGAGGGTGAAGGAGGATAAGTGGGATAAGCCTGAGGATCCTGAGGCGGAGAAGAAACTCCTGCGCGAGTTGGAGGAGGCAGTGTTTGTGAATCGGGCGTTGTGTAATTTGGAGTTGAGTATGTTTATTCTTCTTCTCTTTTTTGTCTATTTGCATGCTGACAGATAAGAAAACTACCGCTCTACGACTCTCGACTGCGCCGAAGCCCTCAAGGTCAATCCGAAAAACATCAAAGCATACTACCGTTCCTCCCAGGCGTTGCTGGCTCTGGATAAGATACCCGAAGCTTTGGATGTTGTGACCAGAGGTCTGGCACTGGACTCGAAGAACAAGTCACTGCAACAGGTCTCTTCCAAGATCAGCGCTCGGAAAGTCGTTCTGGACGAGATCGCTGCGAAGAAGAAAGCCGAAGTAGAGAAACGCAAGAAGGAGCTGCTGATCAAAAGCGCTGCGTTGAAGGCCCGCCAGATACGCACCCGCAAAACCGCCCAACCGCCGGATATGGAGGGGGCGGAGATCCGACTTGTTCCTGATCCGCTTTCTCCAGAAAGCACGCTGGAATTCCCCGCTGTCTTTTTGTATTCTATGGATGCACAGTCGGACTTCGTGAAGTCGTTCTCGGAGATGCATTGCATCGCTGATCATCTGGAGTACATTTTTCCCTTGCCCTGGGATGAGCGGGGGGAGTACACGATCAGCGGGGTGGAATGCTTCATGGACACTGTCTCCGGGGGATTGATCAAGGCAGGGAAAAAGGTGCCTCTGCTGAGGATTCTTTCGGGTGGGAAAGTCGAGGTTGTGGACGAGTTGGTCAAGATTTACGTAATACCTACAGGAAAGGTTGGGAAGTTCATCGAAAAGATGAAAGAGAGAAAACAAGCAGGAAATTGAAGAGCCCGTCCTCACTAGCATAGCACAATCCGGGGCATCATCGGTCGACACTGTTTCATTCTCACAACTCCCCTGTGGACCCACGCCGCTTGCTCCCGCTCACACCCACACTCGTCCGACTCTTCAGCGCCAGATCCGCCCTACTCACGACATTCCTGAACTCCATCCTTACCCAACGCATGCGCCGCTTGTACTTTCGGCGATACCTCCTTAGTCGACGTTGATAACTGGCGACTTTCTCCTCGAGCCTCTCTCTCCTCGAAATGGCAGTATCTTTGATCATGCGGATGACCGTATCGAGGGACTCGGTGTTCTCAGAATCGAGCAGGCCCGTTTCGGCAGCTTTGGCGATGTAGATGAAGGTGGCCGCTATGTCTGTTGAGATTGAGGAGACGAGAGCCGTTTTCTGGGACGGAGATAGGGAGGGAAGGAGAGCAAGACGGAGCGTGCAGGAGCCGGGTTTAAGTGGTTTTGGATATGAACGAGACATTTGGATGGTTAACTCGTATATTGGGACTGTTTGTTTTCTAGGGTTATATGGATGATAGTGCCAGGAAGGAATGTCAGGTAGTTCTACCTTTATTTATATAGAACTAACTGCCATTTCACGGGTTGGTTATCCTGTCAATGCAGTCTGCCTTGAGCCCTTTGAATCGGTGGACATTTCTTTAATGCGCCTCATGCATAGAAAGATATACATGTGTTTTCTGCACGCATCCTGTCTTCTTTGCCAACTGCAGCTATGGCTATGCTACAGGTATTACAACCTTTGCAGCAGAAACACCCTGCTTCTGCCTATCCAGCCCAGCCTGGACCTTTTCCAGCCCACCCTCGATAATAATCGGATCTAGCTTAGGCTTCAACTGACCAGACTGCAGAGCCTGAGGGACAAAATCCCTCCAAACGGCATTAGCTACATCTTGGTACTTTGTAGCTATATTTGCCGCGAATACTGCCATTTTATCAGCAGACATGCACACAGAGAAAGAGATAAGAAAACTTACGCCCCGAAGCCGTAACACCAACAGGCAACTTTCTCGGCGGATTCAACACAGTCGCAGCCTTCCCCTTCAATCGACCCATAATCCCTTCCCATCCCCCCCTTCCAACAGCATCGTACAGCCCCACGAACCTCGTTCCGGTCGCTTTAACGGCCTCCACAACCTTCTCCGTAAGATCCGCGGAATGATAATCGAGAACAGCCTTCGCGCCGAGATCCTTCGCGTAGGCGAAATGCCGAGGCGATGCAGTCGCGACAACGTCTAATCCGGACGCGGTGGCGAGCTGCACGACTGCTGAGCCGACGGAGGAGCTTGCGCCACAGACAATCAGGGTTCCGTTTGATTTACCTTTACCTTTACCTGCGTCTGTTCCTGTGGACAGGGACGGATAAGGTAAATGCAGCAGGTCGGATTGGTATAACCCCGCCGCGGCCGTGGAGAGGGCTAGTGGTAGCACGACGGCGTTTTCATATTTGATATCCTTTGGAATGGGGGCTGTGACGAGTTCAAGGGCGAGGGTGTATAGTTGGAATCCGCCATAGGAGGGGGGTTTGATTAGGGATAATGCGTAGCTAAGTATTAGTATATCAGTACCTTACTCCGTACAATGAATGCCCACGATCTTAAGAGTGCGGGAGTAAGGGTTAATTAATAAACCTGATAACCCGATCACCCTTCTTGAACCTTGTAACGCGCGCTCCGACCTCGACGACTTCACCGGCGACATCTGTTCCCAGGATCCAGGGATATTCTGTTAGGAAACCGCCAGATTCCTAGATAATTAGCATTGAACGAGTAGATGCATCCTTCGCGATAGATGTACCTGAATCTTCCAATCAACGGGATTAACAGCCACGAAGGCATTCTTGACCACGAGCTCTCCCGGTCCTGGAGTGGGATATGGAGCCGAGTCGACTGTGAGGGGTTGATGGATGGCTTTGATCCAGGCTGCTTTGTTGGGCGTCATCGGATCGTTTTATGCCGATTACTATTGATTTATCCTTTTTCTTCCATGTTCATGGGCTTGTATGTTGTATTTATGTCTGTTGTTATAGAATCAGGCAACCGATGGTGATGTCACTATGAATGATGCATACACTTCAGCACTTGGATATTACATTCTAAAATATTCTTCAAACCAGTCTGGATGTTAAATAAAACAGCCTAGAACGTTCAGTGTAAATAGAAACGACCGTGAGTTCAAACTTGAGGGCATACAACAGTAGTTACAGCTTAAACCCTAAGCTAAAAGCCACTATTGAACTAGGTATAACAAAGAAACTAACCATCTACTTCTTTCCCCTGTTACTCTGTAGATAAGAATACGAACTTTTTATTCTACCGACGTTGAAGGCTTCCCCTTTCTGTTTCGGCGCTCCTCCCCCGCTCACTGAGTAGAACTAAGCACGCCCTGAGTGTGAAGTGAGTAGGGGGAGCTACTCGGGCTGCTCCCTGAGCATGGGGTGAGTACTGACCTGAGTAGTGAGTAATATGTAGTCCTCAATAAATGCACCCAGCTCGAAGGGTCTTGACCACATCATTGTTTCAGTTCCTGCTCGATTTGCAGTTTTATCTCTCTCATCGTTTCGCTCCTCACGCCGAAGGCTTCTGCCCTGCAGAGGTCCTCGATCGGTGCGGTGAGTTACCTGGATTCTCGAGGTACATCTTGATGCACAGCTAATAATTTGTTTATTCACAGTAGTAATTATGATTGGTATCGGCGCAGGTGGCACCGATTCTCAAAACTCTTACAGCACCCAGCCTACCAGCTCTCGTCAAATCGGCCAGAAAGTCTATTCAGCAATCAGTCCAGTGAGCCCAGTCAGTCGAGTCTCGAAGGACAGGAAGATCCAGAGCCGTTCTATTCCTCCACCGAATACCAAACAATTATGGTTTGCGACAAGTTGTCTTTCGGACAGCGAAAGCGCTCGAAGCAGACAGCAGTCTGTTCCCAGTTTCCCAAGTTCAGAAACGCGCCACAATCTATCCTCATCAAAATCGAGAAGGCAGCTGTAAAAGGAGACTTTATTACGAGGGCATGGAATGCTCCGTAACAGTCATCTAGACGAGATTCGACAGAAGCTGATGGAGTTAGGCCTCCTTGGCTGCCTCTACTAACCCCTCGGTGCCTTCGTTTCAACATTAGAAGATCCCTTATGGCCGTGCCGCGATAGTACCTAGCAGAGCCTGTTAGTACGTGGTAAGCCAAAGGTTTTGTCGAACTCGCTGAGTTGGTTGTTCTAGCTAGGAGTTCACTAGTTATCTCTTCCTGTACCTCAGGTATTGGTTATCACGCTATGGGACGCGCCGTCGCAGCAATCGATCCAGTCAATCTTTTAATCCAAAACACCAGCTAATATATATCAACTAGATCTGTTACGGTACCTGTGACAGAGCAGTGTAGAGCCTCCGGCTCTACATCCTAGTCTTTTGCTTGGTGCAGCGTTAAGCTTCTGGATGCTCCCAGAGGTCGCACCGTGACCCTCATTACAACCCTAAATCAGTCAGCTTTAGTCTGAGAATGAATCCAGAAAGAAGAGGCAACAAAGAGCCAAACAACTTATCTAGAACAGAGGGAGTTTAACCGTTGCTGAAGGTAGAGAGGGGATTGAAGGGGAAAGGATTCTCAAGAAGATTGGCAACCTAGGCAGTGTCGGCCACAAACACGTAGTAATTGTCATGTATTGGGACGAAATAGGGTCTAGTGTCCTAGTAATAGATCCAGCCTCTTCTCGATGAAAAATATGCTTGTTTTGTGGTGTTGAAAAGCATCAAGTGTAGAATTCGGAGCCGCTCGGTGTCCGATCACTTATTATCTACTAACAACTAGCTATAATTTCCCATGCATTAGATCAAGGCCAAGCTTCTGTCTGTTCGAAATACCCCTGAATCTCTCCTGATTTACTGTGATCATCGCCGTATTTATTGTAGAATCCAGATTCATGCCAATCAACATAGTCAAGTTGCTTTATTCGCATTTATTCCTATATACCCCGTGCATCTGCCATGTCAACATCAAGTACAGAAAGAACATCGAGATTTCGAAGCCCAATCCACAACCCGCTGCCAGCCTCATTATCTAGTAGGCCAATCCTTTCACCTTGCCGTTGCCAGGCTGACTACCCAAGCAGGCGAATGCAAGAAGGCTGGCAAGATACTGGATTCCTTTGTCAGCCCGCAGTTTATCACCTTGGACTCTGGGATTCCTCGCAAGGTACTCGCTCGCGCAAAGGTGAGACAACCTCTGCATTGCTTGTCGTGGATCAGTCTAACTGCATCCCAGGGCCTTGTCATCTTTACATGCTTTAAAAGCGGATTCATCTTTTCCGGCCGATTTGGATCCGGGCTTATTGTCGCTCGTCTTGCGGATGGGAGCTGGTCTGCTCCGTCCGCCATTGGAACTTTTGGTGGCGGGATTGGGGGCCAAGGGGGCCTCGAGTTGACTGATTTCGTGTTCGTCCTGAACACTGATGCTGCAGTCAGGGCGATCACTCAAAGCGGTTCGATCACCCTTGGTGGTAACGTGTCCCTGGCTCTGGGTCCCGTGGGCCGGAGCGTTGAAGCCATGGGAGCAATGGGGAATAACGGCACGGCGGGGATGTTCGCATACTCCAAGACCCGCGGGGTCTTCTGCGGCATATCATTCGAATTCAGCATGTTGGGGGAGCGTCCGGATGCTAACAGGAAGATGTACAAGCAAAAAGTGACGGCGAAGCAACTGCTCACGGGAGAGATCGCGCCGCCGTCTGGAGCTGAACCGCTCATGAGCGTGTTGAATAGAGATATTTTCCGCGCGGATTCATCTATTCAGCTTCCCACAGAACTGCGCTCCGGTGACCTCCATGCGGAGGCGGCTGAATTGCCTGCTGAGCCATCTGACGAGCCGAGTCAAGGAGTCCCTGAACTTGACAATCAACAGTCGAATTCCCGGACTGATGAACCAACCGCATGAGTTGCCTTCCCACAACCCTCATGATATCCATCGCGAGCTGGACGGTACTAGGACGTCTCCAAGTAGCCAACCTCATGAGCCTGTCGATGGACCTACTTCTTCGGTCCCCAGTGCTGCTTCAAGCTGATCAGGATCGTAATGTGATACACGTGGTTCATATTTTTATCCTCGCTCCCTTTGCTAGGTATAAAACTGGGACTCCAATACCTGTTTATCCTGCACATTGCGGTACTTGCGCTGGCTGGTATGATGTTGCGTAGAAACATACGTGGTATATGGGAGTAGTAGACAACTTCCTATCCAGGCAACGCCGTGCCCTACACAACCCTAATTCCATTAATCCAAAAACAACGATATCTATTAACAAGCATTCCACCTCTTCTCCACATGGATACCAATATGAACCCTGTAAACAAAATTGATACATTACCGAGGAGATAACTCACGCCATCGCGGGGCCTTCTTTCACCATTCCCGCAGCGTTTGCATGCTGATTTGCGGACGCTGTTCGCTCTGGATAGATCTTCTCTGGAGATGAGGGGTTACTCCGATGCTGGATATGTTGGAATACGTGCCGATGTGCCGTATAAATGCGCTGCAATCAGAGAATGGCAGACTGATTCAATTTTTTGGTAGACATCCTGTCCGGATTGTTGTGCCCTTCAACATGCCTTCCGCCGTGTCCACGCAGACAGAGACCCCCGTTTTAGAGAAATATGTCCCTGTCCCGGAGACGAAATATGATCGTGAGTTCATGATTGACTGTGTATAGAATACGTGCTGACATAGATAGTCGACTGGGCTGACCTGGTCACTCTGGATTTCTCCCAATACGACCTCCCTGGTGGAAAGCAGAAACTGGCTGAGCAGCTGAAGGATGCAGTTCACAAGATTGGTACGCCTCTAGCAACCTTGCTGTAGACTGCGCTAACTAATAAATAATAGGCTTCTTCTACATAGTCAACTTTGGACTCTCCCAAGAAGACATCGACCGACAATTTGCCATCGGCAAAGCCGTCTTCGCCCTCCCCGAAGAAGAACGACTCAAGTACCGCGCCAGCCTCGAAGAAGGCATCTACAACGGCTATCGACCGCTGGGCGCAATCGAGATCAAGCCAGGTCTCCGCGACAACGTGGAACTATACAACATCTTCAAGTTCGTCCCGCAATATGAACGCTCCCACCCAGCTGTGATCAGGGAGCACTACGCCGAGATCGAGAAGTTCCACCGCTACATCCACGAGAAAATCGTCTACAAGCTCTTCCGACTTATCGCCATCATCCTCGAGCTGCCCGAGGACTACCTCATCCCGGGCCACAGCTACGAAGGCGACTCCGACTGCCACCTGCGGTACATGATGTCGCGGGCACGCACTCCCGAGGAGAACGCAAAGTACGGCAACATCTACACGCGCGGACACACTGATTTCGGCAGTTTGACGCTTCTCTTCCGCCAGCCCGTCGCGGCGTTGCAGGTCAAAACGCCCGAGGGGGAGTGGAAGTATGTCAAGCCCCTGCCCGGCAGTATTACGGTGAATATTGCCGATGCACTCCAGTTCTGGACGAATGGGTATCTCAAGAGTTCGATTCATCGGGTCATTGCGCCGCCGCCGGACCAGGCGCATATTGACCGGCTGGGATTGTTGTATTTCGTGCGGCCTGGAGCGCAGCTGAACCTGAAGACTGTGGAGAGTCCGTTGTTGAAGAGGCTGGGACTGTTGGATGGGGTCAAGGATGGGGATGTCACGGCTGGGGACTGGGTCAGGGCCAGGATTCGCAGGAATTGGGAGAAGCCTCCTGAGAAGCAGGAGAACCTGGCTCTTGGGGGGGTCAAGACGCAGGTTGTCTACGATTGATTTGGTTATACACAGCTGCAGGTTTACAGCAATCGACATAGCAACATCCTTGTCCTATTGTGCACGTGCCAGCTGTATTCGTACTTCGTATGATCTATTCAAGATGCAGGCCTCTTTTTTTAGCAGACCAAATCCACGGCTTCCTCCTTCTTGCATCCCAGCCATGCTTGCACCCATCATCAAACGATGTGTTCTCCTTTCCCCCTCCATCCTCGCGGAACATGGCATTCTACACGCGGCACAGCTGCATGGGTTGGTCACTAACCCCCTGGCATCATTCTCTACTAACACGACCTCACCTCCTTACTCCAGGCACTTCATCAAAGCAAGATCTTTCCTCCTATACTTCCGGGAGGCTTCTTTTTAAGGAGGGTCTTCGCCTGCAAGAGCGCCATGTGGGGTTTAACCTCCCTGCCCTTCTGCAGGAGGCCGAAACGATGGTCAGTCCCGATAATAACCATGGCCATGCCGCATCCGTTGCCAAGTTCGCTGAAGGAGGCTTCAATCGGGAGCCTTGATCCGCGTGGTTGAGTATTGGTCTCGTTTGCCTGATACTAGCGGGATGCCATGTCCTGTGCAGTTCAGGAAAGCTGAACTGGGGAGGAATTCCCCAAGCAGGAGGAGCTGTGGTTCCAGCTGAATGCCATTCTAAGCCTATGGAGGGAGCAAATATGATGGCGTTAGTGAAGATGGCTGGGTTAGCAATGAGCAAGCAGTATGTGGGCGCTGTCCGGAAGGCCAAGGACCAGGAGGATACTGACCTGTTGGAGAGGGGGTGGCCATCTCGGCTGAAGAGATTAATTGATTGGAATTTCCAGCATAGAAGAGTGTTGATTCTCGGCAGTGTTGAATATGCTTCATGCAGCAGTTATCATGGCACCATATCCCTCCAATCTGGACAGCGTAAGCCCTAAGCTTGTCGCTAGTGCTCGCGCAAAGCAAAAGTTGACTGTCGCAATCAACTTGCAATCAGCGCAGGGCAGACAAGAAGATGTATAAAATATAAAATACTCCGCATGTGAACACTTAGAACAATTGTTTGGTAGAGAAAGACAGCAATTGTACTGTGAACTTGGGGAAAATGTCAAAAACCTCAACACCCTCCCAGCCAGGGAAAAACGATGACTCGACAGAAGCACCATCAATCCAGACTCTGAAATTGCAGTCGCAGTCACAGTCACAGTCTCAATCCCAAGTAACCCCCCCTCTCCCCCAGATAAGACGCAAAGTCGACCTCCACCTCCTCCTGTGGTACTCATTCGTCTACCTCGTCATGAGGGTCGACGTATCCAACATCTCCAACACGGCCATCATCAATGTCGAGCAGGGGGATGGGATTAAGAAGCAATTGGGGAATTTGAGCAGTGAGCAGTGGGCGTGGGCATTGAGTATCTTTTAGTCCGTCCTCTGTTCTTCCTTCTATAACGATCAGATGAACACTGGCCATTGAGCGACATGCTAATACCAATGCTAATGCGAATTAAAGCTACCCATATCTATTCTTTGAGCCCGTCTCGACAGTCCTCTTAAAACGCTTCTCGCCTAGAGTCTGGATGTCTAGGATTATGATTACTTGGGTTAGTTTACGTATACACTGTATGTGCACAATGAACTGATGAATCCTAACAAGTAACAGGGCATCATCTCCATGTGCCAAGGAGCCACGCAGAACTACGCCGGAATCCTGGCTACCAGGTTCCTTCTAGGGCTGGCTGAAGCGGGTTATTATCCGGGTGTTTTGTATGTTCTTCTTCTTCTTCCTCTTCTTCCCCTCCCTTCTGCATTGCTAATCTGGTTATTTGATAGGTACCATCTTAGTTTCTGGTATCCCACAGAGAAGATGCCGTTGAGACTGGTTAGTTTTGTCGATTTGCGGTTCATCAGTCTATTGCATTGTCAATAACCGTGCATAGGCATTCTTCTACGCCTCTGGAGTCTTTTCTGGGACGATTAGTGGATTGCTAGGTAGGCATTATGCTTAGACAGTACTCCATATAGCATTGTCTAATCACAACAGCGTACGCCATATCCTTCATGAATAATGCCGGAGGCCTGGCGGGATGGCGCTGGGTATGTCCAGATATTGTCATATACAGAGACAATCTAGCTAACGAGATAGGTCTTCATCCTCGAAGGAATCCCCGCCTTGCTGTGCGGGATAGCCACGCTTTTCTTCCTGCCCAATTGTACGTTGTCTCCTCCCAAAACTCGAAGCACCTCCCAGACAACTGACGTTTCCTGCAGACCCCCAGACTTCATCCTTCTTATCCTCCGAAGAGAAAGCATTCCTCCTGTCCGATCTCTCCGCTGGTGCGCCAAGAATGGACGAAAAGACATTCAGCACGGCCCAGGTCAAGACCCTGCTGAAAGACCCGACGCTCATCTCGTTCACCCTGTTGTGGGTTACGCATGGAATTGGCGGATGGGGTATTTCTTTCGTCTTGCCGACGGTTATTTATGAGTTGGGTATCAGTGGTGCGGGGACTGCTATCTCGCAGTTGATGTCGATGGTTAGTAGCAGTAGCACTTGGCAGTTTGTGTCAGTATATATCCATGAAGCTGACATGACACAGCCGCCTTCTTCCCTTTCGTTCGTTGTATTGGTTATTCTGGGCTACTTTATCCACCAAGGGAAAGTAAATGTCTGGATAGCTGCTACAGCATGTATGTTGTCTATGTCTACGATACTGTTGGTGCAAAGATACTAACCATCGCAGTGGAACTCACCTCCATAATAAGCTATATCATTCTGATAATCGTCAAGCCCCCCGTGGTGAAATACATCTTCGTCATGATTGCCTCGGCAGCAGGTGCATGCGTGTACCCGGTTATCTGGCCTGGTAAGTCCACCTACCCAAGGAAAAATAAGAAAGAATTCCGTCGGGTTTGACAAACGCAGAACGGATCAGAGCAGCCAAAGGGACAACCACGGCCGCATTGGCAATCGGCGTTACCAACGTATGCATTCTACTCTCCATGTCTATGCTTTCAGCCGGGATTAACAAAACAAAGGCAGCTGCACAGTTCCAGGGTATCCTGGGACCACAGGTGTATCAGACGAAATTCGGCCCTTCGTATCGTGTCAGTTATGCGGCTTCAGTTGGGCTTTTGGCGGGAAGCGTGGCGTGCATTGGAGCGAGTTGGTGGTTGATACGGAGGGGAGATCGTAGATTTTGAGCGTCAGCTAGTTAGACCGTATATATACATGGGATATCTCAGATGAGTATAGAAGAACATGGTAAATAAGTCTTGAAGCGGTTGGAGTCAATGAAGTGTATATCGTGAGCACGTGATAATACTACATGTATCTAACTATAACAGGACTAGCGCCACTCAAGCGAGCCCTTGCGACCTATACCTAAAACAGCTAGTGCCCTGATTACCCGATCCCACAACGGACAGCCAAAGTTCGGAGAGCAGCGAAAGACTTCACCTCTTCTCCCGTACCTCGCTGTCGACAAACCCAACGCGAGATCCGTCGCGCCATCGCCCATCATGTGTATGTGCAGTTCCCTATACCCTGTCTCCGGCTCAAAATGAATGTCGATTTCATTTTTTCCAAGAGTTCTCAGCACGAAAAGAATGAAGAAATGGATACTTGATTAAGCATTGAAATGAAAATCGATCGAAGAAAGAAGGCTGACCAGATATTTTTCGATACGTATACAGCGCTCGTGTCCGGCGAGAAGTCGAACTTCCAGTACATTCTGCGTCTCCTCAACACCAATGTTGACGGTAAGCAGAAGATCATGTACGCCTTGACCCAGATCAAGGGTGTTGGTCGCCGGTATTCCAACTTGGTCTGCAAGAAGGCCGATGTTGATCTCAGCAAGCGGTGCGTTGTATTCGTCTTTTATTCTACAGAAAAACCTATACCATAAGAGACAAAACTGACGAGAAGAAATAGCGCTGGTGAACTCACGACCGAAGAACTCGAGCGCATCGTCACCATCATCCAGAACCCCACCCAGTACAAGATCCCGACCTGGTTCCTGAACAGACAGCGCGACATCAACGACGGCAAGGACTCCCAGGTTCTGTCCAACGGTCTCGACAGCAAGTTCCGTGAGGATCTCGAGCGTCTGAAGCGTATCCGCTCCCACCGTGGTCTCCGTCACTACTGGGGTCTCCGTGTCCGCGGTCAGCACACCAAGACCACCGGCCGCCGTGGCCGCACCGTCGGTGTCAGCAAGAAGAAGGGCTAAACCCTTACGAGGCAAAACGGAATGGAATTCGGGGGGGGTTATATTCTGTCGACTGGTTTTTCATGGGATACACCTGCTTTTCTTCTTTGTTTCGTGGACCTCGCTGGCATGGGTTTCCTGTGGGATTGGGTTGGGGAGATGTTAAACTAACTACGTATGTATGTTGGTGAGGACTGATGGAGTATGCTACCGGTCCGAAAAAATTCAAATCTGTCAATCATACCAATTCAATGTGACATGAATCCGATAACCACATCCTCGGTTTCCAGGTTTCATGAGTGAGACCATAAATTGGGCGTTTTCAGTACGCTTCACCCTACGTTACTACGTACTACCAGGGAGGCGGCAACATATAATAATATATATTCCAATTTCTCTAGTATGCAGTTACTGGACGCCACCCGAAAACAAAAATTCAGCAATAAGACGCTGGAACCTGAAATGGCATTGGCCACCCCGACCAAATCCATCATTTCCGGAATCCATGCACCTTGTCCATCTAATGGAACGAGAATAGCCATGCGAACCATACGTAGCTTAAAAAAAAAGGTCCAAATTGTCATGCTTGGGAAGTTGACTGACATGTCACAACTTAGAACCACTCACCACCGAGCCAGCGGTTGAAGAACTCCAGACTGGCTGCCGGTTGGTCCATGGGAACCATGTGTCCACCTCCGTAGATACGCATGTAGGTGAAGTTGCCATAGGACTTGACCTGGCCAATCTCCTCGCCGTCAATGCGGCTGTCGAGGCCCTCCAATTTGGCAGCAGCATACTTGGCCTGGCCGGACCACTCGAGGGCCTCGGTCCAAGCCTTGTTGCCGAGCCAGTTGCAGATGAAGTCAGCGTCTCCGGCATAGATCAGGACAGGAATCTGCTCGAGAAGGCCAGGAACCAGGCGGTGATATGGCTTCATCCAGTCACCGTGAAAGAGGAAGTCACGGTTGATGTCAAAGTTGCAGGAGTCGTAGCCCTCAACTTCGGCACCCAGAGCCTTTCTAACTTCGGGCTTGTTAAGGTACTCAGAAACGTAGTCCATCTCCTTGTAGCAGAGGCTGCCACCCTCGCACTTGGAACGGACATCGTAGACGTTCTGTCCCGTACGCTGATAAGGAGCCAGGAGTGCGTTGTTGCAGTAGATGGAGGCAGGGACACAGACCCAAGCACTCTCACTGTCGTAGCAGGCCTGGATCATTGAAAGGCAGCGAGGAAGGGCATTGTCCATAGATTGGCAGGAGGACTCATCCAGAACAGCAGGGTAGCCACCCTCACCGCAAGCCATTGGTCTATAGTACGGGTATTGGGTGAGACCATCAGTCAGACCGTTTCCGATAAGCACCGACTTGAGGTTGATGTTGCGCTTCTTGTGGGAGAGGATCTCAGCAGCGAAGACTGGAATGTAGTGGCCAGCGTAGGACTCTCCGGCAATGTGGAAGTCCTGCTTCGCGTATTCAGGGAATTGCTCGAAGAAGAGAGAGAGCAGAGCATAGACATCCTTGCCAGCAGCAACGGTATCACTGACAGGAGAACTGCTGTAGGAGTAGCCAACATTGACAGGCTGGTCAAGGAAGATCACGGAGGCATTGGAGTTCCATGAGTGTTCATTGTAGACAGCCTTGATATCCTTGTTGATGGCACTGGGGCCCAGCTCCAGGAAGAGACCGGTGAGAGAAGAGCAACCGGGGCCACCATTGAGCCAGAGGACGACGGGGTCGTTCTTGGGGTCATTACGAGACTCGAAGAACCCTTTGTCGGAAATTAGCGCGGAAGATACAAGGGTGCGAGGACAGTACCCTCACGGGACAACTTACAGTAGAACAGATGCTTATCGTTCTCGTTATCATCGAGATAACCGCTGTACTGCTTTACATCGGGATCGATACCGAGCGTGCTAGGGTCAACCTTCTTGACCCGGAGATCGTAGGCCTCAAGCTTCCCGTCAATCTCACGCTCTTTCTGGCCATTAGCGCCGGTAACCCAGATACTCTGCACATCGGATCCACGGACAATGTGGTCCCAATGAGAGTCGGGACGACGTCTACTTGGCTTCGGCATCGAGACAGTGGGCAAATCATCCTTGGAAGGCAAGTAGTAGGATGCCTCATCCCATAGCTCCTGGGTGTCCTCCCAGATCGACTTCAGCTTGTCCTGGATAGACTCGAGAGGCTTCGGCAGGGTTTCAGCATCGAAGTCCTCCCTTGGTGCCTCGAGGATCTGCTGAACAGGAGGAACAGCGGCAACGGCCGCGCCGATGAGGAGAGTCGCTGGTACAACTCTCATCTTCATGAAAAGGGGTGTGCTCCGACGACAAGTACCTTGGGAAGCTAGGCAGCAGGCAACTGTCAGCACGTTATCAGGCACGTTATCAGGGCAAGGGGATCTATGAAAACGGTGAGTTATACCTTCGAAGCACGAGGGAACAGAGATATCGATGGAATACAATCAGAAAGACAATGGAAAGAGTGGAATAGGGGATGAAAAGAGGGATGGGCTAGGACGAAGGAGAAGGCTGGGACAAAGCTGCGAGCGCCGTGGAAGATGACGGCGACATTCCGGGGATCGGCCTGATAGAGGGCAGCCAATCCGGTTGCGGCAGGTGACGTATCAGAAGTACTGAGTCAGCAGGTCACGTTGGGTCCCGTGAGCGTCATTGCAAGAGACGAAGAGAGTCAGATTTGAGAGTCATGTTAGGTAGATACTGGCCATTGTGATACCCCTGTTGCAATAGACTGCGTTCCTTTTGATTTTATATATTGGATGGTTTCATCTTCTGCCTCTTAGCATACAGGCAGAGCAGTTCTGAAGTCTGTCTTTACGGCATACACAGATTTTTCAAAATGCCTATCAATCAACCCTCAAACCAGATCAAATTCACAAATGTCTCAATTGTGAAGCTCAAAAAGGGTGTGTTCGTTTTATTTTAAAATATTTACTTCACTGTCGATTAACTGGGTCTAACAAAAACCTAGGCAAAAAACGTTTCGAACTAGCCTGCTACAAGAACAAACTCCTCGAATACCGCTCAGGAACAGAGACAGACCTCGACAATGTCCTCCAAGTCCCCACAATCTTCCTCTCAGTCCAGAAAGCCCAAACAGCCCCATCCGCAGAACTATCCAAAGCATTCGGTGCAGACACCCCGCTCGACGAGATCCGACAGGAAATCCTCCGCAAGGGCGAGGTACAGGTGGGCGAGCGCGAGCGCAAGGAGATCCTCGAACGCGTAGAGAAGGAAGTCCTGGATATCGTGTCCTCACGGCTGGTGGACCCGACCACGAAACGTGTATATACACCGGGCATGATTTCGAAGGCGCTGGATCAGCTGAGCTCGGCGAGTGGACAGCAGCAGTCGCAAAGTGCGGATGATGCTCCGCAACAGCGGAAACCGGTCTGGACGGGGGTGTCGTCTACAAAGTCCGCGAAGAGTCAGGCGCTGGATGCTATGAAGGCGCTTATCGCGTGGCAGCCCATCCCGGTGATGCGGGCGCGGATGCGACTCCGTATCACCTGTCCGGTGACGCTGCTCAAGCAACCGGTCAAAACCGGACAATCAGGTGCCGGGAAAGATGAAGAGAAGGAGAAGCCATCTGGCGGGAACAAATCGAATAAAAAAGGCGGCAAGAAGTCGAAAGCCCGGCAACAACATGATTCGGATGTCGAAGTGGGAGGCTCAGAGGCGGAGCCATCGACTAAGGCGCCCTCTACAGTGAAGGATAAGATCCTGAGCTATATTGAATCGATCGAGACGCAAGAAGTAGTTGGCGGTGATGAATGGGAAGTAGTCGGGTTCGTACAGCCGGGGGCATTTAAGGGTTTGAACGAGTTCGTTGGCAACGAAACTCGTGGACGAGGGAGAGTGGAAGTGCTGGACATGGCAGTGACGCATGAAGATTAGATCTGTATAGATTCTAGTTACATCCATGTGTTTTTCATGGATCATATTATTGTTATTATTATTATTACTGGATGAAGAAATGAAACTAACAAAAGTCTGGATTCTGGAGTCAAGGTGTCTGTACGTGATCAGAATTGAAATGGGTAACTTGAATTAGGGCTCGACCGCTCAGATGAGAAAATAACAAAAATAGCCACCAAGGCTACGGAAGGAAGATAATCTAATTAACAAAAGGCATTCTAAAAAGTATCTATGTTCTAAATCTATATCTGAAATCTGATAATACAGTCCAGATGTATGTACTTGTGCAATCTTGTCTATGCACATAAAAAAAAGACATCATGACCGTTGGCAGGACTGCAAAAGGTCCCCCAGTAAAAAGAGATAGGACAATAAAATGAATAACCACACTATTGCCACTGGCAGATGCGAAAAGTGCAGAAAACCGCCTATGCAGGGAATCCACCATAATAATGCATAGATGCTAACACCGTATTCTTCCGGCGCTGTAAAGGAGTATTGAAACAGGATCATCGGATATGCGGCAATCCCTCTGGATGATGAAGCCCCGCTATCGACAGGTATTCTGGTGGAAGAGAATCGTAGAAGAAAAATGGAAGTAGAAGATGAGCTTCGACAGACCAGGTCGAAGCGATCCAAGAGGAGATGCGGATAGAGGACGATGATGAAAAGGTAGTTCAGGATAGGAGCGAGATATTGAAGGATATAGGAGCTGCGAGGACGTAGGCTAGGAAGAAGATTCAAGGAGAGATGGTCGAAGCCCGATGGAGCATCACACGCAGATCCGTACTGCGTCCAATGCCCTGCTCAGGTCTTTGGGGGGGAATGGCAAGGGCGATTCTTTTGGCGGTATAAACTTGGGAGATGCAGCATGTACGATTGGCGACGTATGTCGAATGGACTCCTTGATCTGTGTAATAGAGTCCACTCGAAGGCTGTTATTGTTATTGACTAGCGTCGACAATGAGCTGCTGAGGCTGTCCGGATCAACGGCCGTCGATGATCGAGATCCCGTTCCAGTCCCAGGTCGTGAATCTGATGGTCCTGATCCGTCCCCGGAGATGTCCATTAGTACCGGCATACTGTCTGGTGGTACAGCTTGGTCAAGAGGATCAACTGCTCCTTCATCGACCTCCACCGCCGGCGGCTCATTGGTATTCTCCCGTGGGCTTCTCATCACCTCAGGGTGCGTGGTGCAAGGGGAGAGGGGTATGTCGGGAGTACGACAACGTGCGGCCATAGCACCCTCGAAGGTCCACGCAGCCAATCTCTTCTGGTGTTCACGATCGAAGGGGCCACGGAACTTGGATGGTGGGACTTCCCCTCGCCGGTAGTATTCGATCTTGATACCATTGCTATTGGTATTGCCGCCATTGGAATTGGATGAGGATTTGTTGGAAGGGCGACCAAACACCCGCTTGAACTTGTCTCGGAGTGGCATGGTTGGTTGATGGATGGATTATGGGCAGACGGACAGATGGGCAGGCGACTTAAAGTGAAATCAATTAGACGGAAGATAAGGATATCACGTCGCGGATCTCACGGTAGCGGACCACTCCCGAGGAGGGAACGGACGCGGAGGAGAGTATGCAAGACGAGCGGTAGTAGGCTGGCCGGCACAACGTCGGGACCATCGTTTGGCTGCGAAACAAGAGGACGATTGGAAAGGAAAAGAGGATAAGGATGAGAGAGAAAGAGAGAAAGAGAGAAAGAGGGAAGAAGTAGGAAGAGTGGAGGCGAGTGGAGAGCGGATGTGGATATAGATATGAACGCAAGGGAAGGATGGCACGGGTGACAACGACTTCAGGAATGGATTGAGACACGCAGAACCGACCGTGACTATTGGCTCTGGAAAGCGGAGGATTCCTGTTAGAATCTTGCTGGTATTATTATAATTATAATCATAATAATGGGCATTCGTGTATCTGGGCGTCCGTCTTAGTGTCTCCATACATCATCACCGCACCAAGAATCTCGCAATCCTTGCCTCGTCTCCGTCACTCAAGGCATGCATTATAGTATTTCCCTTTCTTCCCACCGGCATTGTAAAACAGGGCAACAGCCAGGCTTTAATCCGGGGCGCCCAGTGCAGCGTCTGTGGCGAGGCCAGCGAGGAAAATGCCGCATTCAAGGAATTTATGTACGGAGAATCCCGCCCATTCAGGTAGCATCCAGCGTCGGACGGAGGTTCAGGGTTCAGAACCACGATCTGCAGCTGCAAGCGAAGATTCCCCCGAATCTTGGCCAAACTCAAGCTCAACTAGCGATGCCACCGCCACGGTCCAGCAGAGCTCCTGAGGACATCATAGATCTCCAGACAATTTGCGCCTGTTTGTTCCTCGATGGAGATAGATCAGTTGACCGTCACCACATCGCTGGGAATGACGTGTTATTTTGCCGTGCGTACCGGCTGGGATCGGACATAGCTGTGACGGCGTAATCATAATAATAATCATCGATAGTAATAATGGGGCGTAGGATTACGTGCAGTGGTAGCTGGATAGGCCAATCTGGGGGAAATGAGTCGCCCCACGAGGCGGATTAATCAAACGAACCGCAGTTGAGCATAACATAACAGTAGCAGTAACAGTAACAGGCTAACAATGGGCAGTTGACAGTCATAGATAAATAAAAATAAGAATGATCCTAGACATCTACAGGTTGTAGTGAACAGGGAGAATGCCGGACTGTGAGTGCTGGACGGAGCAGTAATCCAACTGGAATTTGCGATTTCCCCAATGGGGAAATGCGCCCCCACTCGGCACCGCGCTTCCGGCGGCTTATGTCATATTATTGATCGGTCACGTGTAATTATGCAAACAGTGCAAATCATGCAAACTTGAACGCCACACGTGATACTGCATCTCGACGTCATTCCAGCAGCTCACCACAAAATAATATTAATTAAATAAAAGTGATGAATAATACTAAAATAGTTGCAGGGATGAAACATTCATTTCTACCTTGTTCTGCTGTTATGCCTGTGTGTTACTCTTGAGAAGTGTGCTGAAGAGTGTCTGCAGTTGTACTAGTGGTGGTGCTGTGCAACCTCAGGCTGCAGGAACAGCCACGTAGAACGCAGATGCTCCAGTCAAATGCAGGGGAATAGTATAGTAGACACTAAATATATCTATTGGAGAGGGGATCAGATGGCCGGTCGATCGCTTGTATTTTGTGTACAGAAACAGTCCATATCAGGGGTGAGAATAGACAAATGCAGAATGGACAGTTGCTCCTGTGTAATAGTAGATATACGAGTCGCCAACATCGGACTCTAGCAAGAGCATTCCGCAGTAAATGATCACTTTACCCTTTCTCTGAGAATCACATCCAGGGGAAAAAAACATGGATTATTTCATCCTGGAAATTCTCTTTCGCTGTCATTCCAGACTCTCTTTGACTTCGACATGCAGTTCTCAGCCAAGCCGGACCAAACAAAGAACTGTCTTACGTGATGACCGACCCAGTTTTCCTTGACCTCTTCTGCCTACGCTCTCGACATTGTCCCTCTGTCCCATCTCGCTGCACGGCGTCGTTGGATCTGATCGACGTCAAGCTTATTTCTTGGTAGGAAGCCCCTTTCTCTCTCTGGCCCGCGCGCGTCTGCACCCCGTTCGGGTCTCGGGTTTCTCTCTGATCTGTGCGCGGCGCAATTCTCATCTTTTTCGCTCCAGCTAATTAATCTTCCGTCGGCAGTTTGCAACCCTCCCATCCACACAAAAAAAAGTCTTCCACGTTCTCAGTCTACAGCATCCGCAATGGCGAAAAAGGGTGGAAAGAAGGGCAACAAGTCCAAGAAGGGTGGTGGTGGCGGTGCGAAGAAGGCTACCGCTACGCAGAATGTCGCGTGAGTACCGTTCGACGCGCACACCGTTAACTGCCTATTACATACATCACTGACACCGGCCAGTACTGCAGGACATGCTGTCGAGGATCGCTCCGCCTTCACTGATGGCGAAGCTGAAAAGTCCAGTGTTCATTCAACCGAAGCTCCGGCTATTACTGCTACCGCTCCTACTCCTTCCGCTGCTCCGCCCCAGGTGACCGAGGAACAGCCAAGTGCAGAAAACGTGGAGGAGAAGGAGGAAACTCCATCGACAAAGGAAGTTGCTGAAAGTACCACCCAGCCTTCAGTGACTGAGGAAGAGGAACAGCCTACTACGGAAGAGGTAGAAGATGCTCCATTGACCAAAGAGGTTGCCGAGAATAGCATCCAGGATGCAGTCGACAAGGTGCAAACATCGAAGACTGGTCAGGTGCCTCTCCTCGATGCAATGCCTCCGGAGAATGGTAGGGATTCTTTGCATGCTCGCGAGGGCATAACCTGTTCTTTGGCCATCTACAGAGGACCGGCTAACCTAGTTTCCACAGGTATCTTGCCCGAGGTTCCCAGGAAGGAATCCTCTGCATTGCCAACCTGCCCTCCTGATTTTCCGCTACCCGACACCAAGGTCGAAAAGGACAAAACCGAGCCGGCGGTAGCAACTGAAGTTGTTGCCGCATCGACGACGACGACAGACCTCCCCGAACGGCCCAAGGAGCAGGAAACGGCGGTTGTCGGAGAAAAAGTTGCCGCCGCAGACGTTCCTAGCTTTGCTACTCACCCAAAGCGTCCATATGAGACAAGCCTTTTCGCAAAGGAGGAGGCCAAGCCCCCCAAGATCCCAAAAGTTGATGAGCCGGCTCCCGCACAGCCGCGAGAAAAGGCTCAGCCCGCTACTGAGGACACTGCCAAGGCTGAGGATCTAGAGACCCCCAAAAGTGAACCCGCTGGAGCTGCAGCTGTTGCACCCGTGACAACCCCAGATGTAACTGCGAAAGAGACCAAGGATGACCTGCCCGCAGAGAAGGAAACCAAACTGCCGAGCGTAGAAGCAGCTAGTCCCGAAACAGCGGAGAAGGTCGTGCATCCGGTCGAGACAGTAAATGAGCCTACACCGGCGGCTGAGGCGGAAGCACTGGAGAAGGAGTCGGACGTTGCTGAAGTTTCCGGTGTAGCTTCCGGCTTCACCGCGCCGTCCGAGACCACCAATGAAGCACTATCAGCCCAGGCCACCGCCACTGCGGCCGAAACTGCGGTAGGGACGGCAGAGCAGCCACAGACAACCGTCACAACCGGATTCCATGAGAGTCTTGAACCTGCACCTGTGACCGCACCCAACTCGGTTGCCGGCAGCCGCGACAACAGCGTGGATGCATCAGCGGCAACAGGGCGATCCAAGGATGGCGCCTCATCATCGTCGACGGACACTCTCGACAGCGAGTCCAAACTGAAAGAAGAGGAGCTCCGCAAGGCGGAAGCACGAGTAGAAGCTCACAAGGATGCAATCCGACACCTGATGACGGACGAAACCAACCCTGAAGTCGCAAGGGAAGAGACAAAGGAGGAAGCGAAAGAAGAAGGCAAGAAGGAACTCAAGCATGAAAAGCCCTCCACCAGAAAGGACGTCGCAGGAAAAGAAGAAAAACAACAAGAACAAAAAGCAGCCGAAGAGACATCCCAGAAGAAACCAGAAGAGCCTGCTACCGGCAGAACCTCGATCGAGAAGAAGACCTCCGCCGAGAAATCAGCCGACAAGGCTAAGGAGGCCGCTGCCGCCGCCAAAGAAGAGGCTAAGAAGGGCGGGTTCTGGTCCTGGCTTAAGCGCAAAGTCAGGGGTTAGGCGAATGAGACTTACTTAATCTTTTTTTTTTCTTTTACTGATTCATGAATTGCTTAATTACGCGGAGGAAGGGAAAAGGATAGGACAGGACAGTTGGTTGCTTATACTCATGTTCATGTTCTTTCTTTATCATGAATTGTGTTTTTATCTTGGGGGATAAAAAAGAATAAAAGAGAATAAAATTAAAAATGTAATCTGAGGATAAGATGCCTGTGTTTCCTGATGTCTTCTTTCAGTCTCCAGAAACCAACATTGGCTTGCACAGGGAATATTAAATGAACAGCTTGGTCTAGTTAGTGTTGCAATAGATAGCATTGATTTGATTTGATTTTCCCATTCCATGATTAACTAGACAACATAATTAATTACCTCTATTAACTCGAATAAACTGTATGTAGTATTGAGTCATCACTCCAAGCACCACCTTTTTGCTTTTCACCCATTCCGTCATTGGAAGACTAATCAAAATCGAAATGAAAATATTGTAAAAACAATCTGGTCTGTCTGCAGCAGTCCTTTCAGATATGCATGATGCGTATGTATGTATGTATGTATGTATGTGCGCGTGTATGATTTAGAATAGAATAGAATGCTTTAAGAACCAGCGCTCAAGATGCAGATTTAGCATATCGGCTCTTCTTTCTGATTTGGCTTCCATATCGGAAGAATATGTACCTTGACGCAATGTCAGACACATAATCTGAGAGGTAGAAAAAATAAACAACAGAAACTTACGGAAATGGGGCCATAGCCAGGGTCAGAAACGCTAATAATGATGTCGCCCAATGGTAATTCAGTCGATTATACACTATTTTTCCCTTCAGTCAAAGTATTGAAGGGGGTAAAAGGCTGGAATCACTCACTCTGGATTCCAAATAGAGGGAAAACACCACCGAAGCTTGACCGCGCGAAACTGTTGGCCGAGAGCGCACTGGCTGCGTAAAGGGGATACGCATCAACTAAGAATGTGAAGATGCCCGTGTAGACCAGGATCATCCTGTGGGTGCAGAGTTAGCGATGAAGGTAGAGCAATGGTATCAAACAATAATAACGATGGAAACTTACCCTGCCGCGAAGACAGCGGAGCCGATTATTGGCCCTATCCAATGTACATTAGGGTAGATTGTCCATGCGAAGATGAACATCCCGATTGTAACAAGAGGCGCGCCCCCGATCGCTAATAATGGGCACAATCAGAGTTAGTAACCGGACCAAAAGACTGCAATGCCAGTACTAAAAGAAGTAAAGTTACACAACATACCGGGTGGCAGTCGCCATTCCGGCTGAGGGTCATCTGTCCTTCCAACCTTCTCTTGATGATTACGTTCCAACCTGGCATAGTTGCGGCGCCATAAAGGATCAGTGAGAATGGCACATACCATTCCCACGAGCAACCCCAGAAAGGTGCAGCCACACTGCCATAACCCGAAGCCGTATACGTGGGAGAAGACCAGCTCGAAGGCGCCGAAGAATAGATACAAGATGCCCAGAAGAATGGCGGAGAAAATGCAGAGATTTAGACACATCGGCTCGAGGATCAAAAGGAGTATCGGTCTGTATATAGACCGTATAACCGTCTGGAGGACGGAGCGCTGCATCTTCTCGATGGGAGCAATCCATCTGTCATCCCCGGTCTCCTTGCGGAGTTTTCGGGCCTTGTTTCGGAGCAGTCTGGTAGAAGATTAGATCGGAGTTTGTGACAAAGAAAGGAACAAGGAAGCGTACACTGGGTGGTAAGTCTCCGGAACAAATAAGACAATAGAGACTAACAGTGCTCCCGCCCAGATAAGAAGGACATAGAATGACCATCGCCTACGAACTGTTTAGCTCGATATACTTGCCAATTGTGGGGGATCATTTGAAACAAACCAGAGAGTGAACTCGTTTACAAAGCCTCCGACCCTAGCACAAGTCAGTCGGGATAGAACAAGAGTTGAGTCCATATGTAATCAATGACTTACAGAGGACCGATAACTGGACCAACGAACGGACTTGCCGTGTAAAGCATCATCGGAGGTCCCAGGTGCTGCCGATCGAACATATCACCGACAGTGCCGCCAGCGACGCTGAGAAAGGCGCTCCCTGCCACGCCGTTGAAAAAGCGGCATACAAGCATCGTCTGGACGTTCTTGGCCACAGCACATGGGATTATGAAAAGCAGGAAGACCGTGAAGGAGGCAAGGTAGATGTTCCTTCGCCCATAGAACTGACAAGAGCTTTAGCCAACTACCCTCAGCAAAGGATGTCGAACAACAAACCTCCGACAATGGTCCTAAGAGCAACGGCCCAATTCCTACATCATTCCAGTCAGTATTAACTGTCCCATTTCCCCAAGACAAGACAGGAAACGGTCAATCTCACCAAGGCCCCAAATAAAGAAGGACAAGCCCAAAGTGGCAACAATCCTCGAAATATGAAACTCCTTCGTGATCTGGCCATAGGTCGTCGTATACATGGACGACGTGCACGTCCTAGAAGCATGTTTAGAAGGAATTGTTTCCTCAAAACTAGTATAAAAAAGGAGTGGAATGGGTAAAGGAAAGGGAAAAATGGGGGAGAGGGATCAACCCAGGCGAAAACAACCCAGCCCAACTCACACGCAGAGAGACCCCAACGAAACAATGACCGTAATTAACCACTTCCTGAACGAGCTGAGATTCCGAGGATTCATCGCATCACTCTCCTCCCAGCGAACCGCGAACGACTCATCGCCACCAGCTGCTGCTACTGCTGCTGCGGCCTCACGGTCAATCGCTTCCTCCGTGTCTTCTTCGTCTACCGCGCCACAGCTATATCCGTCGTTCAGAGACCAACTGCGCTCCATTGAGACGTGAGATGTGGCAGAGTTTAGTTTCTGCATGGGTACGACATTGTCGCCATTATTCCGATCTGTGACGGGGCGATTGGACGGTGCCGGAGTCGCTTCAGTGTCGTTGTCTTTGCTATAATCGGTGTTCGAGGGAACTCGGGAGTGATTTTCTCGATCCATTTTATTGTTCGTTTTCCTGTCCTCCGTAACAAGAGGATTCCTATAAGAGTCTTGTGTCGTGTCTCTCGTGGTCGTGGAAATCGGTCCTCCACCGAGACGCGAAGCTGGAGAGAGCGAGAGGATCAAGGGCAGAAAGTCTTATTGTATGTTCGCTTCTGTTCCTCTCTATTCATGAAGCTAACAGACATATCACAGCATGTTAACTCTATATCATAGGACGTTGAGTCATGGTGAAAATAGAATAGGATTTACAGAAGAAAAAGAAGAGAGGACATAGGATGCTCTTTTCTTCAATCTCGGAAATAACTCCGACTCTCCTTTTGATGTCCGAAGAGCTTTTATTATGATAACCTTTTTAGTTACTTTGATGCAGTTAATTAATAAGCTGTGATGGCCTAACTAACCAGTTGGTTAATTAATTAACTATTGGAGTGATGAATAGAAGCTGGATGGAAGCTTTCCATGTCAGAATGCAGCCCAAAGGTGAATTGCTGATTATTGATCTCCTGTCTGCAGTTACCTATGCATCTACCGGGAATAAAGAATCAATTAATCATTGCTAACATCTCCTTCTACGGCGATTAGGTCTAGGTGGTATTGATGATTAATTACTAGCTCCAAGAACAGACCCGTCGGCAATGCAAAAGCTTGCTTTTTGCCGACGGACTGCCATTAAAAACCCATGACAACGCAGTATGGGCCATAACTATCATCTCTCTTTTTTTATTCTCTATGAATGCGATTATCAGGAACACTAGACCAGTGTTCCTCCTACATGTATTATATACCACATGTCCTGTCCCAAATCCAGACTGGCCTGGAAAGAAATTATTTTATACTACACCCCAAATGGCTTCAAAGATAACACAGAAAAAAAAAAGGCTCGACGCAGCCATTATCATACATACCCCTTTCTATTCGTCAATCCCATATCCCTTGCGCAACTCTACTGGTTATTATTAAACGCTCGTACTATATCCCGCTCCGACAGCTCGTCGGCTACTGACTGCGCGGAAGTGCTTCCGCGCCTCGTCAACCCAGAATACCGAACTCGATATGCATATCAGCTTAAACAGGTGCCCAAAGCCAAGTGCCTCTGTCTGGAAGATGCGTTGCAGGAAAGGTAGGTAAATAACACACGCCTGGCCCGCAAGGGACCCCAGAACCGCATAGTTGAACATCTTATTTCCAAACAACGGCAGCTCGCCGCGAAGTACTGATTTACCCTCGCTGCGGCACGTAAGGGCATTGAACATGTCGAAGAACACAAAGCAGGTAAACGTCATCGTCGTATCGTGTGCTGTAACAACCCGGGTACGCTTCCCCGTGTTGGCGGTGTCGCTTTCGTCGCCCATCTCGTGGATATAGATTGCAAGAGTCCCCAGCATGATGATTAAGGCCGATGTCAGGACGCGACGGACAAGCAGTTTGGTTAAGACGCGCGCATGTTTGCGACGTGGTGGCCGACTCATGACCGATGGGTCAACTGGCTCCACGCCTAGGGACTGCGCCGGTGGGCCGTCCATGAGGATGTCTAACGCAAGTTCGTCAGCGGTCGGTAAATGATACATGCCCAAATGGTCAAAACCTACTGATCCAAAGTATTTGCATCGCATTAAGTGGATTCTTAAACCCCAGCATGGTGCTCAGCAGTACGAGACTGAGAGCAGCAACGCTAGTGCTCAATTGAAACGTAATGAAGTTCTGAATGTTATAGAAAATGCCTTTGCCCTGTTCAATGGCTCGAAGGATCGTCGAGAAATCGTCGTCCGTCAAGATCATGTCCGCCGCCTCCTTAGCAACGTCCGTGCCGAGCTTGCCCATGGAAATTCCGATGTCCGCTTTCTTCAGAGCCGGTGCATCATTGACTCCGTCTCCCGTCATGGCCACCACATCTCCCCGCCATTGCAATGCACGGACGATCTTCATCTTGTGGTCAGGGCTCGTGCGCGCAAAGATTGACGTCGACGCAATAGACTGTGCAAGCTCCTGAATGCTCATGTGGTCAATCTCGTCTCCTCGCAGTACGGGTCGTGCTCCCGCGGAATCATTGATCGGCATCCCGAGTTTCTTGGCAATCGCAACAGCCGTTGTCTCAGCATCGCCCGTAATCATGATTATCCTCACTCCGCCCGTCATCAGGCGCCAAATAGCCTTGTGGACATCCTTTCGCGGGGGGTCGTTCATCCCCATCAGTCCCGCGAAGACAAGCCCGCTAAAGCGTTCATCGTTTTCAGCTGGGTTAGTCATACCAACAGGAGTTCTTGATCGACTGCCATTGCGACTTGCCCGAACATCGCCCCGCACTGGTCCGCTCGCAAAGGCTAGCACCCGCAGTCCCTCTGCTGCCATTTGCTCGGCCGCCTGTCTAGCTATCTTGCGTCGTGGCTCATCCAGAATCACTTCACGGCCATCCTTCGTTAGGTACGTATCGCATCGCGATAATACCTGTTCAAGAGCGCCTTTAATATACGCGACATCGGTGCCTCCATTTGCGGTGAAAGAGGACAAGTCCTCAGGTGCACTGCTTCCAATAACCACGCCCATCCACTTCCGTTCCGAGCTGAAAGGTGTCTCAGCAACACGCGCACTTATGCGTTCACGTACATCTTCTTCCCCGAAAGTATCCAACAAGTCCAGGATGGCCACGTCGGTCGGTTGACCGACCCATTTGCTCTTAACGGCACCCGACGAGCTGTCAACTGTCGAACTCAGAACTGCGGCTGATGACGCGCTGGCAGGAGAATTCGCATGCATACGGTAGAGTCTGGCGTTGTTGGCGATGTTTCCAATGCGGAGGACTGTCCGCGCAGCCGGCCCGGGCGTCAATGAAGTGATATCGTTGTTGACCTCGAATGGCTCCGGGCAGTCAAAATGCCACATTCGGCTGACTGTCATGTGGTTCATTGTCAGGGTCCCGGTTTTATCGCTGCAGACAACGTTCACTGAGCCTAAAGTCTCCACGCTTGGAAGTTTCCGCATGATAGCCCCCCTCTTGGCCATGCGCAGCACCCCTAGCGCAAGCGTGACAGTCACAATGATCGGTAGACCTTCGGGAATAGCCGCAACGGCAAGTGAAACTCCAATGGTAAACATGTCAAGCAGCTTCCTGCCTTGTAATAAGCCGATGATAACAATCAATCCGATGACACCAAATGAAATGTAGCTCAATTCCTGACCCAGTCGATCCATAGACAGCTGTAGTGGAGTACGGGGACTTTCGATCTCCTGAAGTGAAGCCGAAATGCTGCCAAATTCTGTCTTTGGGCCAGTTGCAATCACAATTCCCTGTCCATGCCCCGATCGTACCAGCGTACCCATGAAGGCGATATTGTGCTGTTCATTCAACCGAATATCCGTACCAACAGTGCCGCTAGCAGGCGCGTCATAGAACGGAGATCTAGGGGGTGTGACGGTTTTTGACGACCGTAAGCCACTTACACCGCGCAAGGCATCTGAATATTTCACCACGGGTTCATTCTCCCCCGTCAAGTTAGATTCATCAATGGCCAAATCGGTAGCAATCGTGATTCTAATATCAGCCGGAATACGATCACCAGTTGAGAACAGTACCAAGTCACCTGGGACAAGCTGACTTGCGGGAACGGTCGTGGAAGCTTGCACAGCTGCCGACATACTGCTGGAGTTCCTTGGCTCCTGCATTTCAATCTCAGTTCCGTCCGTAGTTGAAGCTGGTGCTTTCATTGTACTGTAATCGGAGGGAACATTGCGGATAAGATGAGCATGATGCGGTACAAGACGGTTCAAAGCCTCCAGGGACTTCTCCGACCGATACTCCTGGATAAATCCCACGGTCACGACAATCGTCACGGCGATAGTAATGCTAATCGCATCGTCGTAGTTGCCCATAAAGAAGGAAATAGCAGCAGACGCCAGGAGTAACAGTATCAATGTCTCTTTGAACTGCTTGAGAAACCGCAGCCACAATGGCTCAGGATCATCATGAGGGAGCTCGTTCGGTCCATCCTGTAGCAACCGCACTTCTGCCTCCGCAGGAGTGAGTCCGTAGATAGGAGAGGTTTGGAGGCGCTCTGCAGTTTCTTCGGGGCTTAGTAGAGAGTAGGTCGATGTCGATGACTACCAGCACAGCATTCATTCAATCAATCAATCAGCGAACCCTCAACTGCCAAACCGTGCGAAATGTAGAAGGAAAAGGGGAAGAAGAACTATCAGCCCATAGTGGAACTCACAGACGGAATATATTTAGAGGGTATGTCTACAGATGCCGTCGACGAAGGCCGAGGAACGGCGATCTGTGCATTATGCAGAGGAAGCGCAGGCGTTGCGGACCTTGACATCTCGCATGCTCCGCTAAGAAGGTCAAGGAAGGAAAAGGGACCAGAGAAATTAGCATTCAGGACTATCTCATGTCATCAGGAATTGGCGTGTCCGAATTGGGAAGAACTGGCAAGCAACAGGCCGCGTTTAAAACGAGATGTCTGGAAACTGCATAAATGACTTCGAGTCGAATAGTAGAATACGGGGTAGACGGCGGCTGGAAGAAAGGCCTGGGCGCTAGGTAGATTCGAGGGCGGACGACACGCAGGTTGTGCCAGGTTGTCGATCTACTTCAAGCCAGACAAAAACCAAGATCCACACAAGCAAGAAACGGGCACTCTCCAGACGAGACGCGCCTCTTTTGACTGCTGTCAGCGAAAGAATGCCAGATGTTCGAGGCTCTTTTTTGTCCAACGCGGAGCACGGAGTACGCCAGGGCGCTTTTCCGCTCCGGTGTTAGTCTCGGGGAATTAGTATCGCCGGTGTGTCTAAAACTGGAAGAAGTCATCGGTTTACTCACGTGATATTGGTATTTCCCGATTGGGAAAGAGCGAAAGTGAGGAGGCTGGGCCACGCTCAAAGCCCGGACAACGCGCCCATCACAGATGCATTTCATCCATCCCATCTTCGCTATTTATCTCAACTCATCAAAAAGACCCCCGTAGGCGGCTCCGCTGTCATTAACCAGCCTAGTAAGGGGTTCAATGCTACGTTATCTGCCTTCTCTTGAATTTCTTGAGGTGTGCTAGGCGACAATTGTTTTGGTTTTTTCCCCCTCCTGAATCCCGACGCGTTGGCACGGTAAATCAGTCTTGGTTTTCTTTTTTTTTCCCACCAACAACCAACAACAAACCCCGCGTCGGGCGGGTATCTTGGACGAATACTTTGCATAGTTACATTTTTGCACTTGGACGCGATTCACAATGTTCTATTCTGAGACTCTCCTGTCGAAGACGGGGCCGCTGGCCCGCGTTTGGCTGTCGGCCAACCTCGAGCGCAAACTCTCCAAATCGCATATTCTGCAGTCAGATATTGAGAGTAGCGTTCACGCAATTGTTGATCAGGGTCAAGCGCCTATGGCTTTGCGATTGAGTGGTCAGTTACTGCTGGGTGTGGTCCGAATATACAGCCGGAAGGCTCGCTATCTCTTGGATGATTGCAACGAAGCTCTCATGAAGATCAAAATGGTACGTATGCCGTGACTATATGTGATATGATGTACTGACTTCTCTGCGGTAGGCCTTTCGCTTGACTAATAACAATGATTTGACTACTACTGTCGTTGCTCCTGGCGGCATTACCTTGCCCGATGTGCTTACGGAATCTGATCTGTTCATGAATTTGGATGCCTCGCTGCTTCTGCCTCCGACTCTTAACCTGGAGCCAGGAGGCAAGCAATTGGGTTCTAAGGATTTTGGAAGCCAGCTTCTACCTGACAGCAGTTTCCGCCGCTCTGTTTCTCAGGAGCCTGCCCAACTTGAGGATCACACTTTAGTCGACCTTGACTTGGGAGAAGATGAAATGCCATTGGGGCATGACTACAGCATGGAAGTTGGACGAGACGCGCCTGCTCCCCGTCCCGTCGAGGAGGATCTCTTCAGTGATGCCGGCAAGTTCAACGATATCGACCTACCTCTGGACTTGGGCGAAGACGGTGCTCCCCTGGGTAAGATGGATCTGGATATGGACAACGAAGGCCCTCTTGACATCGGGAATGGACTGCTGGGTCAGGAAGATACCATGGACATCGGCGGTGATGGCGACGCACTCGCCCCTAATGAACCCGAGGATGCTGAAGAGAGTCGATTCGAGCGCGAAAGTGAAAGCCCCCCTCTTACAGAGGTTGGGTCAGAGGACTTGGGTGAACTCGAGGAAGTTGTGAAGGATGGCGAGGAAACTGTGGTTCGACATGCCCATCGGGTCAAGCGCCGGAAACTTATAGGACTTGACGAAGTCATCACGATGAACAGCCATCAGATCAAAGAGCAGCAAGCGAACCGGTCCAATATCCTGAAGCCTACTTCCTTTCTACCTCGAGACCCCGTTCTACTCACTCTGATGGATATGCAAAAGAACGGCGATTTCGTGACCAGTGTGCTGGGAGACGGTCGCGGACGTGGATGGGCACCGGAGCTTCGTGATTTACTGTCATTTGACGCAGTCAAAAGATCTGGTGAGTTGAAGAGGAAGCGCGACAGCGGAATTGCCGACGTGGATGTGGAAGCTGTGAATGTTCCTGCGCTCGAATTGGATGAGGAGGACGGAGTGGTACCGGTGGACGAGGGCATCGATGTCGACACGACGCTGAACCGATCGGAAGTCGAGCTGCCCGGTGACCAGGAGGACCAGGCCTTGCACGCCAGCGATTACGAGGGCATGAACCAGACGTTCGAGGATTTTGATGACACCGTTGTTCAAGCGGCAGATAGCGGCCCCGTCTCTGCTGGCACCAAGCATGCAGTTCACATCCTACGGGACCGACTCGGCAGCTCGGCAGCGGAACAGAAAAAGGCCGGCGTGCTTTTCCAGGAAATTTTGCCGGAGAAGAAATCCAGCCGGGCGGACGCCACTAAGATGTTCTTCGAAGTCCTGGCGTTGGCAACTAAGGATGCTGTGAAGGTTGAGCAACAGACGGACAAGATTGGTGGACAACTGCGCATCCGAGGCAAGGCAGCGCTATGGGGATCGTGGGCTGAGGAAGAGACGGAGAGTGAGGCTGTTCAGAGCGCGGCCTAGTTTTTGCCTCCGTCAGTGTATAAGTACCAGGTATTGATTGCTCTTCTCATTTTTTACGGTTTCTTTTATTGGCTTTGACTGGGATCCGGTTGGTTTTTGAGGGTTCTGCTTTCATGGGAATATGGTTTTCTATGGGAGCCGGAGTTGGATTCTATTGAGCTCAGGAGCTGGATCGTTGCTTCAGGTTAGATAGGTAGTAATCAATCAGTCATGACTTCAGCATGCAGTAGTAAGTACAGTACAGGACGCACAGTCCTAGCTAAAAAGTAAACCCTACCTAGGTAGGAAAGTCCGATATCGCCCCTGTCGAACCCGACGGAGCGGCACCCACGGAAGCGGAAGAACGCGGAGCACCGTCCACCCAATCCCGCATTGCAGAAGCAGCCTTATCTCTCACCAATGACGGGGCGGGATAAGCTCCAGGCGAAGCATTTTGGGAGAAATTATTACTGGCTGGATAAAGTAATAGTGGATGCGACTAGTTCTAGTTGGACCCACATGGCGTGGGGTGGCAACACGACTTTATCTGCAGCCAATCAGGAGATTTGGAAGACAGCATCAATCACCCAATTGCTGGAGGGCTGATAAGTGCGTTGGAGCGATCCTGCGAGGAAGATGGATGCAGGTACGATCAGGTTGAACAAGTTGAAGTCTGGATGCAACGTTTTTTTTGATAGTCTGTGGATAAAGATATAGATAGGTAGATAGATTGTTACATAGATAGAGGACTGGGGACTCTACATATAGACGGGATGTCTCGTGTTGATTGAGAGGCTTGGTTTGATTCTTTCTCCCTTTTGATCTGTACTCCGTACGGAGACATCGCTCGACAGATATCATACCACAATGGGAGAGTGCCAAGGGAGCTATGAATTCAGCTTCAGCTAATACGACACAGTGCTGAGTGAATATGAATGTGAACAGGAAAAGCAAAGAAAAGTGGCATGGGCCAGGCTGATCCATGGGGTGGACGAGGGAAGAGATGATGATGATATGGCATTATCCATTCTATACGGAGACAGAGAGTGATGTTGGGATTATGACTTTTGCCACGATCCGGTGCTGTTAGGAGTCATGACGATGCTTTTCTCTCGATGCATCACTGTCGATCAGACATGAACACTCTATTAGAATTTTCTTTTTCGATAGCCGCGCCTGGCTTCACTTTTTTTTTCCTCTCTCCTGAAGGAGCAGCACTGTTTGACAGTGTCAGCATTGAATTATCCTCGATATCAACATTATCAAAGATCTTCTGGCCACTCATACATTCCGTGACCAGTTCGCATTGCAAATTGCAACTGTTTCGCTCCACATCCCGGCCTTGGCTTCTTTTCCAGAATTCGGCATGCTTTAATACTTTTATTTAGAAATTCTCTCTGATATATACCACACTCTCGTCCTCCGTGGCAATTCTCTCCCCGTTTCTCTCCATGCTGTGAGCTCTGGACTGCTTCTTTGCTCACTTGAACACTGTCATTCCCATTTTCATTCTCATGAACATCATACCGTCGACATCACTCTGTCATTGTTGATTTTTTTTTTCCCTTTCTTTCCCTCCCTTTTTCCACATCTTTCTCCCTGGCCTCCCTGGTGGTAGTCCTTACTTCTGATTACATCTCGTCATGGCCTCCGACGGCATTGCGCCGTACGTCCCCGACTATGCTTCCTACAATTGGACCGGAGCACCCTCGAACTACGATCTCACTACCAATGTGAACACCGGTGGTAACTCTCGTATGTGTTCGCTTGTTTTTTCCGATTCCCATCCCCCGGGCGCTTTCGATAGCTGACACGCTCTCCTGCGACCTAGGTACCGAGAATCTGAACAAATGGTTCCAATCCGGTGATCAGGCCTACATCATCGTCGCCTCTGCCATGGTCATGATCATGGTCCCTGGTGTTGGCTTCCTATATTCCGGTCTCGCCCGTCGAAAATCCGCCCTAAGTATGATCTGGGCCTGCATGGCCTCCATGTCTGTCATCACCTTTCAATGGTATTTCTGGGGTTATTCTCTCGCTTTCTCTCCCTCCGCCACAAATGGTTATATCGGTAATCTTCGAAACTTCGGTCTGATGAAGACATGGGCTGATCCGAGTCCGGGGTCTCCTTTGATCCCGAATCTACTCTACTCATTCTACCAAGTATGAGATTCCGCATGCTTAGAGATGTATGTGCTACAACTAACGCTCGAAAGATGCAATTCTGTGCTGTCACCGCTGCCCTCGTGATGGGTGCCGTCGCCGAACGAGGTCGCCTATTACCCGCCATGGTCTTCGTCTTCATCTGGGCCACCATCGTCTATTGTCCGCTGGCTTGCTGGGCCTGGAACGTCAACGGCTGGGCCTACAAATACGGCGTCATGGACTACGCCGGTGGCGGTCCTGTTGAGATCGGCTCCGGCTTCAGTGCCCTGGCCTACTCCATGGTCCTGGGTCGTCGTCAGGAACGCATGATGCTCAACTTCCGCCCGCACAACGTCTCCCTCATCCTCCTCGGTACTTGCTTTCTCTGGTTCGGATGGCTAGGCTTCAACGGTGGCTCGTCCTTCGGCGCAAATATCCGTGTCACCATGGCCTGTTGGAATTCCAACCTCACCGCTGCCTTTGGTGCCATCACATGGGTTATTCTCGATTGGCGTTTGGCTAGAAAGCTGTCCATGGTCGGCTGGTGTTCCGGCACGATCTCGGGTTTGGTTGCTGCTACCCCTGCCTCGGGGTATATCACTCCCTGGGCCAGCGTGATCTTGGGCGTTGTCACCGGCGCCGTATGCAACTATGCCACCAAGGTCAAATACTGGATCCGAGTAGACGACTCCATGGATGTCTTCGCCGAACACGGTGTAGCGGGGGTAGTCGGTCTGGTCTTCAACGCACTCTTTGGCGACGACGCTATCGTTGGCCTTGACGGCGTCAACACAGGCTCCGGCGTCGGTGGCTGGGTCATCCACAACTACCGCCAGCTCTATGTACAAATAGCGTACATCGTGGCTACCTCCGCATATGCATTTGTCATGTCCACCATCATCGCATTCGGCATCAACCTGATCCCCGGACTAAAACTAAGAGCATCAGAGGAGGCAGAACTCCTCGGCATGGACGACGACCAATTAGGCGAGTTCGCCTACGACTACGTCGAGGTCCGCAGGGACTACCTCGCCTGGACACCGCAGAAGCACGAACAGCTCGAGGACGGACACCAGATCCCCGCGCATGACCGCTACGGCATCGACGAACACAGCCATATGATGCTCGAGGGTAAACCTCCTGCCGGTGCTACCAGTAACAGTTCGGGTGGTTCGAGTGCCAATGAGGACGATCTAAAGATAACTGAGGCTCCTCCACGGCCGGTTGTGAAAGGTGTAACGGGGACTCATCCGACACCGTCACCGACAACACCTAATGAGAAGACGAACGCTCCTTCGTCTTGATCTTCTTCTTCAATTCGCATACATACCGATAACCCGTTGCTTTCTTACGCTCTCTACTTCATCCATATCCCTTGATACTCGATACTCTCTACCCTGTCTACCTGTAGCCTGGAGCTACCCACTCATATTTACATTACCTACGTCCATCTAATCACCTGCAGTTTTCTCTTTGTCTCTTCTGCTTACGTCTCATTTGTCTAGCGAAGCGCTTTTTTTTTTTCCTTGTAAATGCGCATTGATATGCCCATGCTCTATCTATTTTGGGTATATGTACATAGATCTTGGTGCTTCTTTTTGTTTTACTTTATTTTGTATCCGTCATCTTTTTTTTTCTTTTTCTTTTTTATTTGCATAGATACCCACATGGGTGTTAGGGGTGATGAAGTGCTTGTTTCAATTATTTGAAAGCTGTCATAATCTGGTTTGGTGTTCATTTTGGATTATCTATTACATGTCTGTCCTGTGAAAAGAATTCATTCTTCAATATATTACATTATATTCATTGTTCTCTCCATCTCTATACCTTTAACATGGATTTCCATTTTGGTAATAGATACTGTGCACATACATATAGTGAGATATAGATAGCAGTTTGTAGTCCGCATGTTCATTAACTACACATGTCCAATGACGGAAATCGGACGGATTAGCAAACTTCATCAAAATTAATACTTTATTTCATTTTCTACCGTTAACTCCCCCAAGGATCATTTAATCCCATCAGCTTTTTGCTTGCGTCATTTTTCTCATGGGTAAAGTGGCAGGCCTGGGTAATTTGAAAATGGTTAATCTGGCACCATTGCCCAGCTGAGGCTACCTGCACAAATTGACGGGTGAGTAACTGATCACTGAGTAGAGCTCACCGAGTACCCTCATCAGAGCAGCGGCATCTAAAAGGGAGAAGAAGGTTATGGTGGCCATAGGAAATCAAGTCTGTATAGGCGCATACATATTTTATACAAAGATCTAACATCTAACCCCCAAACAAGTGATTTCATCTCTTCACAACTCCCCTCGCCCTAATCCTCTCCTCCCTACTCAACTTATCAACAACCTCCTCCACTTCCCCTCCTCGTAGGACTTCTTCCCACTCGTCATCTTCCATTCCCATCACCATGACTATCTGCAAACATCTCGAGAAGACCTCACGGTGTCGATACCGACTCGGTACACCCGCCCCGGAACCGCCGCCCCTGCTCACATCAACCGCCGTGTTCACCAGGCCAGAGACGTCGCGCTCCAATCTCGTCGCTCCCAGCACATTGACCCGGCCCTGGTACGACCAAAGTCGCTTTTCAAGGAGCCGTGCTAGATACGCCAATGTAACCGTCAGGAGCCGGTCGAGCGCCGCTGGTGTGAGGATCCGCGCGATCGGGACAAGGAGCTCGGCCCATGCGTTTGCGAAGCGCGGCCGGACTAGTTCGGTCATGCTGCCGTCCATGTCGTTGTCGTTTGCCAAACGCTCGTCTTCGTCGCTGTCCTCGTAGTCGTGGTGGATAGTGCTGGTGATTGGGTCCGTGGCGGTTCTCGGTTGATATTCGATGTCTCGGAAGGCGTCTGCCAGAATTGGTCGGAGACGGTGCTTGATGACGTTGTTGAAAACCACTTGGATGCCGTCCGAGAGGAGGTCGTTTGCCTTGGACTCGAAGGACGAGGACAAAGATTGTATGGTTTGAGCTGCTAGCGCGGCCTCATTCGGATCTGGGAAGAGTGAGCGTAGTTGATCTGTCTCCTCAGGACGACCATCAGGTCCTGGGACTGTGCGTTTCGATTCCGTGTTGTTCTGTACAATGCGGCGGATGTAGTCAATTGCCACGTCTAGGTTGTTAATCAGGATCAGGAATGTTATCAATGTGTGCTCCGGCGGCTGGCCCCCCTGGACGAGCGGCTTGGGATAGTAGTCGTCGCGCATTTTCCGCTGGGTCATGCCGATGAAGTCCGAACCAAGGACCCGCGATAACGTAGGCACGACGTTCTTAACAACTTGAATCTGAGAGGTTGCGAGAGATTGATGCAGGATCTTGTTCACAATGTACATGATATCATCAACAGCGGAGGTGATAATGGGAGGATCAGCCTTCAACGGCTTATGCGGGTTCAGAGTTAAACCAGACGGTTGCTCGTCCAGTTGGAAAGCCTTCTCGACAGACCGCCGGACGAAGAAAGTGGTCATGGTATTGAATGGGGTTATCAGACGCTCATTAATCTTCTTCATCAGAGATGATTCTTGTAGGAAGCCCGGAATCTTGATTCTTCCATTGTCGTCTTCTCCAGGATCCTTTTGGCCAAGGATGATCAGTTCACTGAGATGTAAATAAAATATCCCCTAATGCATGTGGACTTACATTGCAAATGTCAGCCAAGAACCGACAGTACAGAGACCAACGGCCCAGCATGACTCCCACCTCGTTCAAGAGCCCATCGATCTCCTTCATATCAACTCCCTCGTCATCAGTGGCAGCCGCGTCCCGAACTGCGGGAGAAGCCGCTCGGGGTGTTCCAGCCCGTTGAGCAGGGAGGAAACTTTGAACCAAGAATGTAAAGGCGTAGGATTTGATATCCATTAGTTTGCGATCCACATGCCTCTCGTCGCTCCAGGTATCCAGGATGATCCCACCCTGAACATCGGCCTCGACCTGCAATCGTTCAATCACCCGTCCCATCTTCCTTGGTCCGTAGTGCCGCTCAACGAGCGGGCCATGTCCGTCAATAATCTGTGCGATGTGTTCAAGCAACTTGGTGAGAGCATTGGCATAGAAGAATCCATCCTTGCTCTGCGACCCTGCGGTGCCAGCATTGAGATTTGCTCGAGCCCGCGCTGCGATCCCCTGGCACACGTAGCGTCCGTAGACATCCAAGCCCACCTCCGATCTGCCTATTAAGGGGAAGAGTTTGAAGAAACGCGTGATCTTAGCACCGTCGTTCTCCTTAACAGCCCGGTCAAACTCGCGTAGGAACAGCCCGCAGAGAGATTCCGCCGCATTATCCAGCGTGACATTCGGCGGATCTGGAACTTCGGCCGTGGGTACAATCTCAGCCGCAAAAGCACCATGCACCACTTCCGGGGGGATCTTTGATGCCCTGTTGAGGTAGCTGGCCGCTGTCTCCCAGTCCTGCGGAGCACCCATCGAGCCAGCTACACCCAATACGCAGGCCTTGAGTTCCGCCACCTGGTCCACAACCTTAAGCGTAGATTTTACACGGGCTTGTTCTGTGTCGAGACGGCGAACGGCGTTGGAAATCCGGTCTGCGGTAGCAGCGGCACCGGACAACATGCCATGGCTGACGGAACGTGTGGTGGTTGTCTGCGAGCTGAGATGGGCGCGCAGAAGATCCAGCCGCCCTAGCTCCCTGGAGAAGTCCTTCTGCAATGCAACCAGTGCATCTAGACGTGCGGTCACGGTAGCCTCTTGCTCGTGGAGATGCGACAGGGTGGCCTTGATCTCGGCGACGGAGCTGGCATTGAAGATGTCTGGAGTGTGGGGGGGGTTACCTGGGTCGAATTGGAGGCATATCCATTAACCGACGGTGGTGGATGTGATTTTGACATCCTCAATGATGTGAATGGAGGCCAGGGGGGAGCAATTGGGGTGGACAGCAATGGAGGGTGAAGTTCGGGTTATTGACAAGTGTTTTGTCGGCAGTGAGATCACGTGTGGATAGCATACCTAGGTACTTGCAGACGTATGCTTAGCATCTACTGAGACAATATGGGTTGCTTGTCTGTTTTCCTTCGCCAGTTCGTTTCATCGGGAGGCTATAGTTTACATTTCTTCGGTCAGTTGTTTTACCAAGTAGCTGCTATGTTCCGGGAATATGGCAACTGCCATGTGTCTGGGCAATTATATATAGTAGTATGTTAGATAGTACAAATATAATACAACCATCTCCCTGTTCTAGCTTTACTTTCCGCATCTCCGACCTTTGTATAGGGACCAACACCTCATTCATACATGGCAGCATGTCCCTCTAGACATTGAGTTACTGAACGACACTGCACACACCGAAGAAATGCAGCTCCAGTTACTAATCAATCCAAGAAAGAAAGCCCAGTTTTAATGAACTACATTCTTCGGCTCTGAGTATCAACCATTCGTAAACTACTAGTTAACGCAAAAGAAAGTGAGGATCCTATGCATTGGCTGTTCTACTGGACATATCCTCGGTCCGCGATTGCATGAGGCGGCGCTCCCACCAACTTCCGCTTCTCGTATAAGTGTCACTTTCGACACAGCCGTACTGGAGAAGCGAGATGGGCAGAATGTCACTGTCATAGTTTGTAGGCTGTCAAGAGCTGTACGTTGTATTGCTGCATCGCACCTAGGTGTGTATATATATATATATAATAAGATGGAAGAATATTGAATTCGAAGTCGTTGGTTGGATTTCTATCTAGTTACCCGAAAGGGAGAGAACTGTTGGGGCTTGCTTCGTATCACCCATGGTCACACAATATTCATCATAGGGGAAACGAATAAACGTACTTTTTATGTAGATGTACTTGGGATAAAGACATTGATTGGCATGTAGTGGTTGATATTAATGAAGGGCGACGAAGACGGCTCACATATGGCGTATAAAGTTGAGCATAATTGATTGATTGATGATCATTGGCAATAATAACAACAACAACAACAAGAACAATAAGAAATGGTGAAAACCATCATCAACTGAAGGATTTAAAAAAAGAAAAGCGAAAAAGGAATCGACCGAGATGGGACTCGAACCCACGACCTTTCGCATGTTCACTAGGAGGCATCTGTGATACCTACCCGGAAACGAATGCGCTACCATTGCGCCACCCGGCCTTGCTTGAAGGTAAAAGCTGCTATTACAATATTGAAGGAAACTCTATGCAATCATACATAGTCCCAGATCCTGTTGTATACACTATGTCAATATTATTAGCCAGCAACGAATTGGGATTCGCGATCCCAATTTCACCAAGGACAGTCTTAGCAGCGTCATTGATAACCGAAGAGGAGAATCCTCGAGGTCAAACCGTTTCAGCTTATTGGCACGGATTCTGAGTGACGTCACTCTACTCCATGCTGACTTGTTTCGTCCCCAGATACTAGCCGAGAAACAACGTCAGTAAAGCTTAATGTCGGGTATTAGTGTTTACCATTAATGGATCTCTTGGTTTATAAAGTATTTGTAAGGGCCTGTGCTGTGGATTTCCAGGGAACTGTTTGTTTCTCATTGGATTGATACTGCTGCTTCCCTTCTGGGGACGAGAAATTACATGTTTCATGAGCATTTTGGTATGGCAAGGAGAATCGGATCATTAAGCTGTGGTTGAAGGTATCAAAGGGAAGATCGTGAGATGCATTGCTATTATAGTATGCCATCTTTTTACTCCGATGTCTAAACAAGAGAGGAGAGCAAAGAGAAAAGATGCCAAGTACAGGTATGAGCAGGCATTGGTGCCTTGGCAGGAATCAGGTATTCCCACACATCTACTTGAACCCCGCACGTTTATACCAGCCTAAACCAGAGAAAATGATGGGCTGTGCCAGTGGAGATGCCAGACTGGACATTATCTTCTTCACATTCACGTAGGCTTGTTCCCTCAGGAGTTGGTTGTCCAGGGATGACCCGAACAAGCCTCTACAGTCCAAGTTAATGGGCACCAACTCGAAAATAGGCACTCGGCAACTGCTCCTCGTGACAATGCAATTTCTTCTTCCATAGAGAGCCCCTGAATTACAGGGTGCTTCTCCTGGAAGACTGCAGCGCAAGAGGTTGCCAAGGTGCTGGACTGGCTAGAGGAACCGGGATGCTGGAGCAGATGACCCCAGACAAGGAGAAGCAGAGACTGTTGGCAGTTTCTCTGCCATTACAGCGGACTGGTATAGTATGGAGTACTATGGGGTATTAGCCTCGTGATTGACATGAAATTAATGAAGAAAGGGAGTTGGTAGCGTACATGGTAACTATTTATTAACTGCCAGGGCAGCGGATGGCTACCTTAGCGCACAGTCGAGATGAACACGAACGATCAACACGAATTCCAAAAATAAGAGAAGAATGTGCAGCTTCTGCAGACGAAGATTCGAGAGCGGATCTAGATCTCATCAGCCGATGCAGGCTTGCATCATGCTATTTGGTGGTCAGGTTGCGGTGGTGTTCCGCGCCTTCTGGGATATGAGGCCCTTGCTGGCTACTAATTGCTGCTATTATTAAATTGTTATTAATGATTATTATGACCATGAAAGAATTGCTTTTTTATTTTTATTAATTTTTTATTTTATTTTATTTTTATATTTTTTCTTCTTCCGTTGCGTTTTCTTTTTTTCGGGCTATTTTTCGGGCTGTGTTGCATGGTGCTTGTTTGGGCACTGCATCCATTCCGTGCCTCGAGGACCAGCGCAGGAGATGCTGCCCAGAGTAGGTCAATCCAGCACAACACCAGGAGGCTGGGATAGAATGAAAGAGAAATACAGTTGATGTTTCCCATGCCTTGTCTCTGCGAAGAAAAGAAAAGAAATAAAGAGCAAACAGGGCAAGCCCCGTGACCAGCGGCGTGGGCCGGCGTATCGCAGACTCTCACCGCGGTCTTCCTAATCTGGTTTCTTCTTGGGTTTCCATATCGTCATCTGCCAGTCGCGCTCTTCTATAAAACTTCACCGTCTCCTCCGTTGCCTCCTTGCCCCTCCTCCTCTCCCCTCTCCCCTCTCTTTCTCTCATTCTCTTCTCCCTCTATCCACTCTCCCCACCCCTTCTGCGCTTCGCAATCCCTTCCCGTTCTCTCCCACACTCTATCTCCACGAAACTTATTTCGCCGCCATGGTCGGACTAGGACCCAAGAGGCCTCCATCCCGAAAGGGTGAGCTTCTCCCCCTTCCTTTCCTCAGCTTTCTCCTCTACCAATGCGACTATGTTATTGATGTGCGCTCTTGCAATGGTTAGGATCAATGGCCGATGTGCCCAAGAATTACTTGGCGCAGATCAAGGAATTTGAGGATCTATTTACTGTCGACACTGCGAAACTCAAGGAAGTTGTCGAGCATTTCGTGAAGGAGCTTGAGAAAGGTGAGTTGAATTTCTACTCTGGTTCTTTTTTGTGTATTTTTCTTTTCTCTTGGCGTTGGTGCGCCATAATTCATACACATACATGTTCGTCATTGACTGACTTCTTCCGCTCATGCGATATCTAGGCCTGAGTGTTGGTGGCGGTAACATCGTGAGCTTCCCCGTTATTTTACCTCGAATTGGATGCGAAAAGAGGAGACAGATGGAGAGAGAAAGAGAGATAAAATATAAACTGCGTGAATATGTGAAACTGACATCACATCCAGCCGATGAACGTCACCTGGGTTATGGAATTCCCCTCTGGTGATGAACAAGGGTCCTTCCTTGCCCTCGATATGGGAGGCACCAACCTGCGTGTCTGTGAGATCTCCTTGACGGAAGAGAAGGGCGGTTTCGACATCATCCAGTCTAAATACAGGATGCCTGAGGAACTCAAGACCGGCACTGCCGAGGAGTTGTGGGAGTACATTGCCGATTGTCTCGAGCAATTCCTCGACTACCACCACGAGGGCGAATCCTTGGAAAAGCTACCACTGGGTTTTACTTTCTCGTATCCCGCTACTCAAAATTCCATCGACCATGGTGTTCTCCAGCGTTGGACCAAGGGTTTCGATATCGATGGCGTTGAGGGCCATGATGTTGTTCCGCAATTGCAGGCAGTCCTCAAGGAGAGGGTATGGTAGATGTTGAAATTCTCCCGATATATGCCTCGCTTGTACTGACGATATTGTTACTGTAGAAATTGCCCATCAAGATTGCGGCTTTGATCAATGACACTACCGGAACGCTGATTGCCTCGCACTACACTGACCCCCAAATGATGATTGGCTGCATTTTCGGAACTGGCGTCAACGCTGCCTATATGGAGAACGTGGGCTCTATCCCCAAGATTGCTCATCTCGGCCTTCCTCCCGACATGCCCATGGCTATCAACTGCGAGTATGGCGCCTTCGATAACGAGCACGTCGTCCTTCCGCTCACCAAGTACGATATCGCCATCGACCGTGACTCCCCTCGTCCAGGCCAGCAGGCCTTCGAGAAGATGACTGCTGGTCTCTACCTCGGTGAGATCTACCGTCTGGCCCTGCTCGACGTCCTGGAGAACAAGCCAGGCCTTCTTTTCGAAGGTCAGGATACCTCCAAGCTTCATAAGCCTTACTACCTCGACGCATCCTTCCTGGCCGCTATCGAAGATGACCCGTACGAGAACTTGCTTGATACGGAGGAACTCTTTGAACGCCGTCTCGGTATCAAGCCCACCAGCTCCGAACTGGAACTCCTCCGTCGTCTGGCCGAATTGATCGGAACCCGCGCTGCACGACTCTCCGCCTGTGGTGTCGCCGCTATCTGCAAGAAGAAGAACATCGAGCGCTGCCACGTCGGCGCCGACGGTTCCGTCTTCACTAAATATCCCCACTTCAAGGCCCGTGGTGCCCAGGCCCTCCGTGAGATCCTCGACTGGCAACCCAATGAACCTGACAAGGTGATCGTCTTGCCCGCCGAAGATGGTTCCGGTGTCGGTGCCGCTTTGATTGCGGCTTTGACTCTCCGTCGTATCAAGGAGGGTAATATTGCTGGTGTTCAAAACAAGGGTGATATAGAGACGTTGTTGTAGATGTGATGTTACGTGATGCGATGCTATGGAAATGATATGGTATGGTATGGGTATGTATACATATTTGCCATTGGCTTTTTATTTTTACTTTTATTTTATTTTATTTTTTTTTTTTAAAAAAAAAAAAACAAAAAAAAAAAAACTTCTTCCCTTTCTCTGTTCCATTTTTGTTATGGTTCATGGATTCGGATGTGATTTTATAGAGAAATTAAGGATCTCTTCAATCTTCCTGCTTGGTTTTCGGTTTTCTTGTCTTTTTTATTTTATTTTTGGTATGGATATGGAGTTTGGTATATTTTTATATAATAGTATTTCGATTATGTTGGAGTCATGTTTTGACATCTATCTTCTCTAGGGTAGAGCTTCGTGGCTAGTAAATTTAGAGATAGAATCGTATCGGATGGAGTTATATGCTTCGAGGATAGTACACTCTATATGAAATGAATGATCATATGCTTTTTCTCTAGCCCAAATGACTCGGCTACAAAGATGTAAAGAAGGTTCACGCTGTAGTCTACATTGCATGCATATGCATATGATACTCAGTAGTAGCCGAGTACCCATATCTATCACCTATCCGTTAATCTCCCATAGCCGGATACGTCCCTGCTCATTGGCAACGCTCAGTAGAGTAGAATCCGGCGATATAGCAACTGACGAGATTCGGCCCAGTGGCGTGTTGGATGTCGGCCAGTTGCGGTATACTGTGCAGGAAGGAAGGTGGACTGGAAGATAGATAATATGTTAGTTTTCTGATCATTCTTCTATCGACGGGGGATTCAATTAATGGGCGGGGTGGGTAGGCCTTACTTATTCGCAGAGCATCACGCTTCCATCGGCTGGCCATAACCAGTAGTTGGCCATCAGGCGAGAAAATGAGATGGCTTATGGGGGTTGTGAGATTGTCTAGTGCACGAGTTGGTTTCGGGTTTCGAGGGATCCCTGTTTCGGATATCTGTTGGTGATCTTTGGACGTGGATTTTGATGATGAGACAGGAGTGTTTTTCTTGTGAGCATTAGCATTCGACACCCATTCTCGTCGGTCGTAGATATTGACAATTCCGCTTGAACTGCCGATGGCGACCCATCTATCCCCTCCAAGCTGTTTCCGGCCCGATCGGCCTCCCAGACTGAGTACGGTCGTGCCGACGGCTCCCTCGTCGACCCAGCGAGCGATAACTCGACGCTGTCGTCCGTCCCATTCGGACACTTCACCGTTCTTGCTGGCAACTGTCATGCCTTCGCCGTCGCTCCACCAGGCGAAGTCGGCGACACCGCCGCGCCCATCAACACGCACTTCGGCAATCCACTGCGCCGTCCCAGAGTTCAAGATGTTGATGAGACCGCCGCCCTTCCGAGATGTCCCCACAAGTCCAATGTACCGGCCACAAGGAGATAGCTTGAATCGTTCCATGGATTTCTGCTCCTGCTTCCGGTCCGCGGTGCCGTTTACTTTGTCGACCTTACCCGTGTCCAGGTCCCAGATGTGGAAGTATCGGCGGCGGCCAGCGAAGAATATCTTATTGCCAGATGGTAGAGCAAAAGCTGATGTGTGGATTGGTGTGCGGCGCACATGGAGAGATGTAAGGAGGGGATTGGGCGCAGGGGCCTGGGGGGAGATATGGTGGAGGTAAAGGGTTGACGCAGGCCCAGATGACAGAATAAGTGGATAGTGAGGATGGAAAGAGAGCGAGTCGATTGAGGACTGCATACGCGTTAATCTTCAGTCGCCATGATTTCCAGAAGGCGCAAAACTTACCGGTTGATTCCCACCAACATCTTTCAGTCTTTGAATACCCAAGACTTCCTGACGCAGCTTTCTCTTACCATTTGAAGGCTCTCTGTCCTCGATTTTCGTGAGATCAGTAGCGCCCTGAAGAAGTCGCGCCAAGGGCTGCATAGACATTGTCTCTTCCTCTGCGTTATCAATGTCCATCTCATCCACACCGTCAGCATCAGAGTCGTCATCGCCAGCGGAAATGGCCTTCTGCCGCTGCTTCGCGATAATCTCCGGATTCGCCCAATCCGGCACAGGGTGTAGTTGCTGATACAGTCTGCGCAGGCGCTTGGTGTACTCCTTGCCACTGATCAAGTCTTCAGACTCGGTAACGCGAAGCTTTCTTAATCTGGCCTGGCTTGCCAATGAGATAGTCAGCCGTTCGTCGTCACTATCGTACCACACAGCAGGCGCATCTTCCATTTCTTCTTCATCAGACCCAGCACCGTCCGGCGTTCCGGGCACCTCGACGATATCTGTCTCAACAGGGGCCGTCCCAGAGTCAAGGAAGAAGAGCTACAGCAAATCGAGTCAGCCAGTGTTGCGCAATAAATGCAAGTACAATAACAGAATAAAAGGCACCACATACATCCGCATCAGGAACATCTTCTAACCCCCGATCTTCACCTTCAATCTCATCATTATTACCTTCTCCAGAATCCTCTCCATCATCGCTCTGCAGCGCAAGATCCATCACCTCGTGACCCCGCTGATTTTTTAACGCCTCATGGAAGCCCTCATCGTCACCAAAAAGTAACTTTTCCAATTTCCTTTCGGTATCGTCTTTTTCTGGTACATCATGATCCTCTTCCTCTTCTCCCTGACTCATCTCGCTTTCCATGTCGACTTCATCATCTCTCTTGTGGAAAGGACGCGCAATTTCAAATGGAGATTTGGTTTTGGCCTTAACCGCGCCTCTAGCCTTTTGCTTAACACGAGGGTTAGGCATTTTTGAGGAATTTGACAGTGTATTCCTTTTCCTTTCTTTCTTTCTTTTTTTTTTTGTCTGGTAATGCCGAAAACAGAATAATATTATTCAGAAAGCAAGTAGTAAAAGAATCGGAAAAATATGAGACCAACAAGATACTTGGTTCTTATAGCATCGAGAATGCTGCTCTACCAGTGAAACTTTTGTTTTTCTTGCATTTTTCATTTCCTTTCCTTTCTGGAAATTTTATTAGGGCGGCAGATTGAGGCGGCCAAGGAGGCGGTGTATATTTATACCTCAGGCCCGAAGCTCTGAATCAGGCTAACACTATCTGCAGGCCTTGTAGCATCCATCCAGTCAATACTAATAGTAGATTACTGTTGATAACATCTAGTGGGGGACAATTTAGGGTGTATATACTTGTAGATAATTCCATACGTTAGTGCACCAGTGCAACCCACACTACTCGTACATTGGAAATGGTTCATTCGACATGTCTATTGCTCGTTTAAATAAAAATATTCAAAAAGTAGAAATAGGGCAGACCAATAAACAAGGTCATAAACCTTAACAACGTAACCATAACGCCATCCATGTATAAACGCCAATCATGTAGGGAGAATAGCCTAGTAGCCTCTCTGCGCTGCTAGTTTTATAGCTGACCGGCGGTATTCACTATTGATATTGCTGGAGCCTTCTGAAGCTGCCGACAAGCTACCCTCATGCACCGTATTGACTGCCCGATAAAACTCACCAGACGAATCCCGGCTGAAAGACGACCTGCGCGAGTCAGCCTCCCCGGTCTTCCCTGCTAAGTCATCATCAGAGTCGGATGTATCACTGTCCATGGCTGCTAGCAGCGCACTGCGGCGGTGGCGGTCATCATCCATAAGCGCATCGGCAATCTCATCATCACGCTCAGCTAAAGAGTCATATTGAACGGGATTCGGTTTCTTGATGAGGGCGTCGATGATGTAATATTGAATTGCATTCATTGTAACAGGGAAAAGAAGCATGACGAAGATTATTTGCACCACCATGTTACCCTCTGTCCATCGTAGGGCCCAGTCGCCCACTTGGACAATGAAAGGTACTAATTGAATGATGAACAGGACGCATATCTTCATGCCGAGGAGTCCCACAAAGTATATCATAGATTGTTTGAACCACCAAGTAGCACGAGGTGGATTACCGTAGTTCCCGGATTCGATGGATTCTGGAGGATCCGCAAGTGGCGTGTACGAGGCGAAGTAGTTCAAAATGCGCAATATGAGCATTAGGATCGGGATCCCGAATGTGGTCTGTCAAGGAATAACCAATCAGCGGCGGGATCGGGAGTGAGTGAACAACACAGGCAAAGGGAAACCCACATCAATACCCAGATTTAACAGATAGTACGAGCAAGGATTGGCATTGTATTTCCTGGCGATATCAAATTGACCGGCGGAAAACATCGACATAAAGATATTCGCTAGATGTAGCATCGACGATCCGAACACTTGCTTTGAAACATCAAATGCCCACACCTTCAACGGTCGTTGAGGCCTCTCCTTCCATCTCTTATAGACTAGCGACAGCAAAGCTATCGCCCCTAAAGCAACCTGGACTAGGAGCGAGAAGGGACCCAAGAGCTTACATTCCCCTTCGGGAACAGGAGATGGGCTGGGTGTGGAGGCAGGTTCCGGCGACGGCGTAGATAACGAAGGGCTCGTTGGAGAAGGAGTCGAGTTAGCAGTATCAACGGCAGTAGATATTGTTGCAAACGCAACAAGCCATAGGCATAGTAGTGAGTGGGTCATAATCGTGAAGCCCGGTGTTCAGGTGAGGTAAAACGCGGAGACGGAGCTCGTTGGTTGATAGATATCAAGCGCAGCGATCGAGATGCAGGTCTGTACGGTAATGATAAATCAGAGTAATATGAAAATCAGCAATGGCTCTTCATGAAAGACGATCATATGGACGGACGCAGTCGGATGACTTGGGATGGCAAGGGTCAGACCAGGACCAGGGCAAAGAAAGTTGCCGTTTCAGATTAACGGTTGAACTTAGATCGCGTCGACGCGGGAGGGAGGTTTAGAGAAGGAAAAGGGACTCCTTGACCTGCAAAGAGTCTATCTGGAGCAGATGACAGATCAGAGTGAGGCATTAAATGTCTGCCTCCGAGTCTGCGGCGCCTGGTGAGGGACAGCAGTAAGTTTAAGCTTTCCCTGACAGAGGCAGTGCTTGTAGCCACTCCCGATCGGCATGCAGCTAAATGCAGATGCTCGGTAGTTGTCGCCATGCTAGCCGTGGAACTGTTTCTTCATCTTCATAGCCGTATATTTATTATGTATAGCATGGATAAGATCATTTGCAAGCTGCATGAAATTCATCAGACGTATTCAGAGTCACTACGGAGCAATGTCCATTGCAAAGGCAGAAGGAGAAGAAGAATGATAATAATAATAATAATAAATTAGATCACCATGGGCCATAATAATAGTTTCTGCTAAAATTCAAAAGGATATAATATTCCATCCGTTAGCAGTCTATGTTGTCCTTGGAAGGGACCAGTCGTTCCACCCGCCGACAACGTTTATATCCACGTATAAAAGCCTCATAAACCCATAGGAAGAAAACGCCGGAAACCCCACAACCAACCCAATAAAGACCACAGAGGAGAGCCGTTGTAACTCCGCGCAGTAAGATGCCTGCAAGGAATACAAGAGAAAGAGAGAACCATCAAAAACATCATTCTATCCCGTGTTGCTGTTTGAGACGTTCTAAATTCTCCTGTCTCTCGGCCAAGTCCTCTTTCGATCGGAGCATCTTCTCTGGCTGGTGATATAGGACTAGAAGCATAGAATATTAGCATCGAAATTCATGACTTCTAGCTTAAAATTCCCCCATAGGCCATCATAACATACCGACAAGGTATCTGTTCTGGAAATTGAACCCGTTCAGCTTATCGCATGCCTGTTTGGCGTCGTGGACGTCCTCGTATACGACAAATGCGGTGCCTTTCGAATTGTTTGCGATTCCCTGGCGAATTTGCCTGACAAGGTGTCAGCCAACATACGAGGATCTGACAGAATGGGCGTGCGAAGTTGCATGTAGCAGGAAACTTTAGGCTTACCGGATAGGTCCAAACTTGCCGAAAAGATCAAAGAGCTGTTCTGCGGTGACGTTGTAGCTATTTAGGATGCCTTTGTTAGCTGTGCCATCTTGTAGAAATGACTTAAGCGGTAGATCTGCTGAGACCGATATCCCGACATCGGCTCATTCGAAGGGAAGGGAATATTTACTTCAGGTTCTTGACGAAGAGAATCCTAAAAAATCCAAAGATACACACATGTCCATATTAGCCGCATGCTTGTCAAACACTCAATATAAGAAAGGTACATTGACGGGGGAGTCATGTCGGACGGAGGGGGACGTAAACTGTTCACAAGAGCACCTACCGATTGGCTTCAGGGGCGAGCTTCCGGCTCATTCTCAGACTTCAGACAGAAGGGAAAGAGTAGTAGCAGGGAAAATCCAAGAGAGGTTTTTCAAAAAGAAGAAGACGAGGGGAGGAAGAGGGAATGCAATGAATACGAGCAGGAGGAGGAAGCGCAGAGAGAAAGCAGAGCGGCAGAGCAAGTCGGAAGGGGGGGTTTCTTGCCCGATTGGGACTAGAGCCGCCGCGGGCGACGAGCCTCATCTTCTGCCGGCAAAGACGAGCTGTGAATGCCAGCTGCATCGCTCTTGAGATCCTCCTCCAGGAGAATGGCATCACTGTCATCTCTGCTTTCTCGGTAGTGACCGTCTTCTCAGCCAGTCTTTGCGCGGATTCGATCCCCGAGCAGCTCGAGACCGCAGCCAGCAGCAGCGCTCTGTCTACTGCTCGCTTCGACTGCGGTCGGTCCCCTTGGCTTTCGCCCTCGACCGTCTCTGCCGGTATCAATTCACAGAGCCGTCCATTCGATCCCTCTTTGCGCTTCCTGTCATTCGCATTCACACTTTTGGCTGCTTCATTCAATTTTCTCCGCATTACCCGTTCTCCCTCGCTGTTCCTTACTGTCCTTCCCGCCGCACTCGACCTCAGCAGACTCAACGTCCTCCCCCGCCGCCCCCCTTCAAAAACCTCCGTACCACTTCTCCATCTTTGCAACACCAAGCTTCACTCATTTTCCTGCTTTGATACCAATATTTATCCTCTTTCTCACCTTGTCGCCTTATCCCTGTCAGGAATGATACTCTCTCCGTCGGTGGCCGGTCTGTAGCCCGCGTGGTCTTAACATCCCCGCTTTGGAAACCCGCCTGCATTTTATCTCGCCTGCGACCCCTTCTCTTCCCCCATTTCGCATCCGACATCTTTTTCAAGTTCGGAGATGGCGAGCGCTACCTCCTTTTTGAACCATTCGGGCAGTCGCCCGCCACTCTATCGCACCCCTTCTCCTCCACGATGCGCCGTGGAACCCATCTCGCCATTCCCGACGAAAGAATTCAACTCCTCTCAGTTTTTTGATCAGGGCTCCCCACAAGCGTTAAACACTGATTTGGAATATAGTATTCCAAACAAAGGTTTACATTCCATCGTGGATGGCGGTAGTCGTCAGAGGTCGTGCCATGGCAGGTCAGGCTCTACAATCGACACTCTCGCGACAATTGCTCTGGCTACGAGTCCTACGTTCAACCAACTCTCCTATAGACCTCTGTCTCCTGCCTCTGCTTCTGCGACGCCGCTTTTTGGATTTGACACTACGGAATTCGGTGAGCCGCCGGCGAAACGTCTGCGATCGGAGAAGGACCCGTCTTTCTACCAGCGGGCGAGCGCGGGACCAGACACAAGTTTGCCATCTATTCCTGATAGCATGAAAACCGATGCGGAACTTTTGTTAAACTTTGCGCGGCCGAATTTTGCTTCTTTTTCTGTCCATCAGAAACGGGTCAGCACAGATGAGTCATACCGTTACGAGAGCGACGTGAAGCGCCAGAGAGTTGGCTTTGGTAATGGAAGTAACATGGGTTCGGGCGAACAGAAATCATCTGGCAACTCCTCTGGCAATGATTTTGCACGGTCACGCATGCGGTCCCAGTCGGATGGCTCTGCGTTCATTTCCCGCCCGTTCATCCAAGGCCTGCGACCCAACACAAGCTCCTCCACCCTCCCACCTGTTCTACCGCAGGATGATGATGATGATGTGAAGAAAATATGGACTCACGCGCTACCTGATGGGCATGGGATTGCTCTACATGACGAGAACAAGCTCCCCCATAATCCGGCGCCCAAGACGGAAAATGTGATGGAAACGGGTAACTCAAACCAGGAGGCGACTTGCGCCTCTTGCAACCTTGTTCGGATCCCTATGGACACCGAAGAGCAAGGAGGAGTGACATGGATTAACTGCGATGGTTGTAAGCGCTGGTTCCATATCGTCTGTGCCGGATTCAAACATGATCGGGAAATTCGCACAGTCGATAAATTTATTTGCCGCGAATGCCGGCCGATTCACGGTCCGACGACCTTCGTACGCAAATCCTCTCGGGCTCGTACCGCAATTGACTATGCTGGTCTCAACCAGGGGTTTGTCAAGTCCGCTACCGACACCTTGGAACATCACTACATCGAACCCATCAAGCAGGGCAAGATACAGTTCCTCCCAGAGAACTTCCCGCGGATGAGACCAGAGCTTATTACTGCCGAATACTTTGAGCAAGGCAATGGGATGTTGGAGCCAGTTGTGATCCCGGCTTTCCTGAATAGTCGTCTCTCCATCCCTATAATGGATGCTGAGCTCGATGCTCTTGCGCAAGAGGCTCCCAGTCAAGAGATGTTCGACGAACTGCTCGATCATCTTCCTGATGAGCGCCAGGATTTCGAAGAAGTCACAGACTGTGGGCAAGATCTGTTGGACATGGTGATTCCACAAGGTCTCACAGTCAGAACCGTTGCAGACCTTTATGGCCCAGAGGAAAGAGTGGAGGTCATTGACGTCAAATCTCAACAAGGAGAAGACAAGAAATGGAACATGCAGCGATGGGCTGATTATTACGAGAGCACTGATTTCAAGGTTATTCGCAACGTTATCAGTTTGGAAGTATCGCAGAGTAAGCTGGGCAAATTGATTCGCCGACCAAAGGTCGTACGAGACCTCGATCTGCAAGATTCAGTTTGGCCCGAGGAGCTCCGGGCAATCGGCGACTACCCAAAGGTCCAATTCTACTGCTTGATGTCCGTGGCTGATTCCTACACTGACTTCCATATCGACTTTGGTGGCTCATGGGTTTACTACCATATTTTGAAAGGCAAAAAGACATTCTTCTTCATACCGCCGAAGGACAAACACCTTAAGAAATATGAGGACTGGTGCAACTCCCCTGCCCAAGACACTACCTTCCTTGGAGATCAGACGAAGGAATGCTACCGTGTCGATCTCTCCGAAGGCGATACTATGTTGATTCCGTCTGGTTGGATCCACGCCGTATGGACTCCTGAAAACAGCTTGGTCATTGGGGGCAACTTCCTGACGAGACTGAGTTACGAAATGCAGATTAAGGTCGCCAAAATTGAAAAGGATACCAAGGTCCCAAGGAAGTTCCGCTACCCTTTCTTCCAAAAAATCCAATGGTATACAGCATTAAAGTATCTGGAAGAGGACCCACTGCCACAGAGTGTACTGGATACCTTCGCACAAGACGAGAACTACCGCTTTAAAAGGGAGTATCCCATTTATTACGAATTTGGAGAACGGACGAATATGATGCCTCCTGGATCCCCTTACCACAATTCCCGCTTCTATTCTAAAGCTGAGTTGGACGGCTTACTCCCTCTTGCAAAGTACCTTCTCCGGACCGCTCTGATTGCTGGATCATATGCAGTGGAAGGGGTGACTACGGAGGCGAGGAATGCCGTCAGGAGATCCATACCAAAGGGAATTGGTGACCCTGTAGACGTTGTCCGAAAATTTGGAATATGGGTCGCTTGGAAACGTGGGAACGAGCCAGCACCGTCATGGGTCCACCCCGGAGTAATAGAGAATGACCCCAAACTCAGTCTATCAGAGAAACGACCAACAGGACGGCCAAGTCGCCGGTCAGAGCGCCATACAGATCATCTGAGGATGCAGGGGGGAAGACACCCAGTTTCTGAACAGACTTCTGTTCTTCTCAACAGCTCTCTCAATGGTGCGCCTTCGGTACCCTCAAGCAACGGCACCTCTATCCAAGTTGAGGCATCATCGTCGAATGTCGCCGTCAAAGATGAGAACCCAAAGCCGCGAACTGTCCAACGGAGTTCTGGCCTAGGCCCGAAACGGGTTGCTTGTGATGCATGTCGCAAGCGGCGGATCCGGTGCCGGCACAAGGATGAACAAAATGACACGAACTCGATAAAGCAGATTTCCGTGCATGCTTTTGGTAATGGAATGGCCCTGCAGCAACAACAGTCGTCTTTGACACATGATGCTGCATCTGCACTAAATTCTCTCGCGGCAATTGCATCAGAAGCTGGTTTTAAAAATGCTGACAGTATGATCGGCACCGACCAGCTTGATGGGCCTGGGAAGTCGAGTACGGCGCTTATAGCTACCCCTGGCGCAGTTGTGAATAGATTTAACGATCTTGGTCCCGTAATCAACAGTGGGAAGAAGGGACGAAGCAAGGCTTGCGATGACTGCCGAAAAAGCAAGGTTCGTGATACTCCAGGATTGAACCTAGTACACTTTCGTTCTCATTTGCTAATTGGGTCGCAGCGTCGTTGCATACACGATGAGCACGGTAATATCGACCCTGGTAAGGCACAGGAGAGGTCGAAACCCAGAGCGACAAATTCAGCTAAGCGTCCACGTCAAGTCGACGGAGACGTCATGCCGGCATCCAACAAGAAGCCAAAGCAGGAGAGTACTTCTCCAGTTCCGAGGCCAGCCAAACTGGGTAGGAAAGATGGGGAAGCGCCAATTGAGCGTACCCACACCGACGAACAAACTCGTTTCGGGGGCATTTATTGGGAAAAACCCAAGGCGAACGAGGTTCTGTCACAGACGCCTGTGGCGGATATAGATAGCAAGGCTACCTTGGGTCAGGCCTCATATGCATCGCCGCCCGCGTTCCAAACGGATAATTTGGTTCCGGACGAGGTGAATCCTACGTCTATACCTTCTCAGCCTGTTACTTCTCTGGTTTCTCCTCCAACATCACAAGCGGACGAGACAGATGTCCTCATGGAACATTCTGATGGCGACGTTGTGACTTCGGTCGAGAGAGAGTCTGTGGCAGCCCTTCAAACGCCAACTTTAAGCTCCCGGCATTCCTCTCGTCAGCCGCGTAACGTCGATAGGTACGTACCCGACTCTCAAGCCGCAAGGCCATCAAAATTGGTGGTGCAGATACCACCCGTCGACCGTTCGTCTACGGCTACAAATTCGCGGAAGGTGACACCAACACCCGTATCGGCGTCAAAGAAATCATCCTTGCAGCTTTCCTCGTCGGACGCCAAAAAGAGCAGCTCCCCGATAGTTGAAAAGAAATCTGATCGTCATGGTACTTCATCCATCTCTCCTTCTCAACCAAGCAAGGGTGCGAAGCGCGAGCGATCCGGTCCTGCAGAGAATGGACCCGATGCAGAGAGTCTACGTCTCATCCGGGAACTCCAGGAACAAGACTTTGGACTACGAAAGAGGACTGCGCGTGCTTGAGTTGACTCAATTAATTAATATCCTTCTTTATTCTGATTTTTTTTTTCTTGATCGGTATTCCGGTCATAGTTTGGCATTTTAAGCGTGAATTGCGAAGAAAAGGAGCCTTGTGGCACATGGCGTTAGCTCGTTTCCTCTGTTCAAGTGACGTTCTAGGAGTTGACAGGATTCTCGAGTTTGCGATATGTCCCTGGTTTTGGCGTTTTTATTTTGCTGTGGCATTCATTCAAGATCCTTGTTTTCCCCTTCAGGCCGATTTATATCATAATCAGTTGATTTCTCTTTCCTTCTCCTTTGATTCTGTTGTATCTGGAACCCAATTCATTCCGCGGTCCATTATGTGCTTCACCAGTCTCTCCTATATCCTCCTATTGCGAATTTTGTTTTTTTTTTTTTTTTTTTTTGCCTTGGACAACGTCTTCTCTATTTCCGTTCATTCTATTTTGCAGATCCATCATAAAAACCCACTAGATGGAATGGCGTCTTACATTTTCTCCCATTATGTCTCAAGGACCTTTATTCATTATTATGGGATGTCTGCAGTATCTACTGAGTTCTCTTTCTAAATGAAATTGAATTGATTGATCTTCGTACCCAAGTAGTGTAAGCCACATGGAATGTACACTGTACTCCGGAGTATGTATCTAGCATCAATAGAACAAGCCTTGCCTTATATTATTAATTCCAACCACCGAAATCTTTTGCTGTTCTTATTACCTAGGTACTTCGGTTGGTCCTTCGGAGTACGGTACCACGATTGTAATTCTGATTCTGGTTCTGCAAGTTCCACGCGATTATATAGTTAGTCTCCGTATGCAATATGCCTAATCCATACATGATGAATGTCCGAACATCCGAGACATTATGGTTAGATAACTACGTAGGTTGAATTGTTCGCTCGGTTGAGAATATTCCGGAAACCACCTAGTTTAGTCAAGTTCTTATCATCTTGAAAGTAGCGGTCACGGTCTTTGGTCTGACCGACTGCTCTTCCCACTGCTATTATTTAAATCGAATCTTCTGATCGAGTACTCAAGTACCTAGGTTAGGTATAGTAACATGCTCGTCTAGGTAGAAAGAGTTGTTCGGTGTGATTCCGCAGTTGGGGATTGCCGTACTGTAAGACTCTGTATTACATATGTACAGGGATGTAATGGAGAGTATATGTAATTGTAATACCATTCAGATTACCAATACATACTAGTAGCATTTATTCCAAGTTAAATAGTCTAGCATGATTCATTACATCATCCATCTCTTCCATCCATTCTAGACGAAATCATAACCAAGGCCAGAAAATCAAGCACTTCTCCAAAGCAGGGAACAACATGGGGTATATCAACAGGTCATAACAAAAATAAACAAAAAGAACAGCGCTCCCAGGCGTAAAGAAAAATCTCCCCAACAAATCCATAGTCTAGAGTTTCAAGCGCAGGGACGAACGTCAGGTCCTCCAGAGGAGCTTGGTCCCTGAAATGCGCTTTCTAGGCCCACATGTCTGCCTCCGGGGCAGGGGCATTTTTGTTTTGAGGCAGAAATATTAAAACGAGAGAGCACTAGGCGCGCACATACTCGCCCTCGTCAAATGCGACCCAGCGTTTGGGTCGTCGCGATTCGCCAATCCAATCCCGGATTACACAATTGCCATTATCGGAACCTTGACACATCTTACGACGGCCTAGAGACTTGAATCGGGGACCGATCGGGCCATTGACGTAGTGGTACTGGCCGGCAAAGCGGTACTGTCGGCTGTCACCGAGAGGGTAGAATTTATCTCCCCAATGGCCATTGAAGTAGAACCAGTGTGTTGGGGAGTCTGGATTCAAGGTAGATGCTCGAAGGATATCATTGGTGTGGTCGTATGTATATGTGTGCGAATTCAGGGCGGGATCCCACAGTGTACCCCGATCGGTCCGATCGTGGAGCAGACCCAACGGTAGAACATAGGAATGGATCCCGGGGGTCGCGTACATGGCATGCGTGCCGACTGCAGAATAGATGACCGGCTTTTGGCAGCCAAGTTAGCCTGCAATGGCTTATCCTTGTGCATTGTTTGAACCTACCCGTTTCCCGATCTTCTCCACAGCTTCATAACTGTACGCTTCACCCGCCGAGTGCGCGCTGAAGAACAGTGCTTTGGGCTTGCCATGGTAGAATCGCACGAGGCAATGCTCCCAGTCGCCGACGTGGTTGCCGAATCGCACATTCAAGACAACATTTCCTAGGTTAAAGCTGTAGAAATAGAACCAGAAAGCATCGACGATGCCATTCCCTTTATCCAGAACGAGAAGGACAGCGGGTGCATTACTCCGCCCACCGTTCCGCGAAGGTACAAGGGGCTTTTGCTCGCTCTGGCGCTTGCGTAGTTCCTGCTGGAAGAGCTGTTCCGCTTCACGGAATGGGTTGGGCTCCGCCTCATCCCGCTTCCGAAGATGCTCAAGATCGGGTTCAGCCCATACCGCTTGTTCCTCCGAGTCACCAGGAAGCTCCCCATCTACACGACCATCCCAGTCGGGCCACGGCTCTTCCACTGAAGAGCCTGGCTCTGGAATATTCCTCTCACCTTCCAGCCATGGAGGGCGCTCCTCCACGTTGTCATTGCTCGCCAGAAACACATTGCGTCCTCCTTCCCATTGATTTAGCGTATCGAGGTCGTCCAGGGTTGGATGGTCGAATTTGGATTGTACCGGAGTGTAATTCAGCATCGGGGTGGTGTGGTAGAGATGTTCGGCAATATCGCTAGGCCAGAACTGCTCTCCGGACGAAAGATAGACAAACGGAGCATATTCCATGACGTAGTCGGGGATCTCCCGGCGCGCACGCTCGGCGTCATCCCATTCGTCCCAGTTGTTGACACCGCTCGTCCAGAACGAGTGCCAAGGAGCTTCTTCCACCCGTGTTTTCTGCGTGCGGTTTACTCGATGTCCAAATGTGGGGGTTACGAGTCGAAAATGAGAAAGGCCACAGAGGCCAAAGAATCGGCAGGCTTTTCGGTCCAGCCAGGAGTGAGAACTTGCAATCCAGTGCGGCTCTTCGTGGTCCTCATCGTACCAGAGGAATGCACTCGGGTTGACAGCCCGGACCAGGCTGTTTATCGAGACATATGCGATAAGAGACGACAGCACTGCGATTGTCGCACGAGTCTTTCGCGTCATCAGCAGCAGAAGTGAGTCAGAATCGTTGGAGAGAGCTGTCGACGGCGAAAGACAGGGTGTATCGAGGACGGTCCCGACCTGGAGATCCGTTGTATCGGTCGGGCCCTGTCCGAGAGGAAGACGGTCTGCCTTAGCACGGTGTAGGTCTCTCTCCGGGGCAGAATTGGAAGCAGAGATGTACAGATTGGCAAGGCGTCGAGAGTCAGGGGCCTGATGTCTCACCTGGCTTACAAATGGAGGGGGGAGAGCGGACAAACGAAGACCGGTGGTGACGTTATGGAGAGAAGAAACGACCGTCGATAAGAACAACGATAAGAGGACGCAGACGAAGAACAAGAGCGAGAGCTGAGAACGCACGCCATGGAGAGAACGAGGTTGTAGGGCCACTAATTATAAGGAAGAGCCGGCAGAAGCATGGCTATTGTGTCAGCGGGCGCGCAAGAGCAGATACAACAGAAACGGTAATATGTAATCATGTAGGGGATGGGAGACGGGGGCGCGAGCCCGATCAAGGAACTGAGGACGACACTAATTAAAATTTTTCTTATATGGCCAGTAGAATCCTCTGGTGGGAAGGGCACACGCATTCTACTGGACGAGCGACCGGGGGAAAAGACAGCGCAGCACGCTGATTTGCCAGGCAAAGAAACGGTGATGGAAGCGTCGGCAGCATGCGGATAGCATCATAAGGTGTGAAGAGCCAACGCAGGAGAACAAGAGGTGAACAGTGCAGGACTATGCTGTCCTGGTTCCGCACGGTGCCGGCGCCCCAAACTAGGCGGAAAAGACGGGAACTTACTTGCTGCAGAGGAGCATGGAATGCAGATGACTGACAATAAGAGTGACGAAGATGATGATAATCGGTGATGCTGAGGATGATATGCAGCGGATGGTCCAGAAGAAGATAATGAATGGTAGATGGTAAGGTAAGCTTGATGGATAGTGAATTATTGAGGCATTAGAGAGGATGACGCAGCACGCACACGCACCTTATCGATAACAACAGCGAGGATGTCTTGCTGTCCGTCAATTACAGATGCCAGAGCATGCACGTTGATGCATGCAGTGTCTCGCTAGCTCTCTGTTGGTGACCAGAATACCATACTACTAGTAAATACTAGATATGCTGTCGTCCAACAGAGCAGACGGTGTGGATGTGCTGGACTGGATCTGCATGTACAACCTGCAGCGTACTCGGTACACGGCAATATGCCCCTCGTACCGTAGTTACCGTCCTGCAGCCCCGTACGGTACCTGCAATACGAACCGTGTATCGCACCCTTTCCCTGCTGGAGAAATTCATCCTCATCCACAGATTCTTCTTGCTACGGAGTAAAAGAAATCTTAATCAGAGTCCACATCATGGCTGCTTTCCGAAGCGACTCTTCTCGTCTTGTCTCCTGGATTCTGGGGATCAGTGGCGTTCCAGCCCTAGTAGGCTGCCCAGTGCCTAACTTCTAAGTTCCAACTCTTAGCTGCAGATCGTCGCCCAGCTAAAAACGAAAATTAAACCTCATAATCCCACTTCTCAACCCAAGACGGGCCCAGATTCCTCTCGCCTTTTGCGCATCATGTCGTCATAGCCGCAGGTCCAGTTCTATTAGTCTTGCCTTGCCTTTCCTGAACCCGACAATCCGACTGGAATTGTCCTAATTAAGCCTGTCTTGGACAATGTCGGCTCCCGCACTCCCACTAGTGGTGGATCCTGCTATGCTCAATGACCTCAACCAAGGTGATAATTCGGACAACAATGGCTATGAATATGAATACGAATATCATGAGTCGGACACAGAAGTAGGTTTCTGGAAAATCCTTCCAAGTCATATGTTGTCGTGCACCGCAAAACTTTTTTAATTGACCGGCTCCCTACAGACCTTTTTCGTCGATCTCGACCTCACCTCCTACCACGGCCCAATTCGGCCTCCTCGGCGTCGCTCGGAAGCCTCTGTGACGACTCCTGCAACTGCTTCTTCCCAGTTACCTTCGTCCCCTGTCCACCATAGCACCCCGGAGACAGGTGTCGCCCAGATAGCCCCTGATCCTGACTCCGATCGTGACCATGTCCAGATCCTTGGCCTCCACACTCTCAACCCAATTGTCTCCTATCAGAACCGTCTGTTCAGCTGTTCATGGACCGACCTGATTGGGACCGAGTTGCTCTTCACACATCCCCAAGCTGAAGCCTATGCTGAATCAACCCTTCCCGAGATGCCATCCCTGAAGCGCGGAAAGAATTACGATCTCATCGCTGCTAACAGCGTCAAGATTATCGGTCGCAGAGCTAACGCCATCTCCCGCTCGGGATCAGGATTGGCATTGGACCCAGTCGCTGAACCGGGAAACCCTCCAGGATCTTCTGGTCCTTCAGCACCCCAGACGAACCAGGCCCGGTTTCTGCAGCGTCTAGCCAACGTCAAGCGATCCAAGGGAGAAATGGACACCGTTCGTACTGTCTTCAGCGTGAGACGTGCACAAAATATCGACGACCGTCTGCGCGGCTGGGCTCGCACCGAGGAACAGATGGCGGAAATCCAACATCTGAATCACCGCGCGCTACAGGGTGATGACGATGCCCTGGTGAGATTGGAGAGCCTGTTTGCCCAGCTAGCACCGCAGGATAGGCAGTCAGATACCGCTGGAACTCCGGTTCTATCTGAGCACCAGTACCAGTAGCACCGTTCTCGGCCCTGAAGACAAAAAATGAATCAGGAGAATGATTGATCTTTGTGTGGGAGAATTCCAAACAACGGAGGGACTTCCCACCATGCTTACTGCAGGAACTGCGGCTCCTAGGACGACCCACTACACCCTACCCTGCAGTTCTGCATTTCTGCAGCCTGCAGCATAGCTAGCCAGATCGGGCCTCGGGTCCTCTCCACTGCAGCCGAGGGTACTCCAGAGTCACGGGTCTACGGATCTGGACTACGGCCTTACAGCGTACTGTATGTACCTCGGTAAATTGGATACCGATCTGGGTATCGTGTCCTGCGGCTTGACGCAGGGACCTGATTCCAGGTCGATTGCCATGTGTCAGCTACCTAGCAATCCTTACAGTTGGAATATAGATTTATATGGTATGCAAGTGATTTCTATCATTCAAAGAACTGTACCTAGCTGTCTATATACATTATGAAGTAGTATTCCATGATAATTAATAGTATTATTAATATAATATAAAGCAATGGAAGAAATAAACAGGCTCGATAAAAGAATCCCTCAATCAAAAACTCCCAACCCAAATGAAAGTCAACTGAATTTTGTCTACTACAAGCAACACCACTCCATGCTCGTGAAGAAGACAAGAAAGGAAAACAAGAATAAAAGTAAAAAGTAAAAATCTGCGTCAGTATGGTATCTCGCAAGCCAGTATCAAAAGTCACGGAACATTAAGAATCAGCAAAGCCTAACCATATGAAGTAGATCAACATGCAATTATCGAAGTAACGGAAGACGTAGAGGCGAACATCATGTCGAGGAAAGGTGCAAAGGCACGGAGACGTAAACAGACATAACATAGATAAGAAGTCGACGTAATCAATCGCAATAAATAATCGGTATTTTTTTTCGTTTTGTAGATTTTCGTTCAAGCGGTCACCGAAACTTCGTGAACAACCCTCCATCTCCTTCATGTTCGGTTTTTCTCACATAGGAAACTGGGGGTTCTGAAACCCACTGGAGACGGCGGTGGTGGTGGCGGTGTCTCAATAATTTGAGAATTGGAGAATGCATGTGCGTATTTGGGAGTTTGAGATGAAGCCAGGATGGCCCTGCAGATATCCTGGCTGAACGATGAGGGGGGAGGCAGGATGGTAGGACGGTTGTGGACTTGTGATAATGTAGAGGCCATTGTTGCTATGTCGTAGTTTGTTTGCGGGCTGTCTGTCGTGTACTTCTTTCCTTTTATTTTTCCTTTTATATAGGATTGAGTTTTGCTAGGTTGATTCGAAACAAATGCCTAGGGGAGTCGGGAGAAGGAGAAGCTTTTATAGTATTGTAGCTGTTCCGACGATGGATTTTGACGGAGTTGATGGTACGGATGGAAGGATGGGAGGTGCCTTCTGTCTCTCCGATATTGCTAAATAAGGATAATGAGTTAGCATATAAGAATACATGCATCTATGCAAGGACCCGAAGTTCTCCGGGTATATGCATGATAAATAAATAGAGACAAGAGAGAGACGCGATATGAGATAAGAAAGATGAAGCAAGAGGACGCGTAGTCGTCCAAATAAATGATGCAACACAACGGTCCCCCAAAATGGCATTTCCGACCCATGGAATCATCTCTATAAAAAGAAACCCGGAGGTGATCCAGTGGATGCGGACAGGAGAACCTCTGAAACGGAGATTCTAGACAACAACTCAGCAGGTCGAGACCACTTACCAGTGATGTAATGACGGCAAGCCAGAGGGAGGATTGCGCAGCTGTCGGGACTATTATTATGGAATAAGAGGGTAACAGACGACAGAGGAACAGGCAACAGGAACGGATTCAACGGAAGAGGATGGGATCACCTGGGCAATCTTCATGAGAGATCCAATCGACGGGGGGTCTATGGGGATAGTATGGGATATATATGCATAGAGCGGAGCAGAAAGCAACATCCATGCAATGACCTCGTGCCACGACTTTCAGACCAGAAATGCGAACGATAATAATAATATAGAGCTCGGCAGAATGGAAGAAGTTCGAATACTTCAGGGTCAATCCGCTTATCTGTCCCAGCCAACTTTTGAGGCCCAAACGAAAAAGCAGGGATCGACGATCTGGGGAAGAGGAACAAAGGTTCCCGGGGACAATCAAAAAACGGCCGGAATTTTCTCGGGCAGGGTGGAACAACATTCCCTGTGTCTAGTATCTACGCCGTCTTTGCTGTTGAACTTGGCTTCTTTTCCCTAGTCTTTTGTTCTACGCGGACGCTTACAAGGCATTATAATTTCCGGAACACGGGGAGTTTCTCGCTGGAAGTTTGATTTGAGATTCTGACTCTCGTCCTTAAACTTCTTGCACGAAGTGGGATAAGAATATGGCCTCTGGAGTCTAATGCAAAGTGGACATCCCAAGAGACCTGTCCAGTGTGGCGGACTCCCCTGCACTCGGTTGTCGGTGACTCGGTGGACTCCTCCGCCGAAGGGATGGGTCAGCCTGTATGCTATTGGGACTTCGGCCAGTCCAATTTCTATCACATCATATTATTCCATCTCGTCCGTGTCGACACATGCTCGTGGAAAGTCCCTGGCTGCAGTGGCGGTCTGCCCCGTCAGTGGCGCAGGGTCCCCAGCAACTAGATATTCTAGATCGAGTTCCATTCATGCAGCTTATGACAACGACTCATTCCATACCTGTGCTGAACGAAAATTTACAGTTTTTCAAGATATATTTTCCGGGTGTATACAGCACTGTCCCACACACACGATAGCCTGGACTTGATGAAATGCCAGGGGAGCCTTGTTTAGTTGACGGGCAGCCTTGTTCTTCCTTTTCCATTTATGCAATATGTGACCAGTTTTCAAGCACATCATCCAGTTTCTGAATTAATTCTGTAAATAGCGATAAGATCCAAATCAGAGAAACAACAAAAGTACGGAGCGAGGTCCTGGCAGCTGGCACTGGCAGGCACCAGCCCTACCGGATTGGCTTCCCAAATCCCGGGGATAGGCAAGGGCTTGACCAGCCCACGGTGCAGCATGCGACAGCTGCTTTTTTGCCATTGTATTCTATATAATTCTTTCCGGATAGAGCCGGCTGGAAGAGAATGAACCGAGGTCGACAAAACGTTCTTTTGTTAATGGGAAACTAAACATCTGATGTGCAGAGTAGGCACCCGAATAATCATGTCACCTCAACTGAACTTCGGCTGCGAATTATTTCATCTGGCTGGGAGACGTCATAAGGGGCTATTATTGAACAACAGCGGTGCTAGTAGCTACATATCAAGTTTCCATGTCCACGGAAGGATTCCAGGAAGACCTCCATGCCATGCCATGCCTGAACGGGTAGGCCTAGTCGAAATTGCGGGGTAAATTGGCGCATGGGATGGAAGTCCAGAGAAACTAGGTGACGTTTTATTTCCTACCATCCTGAGCTTTCCCACGCAAAGGCAGGTCGACAATGGGATTAATGATAGTAATGATAATCCTTGCAAAGTTTGTTGGGCCGCCGGGCCATGTCTAACCGGTTACGTTGCATGATCAAAGCAGCGTTGTTGGGGAGAGAGCAATTCTCATTACTCATAGTAGGAGAGCAGTTCGCCATGTCGTCATCACATGATTGGTATATGCATACCCCGCAAATTGCAATCGAAAAGCGTGGAAGCATTATTCGAACCTCGTAATTAGAATGTCTGTTCGATCTGTTAGGGGTCGCGGGTTTCGAAACTGGACTGTCAGAATTAAGATGAATAACTGCAAAGAGAGTACCATGGAACAGCAAGAACAGAGGAACAGACCACACCCTAATCGCAGTTTCTATAGACAGCATGACATAACCAACAGCTTGTCGATCTGTAACAACAACGGAATCAATAGACCAATGTTTCTTTCTATACAGCTTGAGCAAAGCTATGCATATCTTACTGCAGGTCCCATGCTCCTTCATTGAGTCCCAGACACCCCTTGGAGTGGACATGACCTATCCGCGCCTCTCTATCTGTTTGTCGACAGCGTCATGAGAACCCATCATCATCGAATACGCTGTCTCCGAACTTCGTATAGATTGATATTGTGGTTAAGTAGCCTGCGATTAAGCCCACATAGGTAACTTTTGCCTCCACAATGTCCATAAGGTCCATATATGCTAGTAATAATAATGCCAAGTCATGTGGCCATGTCGAATGCGCAAACAACCCCGCAAAGTGACTACAATCATCCTCCAGCATTGCGTCTTCCCCAACTGAACGTTACCGTTGAGCATTCAGCTTTCCCGCCGTTGCGCCAAGGGTAAATGCCCAACTTCGGCGGAGTATTACAGCAAATCCATCGGCCCCAACGGAGCCCCAAATCCACACAACCGGAAACCGATCCCGGGACCGTGCCGGTACGCAGCAAAAGCTGACATCAAACCGGGAACCTTGTGAGGAGAAACCCCTCATTCTTACACTTTTGTGAGGGCCGATGAGGCATTTTTTCCCGCTGGAAGATCGACCGTGCATTGCATCTAGACCCATTGGCTTATTCCCTTCGGTATGGGAACCCAAAATAGCGCTCTCAATTGGCAATGCCATCTTGAAAGGGCAGAATCAATCTGCATGGGGATTTGATACGAGGTGGAATCCTTGCTGGCAACTATGTCCTTGGCGTGATAATAGATATCAGCTGGAGGGAGAGGCGGCGAGGCAATTGTTCCAAAATTAGCCCCCGACGGTGGCCCACAGAGATACGGAGTACATATGTGATATGATATGATATGCTATTATTATTACCGCACAGTTACAACTTACGGGAGATGTACATATTATCACCTGCTGACCTCATTTTTTCGAGACCATTTTGCATCGGTAATAGTAAGATTTATTGAGAACGGATTCGTCGGAAGTGTCAGACCTCCAATCACATATGTGCGTCCATCGTTGTATTCATGAACTGTTGACAGGTCGAGAGAACTTTGGGATACAGCGCTGTAGTCCTGCAGCGTAGATACCATCGTCTAAACCTCAGAATCCACAGAGCGCCACGCCGATTGCAATAGGTTGTATCGGCAGGGATTCTCTCAACTAATCTAAGCCCACTTTAGCGCCTGCGACCGTTCCTGACGCCGCGCTGTCGATCAACAGTCGAGACCCGGAGGTGGGCCGGTTATTATTCATGTACCTTATGAAGCATCTTCATTGACTTTCCCCAGTCGACTAAGGCTGCGCGTCGCCGTATCGATATTCCGTCCCTGGCCGCTTCTTACCGCTCTAGTGGATAGTGCATATGAGATATTCCTGTATTTTTTCCCCTTCTTTTTTTTTTGACTTCTGATTTTTGCTATTGCGAGATTTATTATTAGTATGTAGTAATTTTAGCTTATTATTATTATTATTATTATTATTTTCTGGCAGAATATTCAGGAATATCGGTGCAAACCAGCGAGGGGAAGCGAGTGTAAGGAATATATAAGGAAAACTAGCTCGCGGCGATTCATGACGTGAGAAGAAAAAAGCAACGGACAAAACAAAACAAACAAGACAAATATCGATAAGCTCTATCGTTTATCGTCTTTATCTGCGCCGACGTTCTTTCGTCACGCCTCGCTTTCTTCGTGGTCATAATCCTGAGAACTATCTTTGACCTCTTCTCTACAAATATTATCTCAAGACACTTTCCTAGGTATGCCATATTCATTTTCGTTGTTATCTCGCCCTGGCTTGTCCAGCATGGTTGCGGGTCTGTCTCAGGTTGTGTGACAGATCTGCTCTTACCGTCATAATAGCCTCAGCTTGGTTTATTCTTACCTGCTCTTTATCTCTGGTCTCGCCCTTGTACTACCAGCTTATCATTGTCCCTTGTTAATATATATATGTGACTGCTGACCCTCGTGCACTCCAGTCGTTTCTGATTCTCTTGCTCTCGATAAGAGCTTAGTAGGGAAAAAAGGCGTGAAATCCCCTTCCGTCACACACACACACACACACACACACACACATCTTTCCCTCACCATGTCGTCGCCCTTACTGTCAGAGCCTTCTACCCCTGGCCTGTCTGTAAATGGCAGCTCCCTTCCCGTTCGAGATCCGAAGCTGTTTGCCAGTGATGGCCATTCGATTTCTGGCTCCGGGACTCCAGTCGGTTTCCAACGATATCATAACAAGCACCTTGATGCCGTAGCAGCGTCGACAGTGCGACATCCCTCACCGCATGCCACCCATCTTGGCCTCCCTGGTGGCGGTATGCATCGCATACTATCTGAAGAGGATCCAGGCTACATTGCGGCCAAGTTTGAGGGGAAACAGAAGCAGATGGAGCAGGGTAAGCTCTACTTTCCAATATTTTAGTTTTCTTCTGAAGGCAATGGAAGATTTCCGTTCATTCTGACACTATCTTTAGTAATGGATCAGCTCGAGGAAAAGGGCTTCTTCCCTAGCGATTTTGTTGTCTCTGAAACCAATTGGTTTTACAACAACCTTGGTATTGACGACACGTACTTCCAAACCGAGTCCGTGGACGCCATTGTGACCCAGATCCTATCTCTATATGCAGCAAAGGTGGCTGCATACGCTCGTGACGACAAGAAGCTCGAGATCAGACTGGATAAGGAAGACGAAGACCATGCTGTCTATATCGATACCAGCAGGCCTGGTACGTCCGCTGTGGAGGGACCCCGTTACGAGCAGAGGATAGACCAAAAGTATATCGATGCCTCGACACCAGACCGCAGTTATCGAGTCGAGACCTTCCGATCTCCGACTCCTCTCCCCGGAGACTCTGAGCAGCAACTTCGTTGTTATTTTGTGTATCAATGCCAGTTTGCCAATCCCAACCCGGATCCAGAGGAGACCGATATCGAAATCATCGGTGAGAAGAGATTCCTCCAGAAAGCCACGGCCAATACGAAAGCTCTCTACCAGGAAATTATCAGTAATGCGGTCACCCGAGCGGGTCCTGTTATCGAGATGTTTGAAATCGAAGGCAGCCGTGAGAAGAGACTGGTCATCGCCTATCGACAGGGCTCTGCTATGGGATTTTTCAGCGCTCTCTCCGACCTCTACCATTACTACCGTCTGACGAGCTCTCGGAAATACCTAGAAAACTTCTCCAATGGCATCACCGTCCTTTCGCTTTACCTTCGCCCCTTGAACAGACCCGAAATCAGCGCCAAGTATCCTCCCATTGAGGCGGCCATCCACCAAATCATGAAGGAGGTGTCCCTTCTTTATTGCATTCCGCAAAATAGGTTCCAGAGTCACTTTGCTAGCGGCCGCCTCAGCTTGCAGGAAACCATCTACGCTCACTGCGCCTGGGTGTTCGTGCAACAGTTTCTGAACCGCCTGGGGTCCGAATACACTTCCCTGACTGCCCTTCTGGATACGAACAACAGCGTCCACGCTGAGTTGCTGGCGAAGATCAAGAAGAGGCTCCGCACGGAGACGTTCACATCGGACTATATCTTTGAGATTGTCAACAAATATCCTGAGCTCATCCACAAACTCTACCTAGATTTTGCCAACACCCACTACGTGCAGACCAGAGGCCCTTCACAGGACGACTTCTTGCCGACACTGAGTTATCAGCGTCTCCAAGTGGATGAGGTCTTGGATGGTGCTAAGTTGAAGCAACTCATCTCGGAGACCACGGCGAACGAGCATGATCAAATGGTCATGTCCGCATTCCGTGTGTTCAACGCCTCTATTCTCAAGACAAATTTCTTCACGCCAACAAAAGTGGCCCTAAGCTTCCGTCTCAAGCCGGATTTCTTGCCCGAGCATGAATACCCTCAGCGACTGTACGGTATGTTCCTTGTGATCAGCTCCGAGTTCCGTGGGTTCCACCTGCGGTTCCGCGATATCGCGCGTGGTGGTATCCGTATCGTCAAGAGTCGTAATAAGGAGGCTTACAGCATTAATGCCCGTTCACTGTTCGACGAGAATTACAACTTGGCCAGCACGCAGCAGCGTAAAAACAAGGACATTCCCGAGGGCGGCGCAAAGGGAGTAATCCTGTTGGATGTGAACCACCAGGACAAGGCCCGTGTCGCCTTTGAAAAGTACATTGACAGCATCCTTGATCTTCTCCTCCCCCCACTGAGCCCTGGAATCAAGGATCCTATTGTGGACCTGTACGGCAAAGATGAGATTTTATTCATGGGCCCGGACGAGAACACGGCAGAATTGGTCGATTGGGCCACGGAACATGCCAGAAGGCGAGGCGCCCCTTGGTGGAAGTCCTTTTTCACGGGCAAGAGTCCCAGGCTTGGAGGTATCCCTCATGATGCTTACGGAATGACAACTCTGTCCGTGCGCCAGTATGTTCTTGGTATCTACCGGAAGTTGAACATTGAACCGTCGAAGATCCGGAAACTGCAAACCGGTGGCCCTGACGGTGATCTGGGGTCTAACGAGATCCTTCTCGCCAATGAGATGTATACCGCCATTGTTGATGGATCTGGTGTTATTGTTGACCCCAAGGGACTGGACCGTGAAGAGCTGGTGAGACTTGCGAAGAAGCGTGTTACCATCTCGGAGTTTGACTTGAAGAAACTCTCTCCCGAAGGCTACCGCGTTCTTGTCGATGAGAGTAATGTCAAGCTTCCTAGCGGCGAAATAGTCCATAATGGGATGGTGTTCCGCAACACATTCCATCTGCGCACAGCCCAGCATTTTGATGTCTTCGTCCCTTGCGGTGGACGGCCGGAGTCCATTGACCTGTCAACTGTTGGGAAGTTGATCCACAACGGCAAATCGCTCATTCCTTATATCGTCGAAGGCGCCAACCTATTCATCACGCAAGATAGCAAGCTTCGCTTGGAGAAGGCTGGCTGCATTTTGTATAAAGATGCATCTGCCAATAAGGGTGGAGTCACGTCCTCCTCCCTAGAAGTTCTTGCTTCCCTGTCTCTGGATGATAAGGAGTTCGTGGAGAACATGTGTGTGGGTGCCGATGGAACGGTACCAGAGTTCTACCAGGCCTACGTGAAGGAGGTCCAGGAGGTCATCAAGCGCAATGCCGCCCTTGAATTTGAAGCTATCTGGCGCGAGCATGAACAGACTGGCGTTTTACGCAGCGTCCTCAGTGACCGGCTCAGCCTTGCAATCACCAAACTTGACGAGGAGCTTCAGAACACTCAGTTGTGGGATAACGTTGGGTTGCGGCAGTCAGTCCTCAGCCTTGCTCTTCCAAAACTTCTCCTGGAGAAAGTTGGTTTGGACACTATTCTTCAAAGGGTGAGTTCATCCCCCGACCTTTTTTGGAGATTTAATTGATAGACAGGCCTCCTAACTGACATCAATCCAATAGGTTCCGGAAAATTACCTTCGTGCAATCTTTGGTAGCTACCTCGCAAGTCGCTTCGTATATGAATACGGCAGCAATCCTAGCCAATTTGCTTTCTTCGACTTGTAAGTTTTCTGTTCCTTCATCACAATTCGTTACTCTCTTCTAACTAAATGATTGCAATCACAGCATGACCAAGAGACTATTAGAGTGCAAGGCGTAGATATAGACATGGTCTGGCGTGGTGTCGTCTTCTGTTTTACTATTCCGGCTTTTTAAATTCTCTTTTCCTCTTCCTTTTGCAGGCTCGATTCCATATTACCTAGGTATTCTTTGGACGATGGATCGGGTCCTTGAAATCGCATGGATGGACAATCGCCATGCAGTGCCATAAATTCTTTAATGACCTGTTAACGTCCTTCATTTGGTTGGGGTTCTCGGAGAAGTGGAGGTTAATCTGGAAAACAAAAAAAAAAGGCGAGAGAAGGGGAATGAAGTACTTGAATATGCATTGTTTTGAAGTCTGTTCTATTCCTTGTGTCGAATGAACTGAATGCTATTGTTATCTGTAACGTATCCGGTAAGCGAGCGGCCACCTCCGCTCCAATCCCACCTCTAGGTGAGATTCTAGGGTCTATATCAACAAAACAATTGCATTTCTATATAAAAACTAATTACTAGGTGGTTTAGGACATCTAACTCTAGTATGTCCTTGAACATGACAATTAGAACACTGTGGGGGGGGGCTCATATATATAGCCCAACTGTAGAAAGTGCTGGATCTATATAAAGTGCATCTTGAGTTTTATAGAACTTATTCTTGTGCTGAAATTGCTCTAGGCCTCTTGAATAGCTGGCCCTTCTGCAATAGCTAGCTGCCTATTAGATTGCTTCTGTTTTTGGCCTTTCCATTCATTATTAGCATGAAATTTGCATACTTCTTCCCATGTAATCATAAGCTTATTTAGAGCCAATTTATGATCCTTAATAAGCTTAAGTGTGTTTCTAGCAAAGATGAAGGGCTTTGAACACATTCCTTAAGTAGTTTTCTTATCGCAGATGCCTGCTGTGCCGGGGGCACTGCGAAACCCCGGATCTCCCATATTTCCTATCTTAGAACACCGTAGAACCGCGGTCTCCGACATGCTAATGTATGCTGGAGCCCGCGGCCGGAGAGTACTTAATGGAGGGTTCCCTCCCAGATAGTTATGAGAAATTGAGCATTCTTTTGGTTTCTAGGTTGCTTCACTAGTATCGTTATCATCATATAGAACGGAGCGAGGCTCCTTCGTCGTTGTGTTTCCTTTTATCGTTATATCGTTTTGCTAGATTGTTCAGTGTGTCCATTCCTGAGATCCCTCGATCACAACCCGGTTCCAGTCGCAGGGAACAACGCACGTACGCCCCCCATTACACTATTCACAATTATCTGGCTATATAAGAGAGGCTTTCTTATAATAATTAGCTCTAGTAACCACTCATATAGTAGCTATTAGACTTATAACAAAGTCAGTCTTATTAAAATTATAGATATCCTCCTGTGTGATCTCATACTGTATTATAGTGATTTGTATATAATTAAATCACTCCCTAATAATTTAGGATCTTCACATTTAGCATGTCAATAATCATATTATCTTAAGAAGTGTGTTTTCAACTAATCTTGTTAATTAATAAAGTTGTATACCTATTTCTCTCCAACAGATTAAATTAGTGTAGTACCACATTGAGCAAGTAAAATATTGGCCATTTCTCATACATGCAAAGGTTAGGGAGGTGCTCCACATCAATCTAATAAGAGAATCCATTGTATAAGTGATTCCTCTTTATTTTAAGTCATCTTATGGTTGTTGTCAGGGCCCGTGCCATGTAGACTAGGACGAGCACGTGAGTTTCCTTATTTGGATTAGCGTGGCGCGTGGATAGGAATACGTCGTCCAGCTTCACGTAGATCTCTTCCTTTTTCCCTCCTCTCCATGCTTGAAGTTCTCGTTGATAGCTGCCTAGATAGTCGAATAGCATCCTATTCATCGTCTAGTTGAGTTCCGTGACAGTTGTTGGCACATTTTTCTACTCAAAAAATATGGTTATTTAGTCATCTTCAAAATATTATATACAGAATATTATAAACACATGCTGCTTTTGCAATACTGCAGATTTCTTGCTTTTTTAAAGTAGATATAGCAAGTAAGACCCTTCCCTCCTGCTCCATTAAATCTTTTGAAATTTGATGTGCTTTTGGAGGCATGGTTGGTGGTTGAAATGAGTGAGGTTTTTGACCACGGTCAAAACGCGGGGAGGTGGCCGCTCGCTTACCAGATACATTATGAGTGAAGTATGCAGTAAATTTTGATCCCAATAACTCCTGTGCTATTATGGAACATCACTAAAGATAGTTGAAATCTTCCACATGCTGCAATCACTACTACTGATATGTATATTTACATTGTGCTTATTGTATACAAATACACAACTTGCTTTTCTTTTCCAGTAAAAATCCCCATCAAATCAAAAAAAACCTGGGCTTCTACAGACAGTAAGTGGCGCTATACAACAATTTCGTTTGTGATGCCATCAAACACCAATCCCTCCTCGGTCTCGGTGCGTTTCAACTCCTCCAGTTGCTGCCACTGTTCGGGGTATTTCTCCTTGGCCCATTGCTCAACTTGATCTTTCCAGTATTGATATGGGATTGCGTTATAGAAGAAGCCGATTCTGTTTGTTTCCAATTTAGCTTTCTAATTCTTTGCCCTAGATACCAAACAAAAGGCAAGTACAGAGGGAAAGGGAAAGGGGGCGAGAAGATAACTTACGTATTCCGAGTCGGTACATAGCCAGTCTCCGACTGCATCTTATCAATAGCTTCGGCGGCGCGGTCGAATTCGCACTGTGCTGCCAGAGCCTCTACGAAGGAGGTATATAGTCGCCGGTCGACATCGATTTCAAGGAGTTTGACTTTCTTCATCATCTTCATTGCTTCGTGAGCTCCGTTAGGGTGTTTCTCGCATGCCTTGAAGAAGATAGTGATAGTCTTGTGTGAGGGTCCCTCGTCTGACCGCAGAATCTGGCGGAATATCGCCATGCTTTTCTCCGGCATGTCGCAAGCGGCATAGGCGAGCATCAACCCGTTGAGTATTCTTGTGTTGAGATCTACCTCGAGGTCCAATTTCAGCATGTTGTGGACAAGTTCGAGATTCTCTGCGTCTCCTGCGCGTGAAATTCCTTGGAAGCATCTGGCATATGTGTCTGGCTTTGGCCGGTGCGCAAAATCTTCCGCCTGGCGCATATGTCCGAAGACCAAGCAGGCCTGCTCACTACTGCCCCGTTTAAAGAAGGATGTCATTATATTGGTCCGCATGCTAACACCCGTTTCCGGAAAAGCAATTCGCAAGAGGCTGTACGCCTCCCAAGCCTGGTCACTTTCTTGGTTAGGATCTGTGATGAATCCTGTGAGGGCATTTCGGATCTTAGTCCTTCCTTCTGAATCGTAGGAGCCGAGCGACGGCCGGAGCAGTTCTGAAACAGCTTCGTAATCGTGGCGGTAAAGTAACATATGTGTCAATGCTGCCACTGTTTCCGGTTCCAGAAGAACATTATTCTCGAATAGAGGATCGAGGAGAGACGACGTCTGGTCGAATAAGGAATCTCTTTGCTCGCAGTAACAAAGCATCTTTATAAGTTTGTTCATCAGTGGTAAATTTGCAAGGGCCACTTGATCAAGGTTCAGTAAATTCCGGGAACATTCGAGTGCACCCTTGACATCACCGGCCTGAATCCGAGATTCCAGATGCAACAGCCTCGTCTGCATATCAGGCTCGAGGTCCCATTCAGATGCCAATGCAGCAAATTCAGCAGCCAGCTGCGGGTTCTCTTGGAAATTTGCGTACTCGATTAGGTTATTCACACATGATATGCTGAGTGTGGATTTAATTTCTGGATCTTCAGCCACCCAATTCGTGAGCATTTCGGCAATCTCAGCTGCCCCTTTCCCGTGAACTACCTCCCAGAGCAAGGTGACATTTCTCGTTTCGGGATTCGGGCTTGGTGGAAGGGACTCGAATACCAGTTGTGCCCAGGCGAGGTCAGACTTCCTAATCGCAAACTTGATCACCGCCTCTTTTGTAGAGAGAGACGGTTCTAGATCATCAGATATAGGGCATTCGTACATGGCCTTGGCCGCATCAAGAAGATCATGCTCAATGAGAATCTTGGTTATTTCTCCATGAGAGACTGGGTCGAATCTTCCTTCATACTTTTCAAGTTCTCCTGGTACTTTCCTGAGTCGGCGTCGGTCACCCTTCATGGCAAAGCCTTTCATGACCGCGAGCCAGGGAGAGGGCCTGGCTTCTCGAAGGCTCGGCCAGAACTGCCGGACCACACGCTGTGCCTCTTCCGGATTACCATTCGAAGACAGTATATTCACATAGGCGATCACGGCTGGCTCGCTAGCACCATCGGGACCAAGTTCGTCGCTGGCGCATAGTTCTAGGAAAGCAAAGCGCGCTATCGTCTGGACGGATTCGTGACATTCCGGAGGACACTTCGTCTCAGACAGGACAAATAATACCTTCTCTAGACTCCCTACCGAAAAGACCGCTTGCCAGTCTTCCGGCTCAAGTTCATTCTGCTGGGCTTTCAAATGATTCCATGTGGCAATAAGTAGGTGTGTCTGAAAATCCGTAATGACCCCTGGAGATTCAATTCGCGACGAGAAGAAGTCTCGAAAGGCCTTCGAGAGAACCTCGTTTGGCGGGACCCTGCTTTTATCCGCCAATGACCTTGTTAAATCCCTCATTGATTTCAGTCCTGCCTCTGACGGTAAGGTAGAATTCTGTTCGCCGCCGGTAGGTGATGGCATATTAAACGCGAAAAGACCGCGTCGCTGGGCGCGATGGGGACCATGGAAGCCGAGTTTTCGGGCCTGAGGGCCGGATATGGCGTGCAGCAAGCGGCCGTGACATTTTGGAGAGTAAACGGGCTCGTTATTCAAAATGGCTTGGAAAACCCTTCTGGTCAGTTGGGACTGCATGTTATCCGAGAGATGTGTCCAGCTTGCCTGCTGGACGAGACAAATTGATCAAGCTCCAACGTCAATGGCAGGAACATGACAAGCGCATGGCGCAAAGAATTACATGAACGAATTCACCCCAAAGAGGGCTATCTGGATCGTTCAAATCGGTAGATAAACAATATTGGAGTGCTGGTTGACGAGTCGGAGAGCTGGAAGATCCGGAGGAGCTCTTGGCGCATGGGAAGAAATCCGTTGACGAGCTCTCCATCAGCTCTTCAACTTTTCGACGGCCTACACTTCACGTAAGGAACGACATTATACATATTCGTGCGTACCGAGAAATTGATGAGATCAATGGCTCTCAACCTCTTCTCTTCGTCCTCCCTTCGGGTTTTCAAGCCAAGCGTCGGATGGCTGTCTGTCTGCCGATGGAGCTCGACGACCTCTTATCAACAGCCTACCTCTGACCGTAATAGGAGTTCGTTACCGTCTTGGGATTTATAAAATGCTTTTATTCTATCATTTATTGTTGCTGACACAGCGAACTAGACCCAACACTACGCCCTCGTCGCCGAGTACCGAACCGGCAAAGATTTATTGAGGATCAAAGGGCCCAGGGAGAGAGCAAGGCTCTAGAGAGGTTCATTACTCGCGAGTGGAAGGCGGGAGATATTTACGCCCCTCATGATCTCAGTGCGGCAGAAATGAAGAAGTGGAAACGGAGTCGTGGCCCATCTAGGGACATTTTTGATGCCGTCAACGTGAACCCGTTAGACCTATATAAGGTATAACCCCTACTTCATTAGCAGATGAAAAGAATCCCTTTTCTAATCTGGCATAAATTCCAATGATAGAATTTTGCCGTCATGTCCGAATATATGACAAGTATGGGACGTATTAAACATCGACGTGATACTGGCCTGCGACCTGTGAACCAGCGGAAAATTGCCAAAGCCATTCGGAGGGCTATTGGTGTTGGACTCATGCCGAGCGTTCACAGACATCCGGAAATTTTGGCAGCAGAGGCAAGGTCGAGAATGGAGTCATTATAAATCAGGAATTGATTCATATCATATCGGTGCATTTAGACACAATGGATATCGGATGGAGGCGCAGGAATCCTTTTCTTTTTGCTACCGTCCTCAAATGTGAATAAAAGGACAATGTATGTACTATTATTACCTATTTCTGTACACTGGTTATTAGCGACTCTTGCTCCTACCTAGTAGAACGCTGTCCGAATGAGCAATGGATACTACTTACTATATTCTAGATCAGCAATAATCCGGCGCTATGTTCATACTCTTTTCATATACATCCTAATCTCTTCCGAAGAGTTCCTACTGGTTGCATTCATACACCTTGGCAGCTGTGCCTATGGCATTCCTTGGGAATGCCATCTCCCGCAGTCGATAGCCATTTCGGCGTGAAAAGTTCAGAATGCCCATGATATCACTGAATCCCTCATTATTTTAAGAAATCTTCTGTTAAATCTACTCGGCGTACTGCGTTAACTAACATATCGACCACAGGGGTATATCATAGCTATGGCCTGTCAACATGTTATTGTTGTAGTCGACAGTACCTCATTCCATTCACCTTTTGAGCATTGCATATATGTTTCTATAAATGTTTTATTTATTTCTTTTTTCTTTTGTTCAAAAAAGAGAAGAGGCATGATGTGATGCATGGAATGCTCAGTCCGTTCTCCACATCGCTGATACGTCAGGGATTCATCCATAGCCAAGTAAGCCTCCCGCATCATCAACTCTCCTGGGTTCCAATACTACTCGTTCGACTTGGTTGGTGCTCTTGTACAACTGCCTGAGTGTGATCATGTCAATCACAAATGGTATATATCTACTCATTGCTTCTTCATATACTTGGGGACTAACAGTCTCCTTTCAGAGTCCATTTGGGCCGCCAGCCCCTCCACAACGAGGGGTCAGCCTACTCAGCTCTCTGCCGATTCGAAAGGAGAACGTCTCGCATATGCAGTATGTGGTACCTTGTTTTGTTGTCACTCTTTCACCTTTTTGCTTCGAGTAAATCGCATAGTAATACTGACACATCTCAATTGTAGTCGAACAAATCTATCTTCGTGCGGTCCATCGATAACCCCTCCATAGCCAGACAGTACACAGAGCATAAGAGCGCAACCACAGTCGCCCGCTTTTCCCCATCGGGTTTCTACATCGCTAGCGGTGATGCTAGCGGTATAGTAAGAGTCTGGGACTGCATCGGTGATGGTGTCACCAAGGGTGAATACAGCATCGTCAATGGCCGAATTAACGATCTTGCCTGGGATGGCGATTCTCAACGCATCATCGCTGTTGGTGACGGAAAGCAGCGATATGGACATTGCATTACATGGGATAGTGGGAACACCGTTGGCGAGATCTATGGACACACGCAAGCCATCAACTCCGTATCTATCAGACAACAGAGACCATTGCGGGCGGCCGCAGCTGGTGACGATAAGACGCTAGTCTTTTACCATGGGGTGCCATTCAAATTCAACACCGGCATTCGAGACAAACATACGAATTATATATACGGTGTGGGCTTCAGTCCAGATGGCTCTACATTGGTCAGTGTTGGCGGTGACCGGAGGATATGGCTCTATGATGGTAAAACGGGCGAGGCCAAGGGACAGATCGGCGAAGGGGAACACAAGGGAAGTATATTCAGTGTGTCCTGGTCCGGCGACTCTCGGAAGTTTGCGACTGCTAGCGCCGACAGAACTGTCAAGATTTGGGACGTTGAAACAGGGAAGGTCTCCCAAAGCTGGCTTCTTGGAGAGGAGGGCACTGTGAACGTTAATGACCAGCAAGTCGGCGTTGTTTGGCCTTCAGGAAGGAGCGATGGGCTTGTTATCAGTCTTTCGTTAAGCGGAGATCTCAACTACCTGGTGGAAGGCACGCCAAGCCCTAGACAGGTTGTTCACGGCCATCAGAAGAACATTACTTGCTTGGGCCACTTTCCTACCGACAGCAGCTCTGATACTTTGTGGACTGGAAGCTTCGAGGGAAGGGTCTGCAGCTGGGACTTCGCTACCGGCACTGCAGAGAAAGTAGACGGTGAGGGTCATCCAGGCTATATAGCCGGACTTGCGACAACCAAGGAAGGAAGCGGCAGGATATATAGCGTGGGATGGGATGATACCATTCGATCTATTGACATCGCCGCTAAGACATACACCGGAACAACCTCGAAGCTCTCTGGACAACCCAAGGGAATCGCGACAGGTAACTCAACAGTACTGGTTGGAAATTTGGATGCCGTTGAAATATTCCACGATGGAAAGAAGACCGGCGAGTTTAAGTCCAAGTCTGCGGTGACGGCAGTCGCCGCACATGAAACCACGGCCGCCATCGGAGGCGATGATTCGTCTGTCCAATTCTGTGATATTTCCAGCTCTGGTCTCTCCCCAAAGAAAGAAATTAAGGCATCCCGTAATGAAGTGTCTGCCTTGGCTTTCTCCCCGGATGGCTCCCTTGTGGCCGTGGGCGACTCTCGGGGCCGAGTGCTAGTCTACAAGGTTGCTGATGGCAGCTTGGTCACCGATCGTTGGACAGCCCACTCTGCACGGATTACTTCTATTGACTGGAACAAGGATGGTACGCACGTCGTGAGCGGGTCTCTGGACACCAACATTTTCGTTTGGAGCTTGGCCAATCCCGGAGATTGGCTTCGCGCGTTGAATACTCACAAAGAAGGGGTCAATGGAGTCGCCTGGATTGCTGGAGGCACTAAGATTGCTTCAGTTGGTGCTGATGCTGCAGTGAAGGTGTGGAAGGTTGAGGGGCTGAAATGAGGGAAATAGCCTGGAAGGTGCTTGGATCTTTACTGCGGGCGCTGGTTTGAACCTATCCTTTCACAGTGCTGGGGACTTATGAACAGTCCATGCCCCCTCATGAGACCATTCTCGTTATATACATACAGCACATGATAAGTCACATATGCCATGCTATGTAGATCTTCATAGTTTATACCCATGAATGACTTCCTCCAACTGAACTGTTGCAGCGAAATTTGGTATCTTAGCGAGCAAGATTGACAACGCAGAAACGAGGCCGCAAGTAGCAATAGTAGCCTGCTATAAGAAAGGCCCATGCGTCAAAAGCTCAATAGATGATTGTCTTGTAAGAACATCCTTTGTCTGTGAGAGGTGGCTGAAAGTTTGACATCGGTGGATCTGATCACCGGACCATCATCATCGTCAGCTAAATAAATACTCGACCTATGTCTGGCCCCCAACTATGGAGTTTTCGTTCTTCATGAGCCTGGAGGCAGGCAAAAAGAGAGTGAGTTGAGGATAATGCCGTCCGGTCCCTTTTCCAGCAATTCTCTTCGCTCCCAGCGTCCAAAGGTACGTGTTAAAAAAAAATAGCCGTCACGTATACAGCCTCGTCACCAAGTCCCTCACTAATGGTTGATTGGTACAGTTACGACAGGCTACATTTGTCCTCCCTAAAACTGGCCAGCGTCTGAAGGGCCTTGTTAATCTACGAAGCGCAAAAAATAATGGTTTCATTGACCCTGAACGGCAAGGGCTTCTGTCAGGAGAGGTTGAACCTGATCGCCATGGCGTCGCTCCAAAAATACCGGGGAAAGTTTTACAGATTTGGGTTCGAATGAGGCAATTTCTCACGTCGGAGCTAGGGATAGGTGTATTGAAGTGCAGTTTGGCCTATTTTTTGGGATCTCTGGCAACATTCATACCTGCGATTTCCGCGTTCCTCGGCCATCAAGATGGAAAGCATATGGTGGCCACGGTTACAGTCTACTTCCACCCTGCGCGGTCTAAGGGAAGCATGTTCAGGGCGCTGATATGTGCTCTCCTTGCGTTCCTCTATGCTGCGTTCATCTCCATCACTAGCATGCTTGTCACCGTCTTTTTCGGCGACTTGAACCTGCTTCTTGTCGGCCATGCGTTGGTGCTCATCGTGTTCTGTGGGGGCGGCTTGGGCTTTGTTGGATGGACAAAACAGAGGCTTGGAGATCCGCTGGTAAATGTGGCCTGTTCGTTGGCCTCTCTGGCCATTATCACGGTCTTGACAAAAGAGGGCAAGGTTCAAAGCGGCGATCTATCCTTCGCCAAGATATCCCAGGTCTTGAAGATGGTCCTCATGGGAGTCAGTGCTACGATGGCCGTGTCCTTTTTGATATTTCCCGTTTCTGCACGGAAGAAGCTTCGGGCAAATCTTGTCACTGTTACCGATACACTGGCAACTATGCTGTCCATTATAACTGAGAGCTTCCTTAGCGGTTCAGAAGAAGAGATATTGTCATCGGAATTTACAAATGCAGCTGCAAGCCATAAGAAAGCCTACGGGCAACTTGATAAGCTTGTGAAAGAGGCAAAACTTGAACACTACGTTCTAGGTACAGAAAGGGAGTACAGGCTCGAGAAGAAGCTGGTTCGCTGGGTCCAAGACATCACTCATAATTTGGGAGGATTGCGCAGCGCTGCCGCTTTGCAATTCCAACTACTTAAGCAGACTACGACGCTTGAATCTATGCCGTCGAATGGCCATGAAATATTCCATCATGGCATGCCGAGCCCGTGGTCGCTTCAGGAGGACTGGCCCTACTTGGAGCCAATAGATGAAACGCCTGAGATGGAAATAGCGGATTTGGACGCTGTGTTGCCGACCTCTTCTTCACCAGGCCAGGTTAGTCCAGATGCCCGTCAGATCTACCTGCCTGCCGATATCTTCGAGATATTTATCAGCCATTTGGGCCCTTCCATGGTAGTCTCCTCCCTTCCTCCAAGCTTGGAAACTGCTAATTACTTACAGCGCTCTCTCGCTTTTACCTTGAAGGAGATCTTCAAGGTAGTACCTTTCGGATCTGCACCGGATTACAAGGTCTCTGTTGATAGCAGATTCCACAACAGTCTGGGTCGTGCCCTCGAGCTGTACCAAGAATCTCGGCAGGTGGCTCTAACATCGCTTTATCGGCAGAAGGAGATCATGAATATCCATACGATTGAGACTGAAGCTGATTTCGAAGAGGTATCTGCCAGTTGCGGGCATTTCAGTTTTTCATTGCTCGAATTTGGCGAGCAACTCAAAGTCCTGTTGTCTATCTTGGATGAATTGCAGCTTGAAGCTGAGGAGAGACCCAATGGGAGGTCTTGGGGTTGGTTAAAGTTCTGGCGTTCGACTGAAGTTGAAAGGGAAATCAAGGATACTGGTAGGTAGCTTTGATGGATGAGAGCCAAATACTCCCAACTCTGACTTGACCTTAGAGCAACTATCCTCTGATTCGCATATATCGCAGAGCCCTGCCCACAATTTTGATTCACTGAACAGGTCTGACCATGAAAACCGACCCCCTCTATCCCCAAATGGTTTAATGCATGTACCCACCAGAGTGACAATTGGTTACCGTATCTGGAAATCGTTGAGGGTTTTCCGACGCGATGACACCAAGTTTGCAATAAAAGTTGGTACTGGGGCAGCGCTTTACGCTTTGCCGTCCTTTCTTTCTTCTACTCGCCCTCTATATTCTCACTGGAGAGGAGAATGGGGCTTGCTGTCATACATGTTAGTCTGTTCCATGACCATCGGATCGTCGAACACGACAGGGTATGCTCGATTTTTGGGTACGTCCCTGGGGGCAGTCTGCGCCATTTTGTCATGGTATGTGACTGCAGGGAATGCATTCGGGCTCGCGTTTCTTGGGTTTCTAATGGCGACATGGACTACGTACATTATTCTTGTCAAAGGGCAGGGACCAATGGGCCGGTTTATCATGCTCACATACAACCTATCTGTGCTGTACGCCTACTCTCTCTTGCAGAGAGAAACTGGGGATGATGACGACGAGGGAGGAGAAAACCCGATTATTACGGAGATTGCACTCCATAGAGTTGTTGCTGTCCTATCCGGCTGTATTTGGGGCATTATCATTACTCGAGTTATCTGGCCCATCAGTGCACGGAAGAGATTGAAACACAGCCTGAGCCTGCTTTGGCTCAGGATGAGTCTGATTTGGAAACGAGATCCGTTGTCTACCATTGCGGAGACACGTGCCCCAATTGCAATATACATGACACCCCGAGAGAAGCTCGAGATTGAGAGATTTCTTTCACGGCTGGAGTCTCTTCAAGTTTCGGCGCGTTCTGAATTTGGATTGAAGAGCGCCTTCCCAGACGCCACATACGGCAATATTATTCGTCGTACGAGAACGATGGTCGATTCGTTTCACGCCATGAACCTCGAATTGTTCGACAATTTCCCTGCTTCAGAGGGTGAAGTTTCCATTCTTCGATACACTGCTCGTGAGCGGCATCACCTGTCTGCCCGTATCAGCCATTTACTATCCGGTACGTTAGAAGTTCACGCTCTATTTGTAGACTCTATGTGCGTACTGACAAAGGATAGTCCTGGCTTCGTCTATGAAGCTCGAGTACCCCCTGAGCGACAACCTCCCGAATATAGAACATGCCAGAGACAGGCTTCTCGCGCGGATTTTCCACTATCGTAATGATCGAGCGGCGAGTCGGTCCACAACAGATGAAGATTATGCATTACTCTACGCATACAGTGAGTCAATCCAGCGCTTTCCCAGTAAATGAGTAATGGCTGACGAGATCTTTAGCTCTGGTGACCGCTCAGCTGTCTAGTGAAATCATGGGAATCATGGAAGAGATAGTGAAGCTGTTTGGGGTGTTGAATGAAGATATAGTCAAGCTCCAGTAGTCCAATGCCACGCGCAGTAATGCCAGTGTGCCGTGTTTCCCTTTCGGCTAAGTCTGTACTCCGTATGCAGCGAGCTTTTCTTGCTGTTTAAGCCATGTTATTATATGTCATAGGTGAATTTAGCCGGGAATCATCTTATATATATCCAGAGCTCTCAATGAGCGAGCCCTCGCCGTCCTTCTCATAATCGTTGCTGTTGTTCCTTTCAATCTCCGGACGCGACCATCGAACAGTGCTGGCGGGGAACAAATCAGAAAAGGGCCTCACCCTTCCCTTTACCACTCCAGCCATCAAGAAGCGCTCCTTTTTCATCGCAAAATCATCATTTACCTCTTGCTTTCATCATCAGCAACCCCCGAGTCGATCGAGTGACGACTTCTCTTCATGAAGCTGTAACTACCAGCCCCCGTCTCCGGCTTCGCGCAGCCCGTCGCGCTCCTGCAAGCCAGCAGCAATCATGCAGATCGACCCGGCCGCTTTGAGCCGGACAGAGTCGACATCGACTTCTGTCGCGACGCCAAAGGCTCCTAGTGGTCCTGCGAATCAGAAGTATACAAAGGCTCTGATTTCTGTTCCGCGACTCGACCTCGAGCCAATCTACACGGAGCTGAAGGCCGCTATCGGTGACAACTGGGCCGAGTATAAGGAGTCTACAGCTCTCTTCCTCTTAGGTATGTCTGAATATAATACAGATCCAATTCAATTCTGTTGAAGCTACCCCAGCATCTTACCGGTGTGATCATGTGGATTGAAACCACCTCGTTTGGCATTTCATCTTTCTGATGTCTTTGGATCGAAATACAGGGCATTCAAACCAAAGTGAATTCTCGTCGCGCGTCGATCATATAATATGCGCCGACCCAAAGACCGAGCATCTTCATAATAACTTCGTATGCGCTATTATCGGGAACCTGACGAGAGACCTCCCTGATCATGGCGTTGCCAGTTGGGTGTCGGCGAACGACAAGCCCTCCGTGGTGTCGAAACCCGTCTCGGGCGATGCTGCAGAACAGCGACTGAAGACGGAGGTCATGCAAATACCACCGAGGGATCGTCGAAGAATAAAGGCTATTCCAGAGGTATGCTACACAGGCGTGTGAAGTAAGGTATATGACTGTGACGAGGTAGACGATGCTAACACGCTTCTGTTATTAACAAGCCCGATCCTGGTGAACTGCTGCACCATGAACTGGAAGAGTACCATCGGGCAAAGCAAATAAAATTGCCAAATCAAGTGCCGGCAAGTGCCGGCGGCTTAAACAAAACAAGTAAGGGCCTAATACTTCATCGCGTGAGCTGTTCGTTAGAATATTAATATACGTTGTTGAACACTAGACTGGGAGCTAGAAATTCGGAAACGCTACGCACAACCTCTGGCTTCGGAAACGGGTGAGTTTCCAGATGCGGAATCCATACATGCGCGCATGGTCCCTATATGCTACGAAGAATCGATCGCCAGTGGCGCCGGCTTTCCCTGCGCGGAACTCATGGCGATTGCTACAGAGACATTTGTCAAGGAGGTTCTTTCGGTTGTCTTTTCGCGGACTCGATCTAATGGACCGTCCGGCACCATCAATGGGATGATGACTCGCAAGTATCGACAGCAACTTGAGCGAGAAGAACTGGCTTACACCCGTGGCGAGATAGTCAAGGATACTGCAACAGGCTTACTTCCAGTCGAAGCCAAGGAAGCAAGCACTAGAAAACCTCTTGGAGTTAGGGACCTCCGACTAGCCTTGGAAATTGGTGGCGGTTTCCTAGCTCATATGCCTCTAGTTGCTGACGAGATCATGGGGTGCTATCTCGAGGATGAACTGGAGGTCGAAAGGCAAGATGGAACAGCAGACGATGTGACTGAAATTTCAGTTACTAACGACGACACGAAACTTCCCTACGCTGATGAGATGGAATTGGACGACAGCGATATCGATTGGGAAGGAGGCACACTAGCGGATAGAGAGCAATTGAGCTCTCTACTAGATGAGTGTCTATCCATGGCTTCATGAACAAGTTATACCTTGCTACTAGGATCTCCATATTTATTATTTTCTTTTTGTGTTATTTCGACAAAAACTGCTATGTTATCAGATCCTCCAACGTCTCAGATTTGATGCCGAACTCTGATGATTTCAAGGGGGAAATTGGCGTCTTGGGGCTATTCATGAAGGCAGCTGTTACAGCTCTGAGGCAACTAGCATTTGGTTTGGAGTTTCAAATTTTTCTTTTTTCTTTTTTTCTTTCTTTTTTTTTGGTTTTTGCTTTCACTTGTCATCTTCTTTCAAGGACCCCTTCTCCCCAGCGCACTTCAACTTCATCTATTATGAGAGGGCCATACTTCATGGACATAAAACGGGAAAAAAAGAAAAGGAAGTTGAGTAACAGGACAATCACTTCAAAGGGAAGAAAAAGAGGGAATTAAAGGGGCTGGGGAAGAAGATTGTTTCCAAGTGAAAGGAGAGTACCTTTCGATACCCATGATTCGTCTTTGATATTATTATAGCTTTCTTTGCATGCTACAATACAACTGATGTTTGCATTTTCATCCGGGCTGGCTATTACATGGGTACATGGGTCTTTTACTATTCAGCATTAAGCTGAATCAGATTGGATTGGGAAGGTTGACTTACTATTTTATGATAACTCTTGCTTCCCCATGGAATGGAATGGAATGTATAGGTACTGACAGATACTCATATTCCATTGATGAATGCCACACAACTTTAAAAAGAGGACCGTGCGTAGCTGATTCCACACACACACACACACACACACACACAGCAGAACTGATGTATTGTCTTTATTCATTCAACTGGATATAGCATTGTCTGCCCTGTCTGCCTCTCTTGAAAGAATAAGGGATTTGTTGCTGGTTAATTGTACACCCACCGCTCTAAACGCCAGAAGCCACCGGAGTATCATTATAAGCCGCCAAGAAAGATAACAATAATCAACAAAAAAGGCGGATGGAAGTGTATTGGTCAAACATATGTAGAGGTCCTACTGAGTAAGACTGTCCGCGACGAGTTTGAGTAACTCCTCAGTCGACTTACGCGCGTTGGCTGGATTTTTTGCGACCGACTGCCAGGCCTCACCATGCTTAGGTTCGGTAACGACACACTTTGCCAAAACATCGGCTCGTTTTTCCTATTAACATTGTGCAAGAGTCAGTATCTCCAAGAACTAACAACCCCTGGGAGCAAGATAAAGGGTAATACAGGGTCGAACTGACCTCCGTGCCATGTTGTAACAGAAACTTATAGTACCATGCCCAAGCATCACCAAGATCACTGTTGGCGACAATAGCCTTCTCAAACCATGTCATGGCCTTCTCAAGGCGGCGCTCGCCCCAGAAAATCCGTGCCACTGTAACGAAAAGAATGGGGTCGTTGTCCACTCTCTTTATCGCCTCTAAACTACGTGCCTTTCGCTGCGACCGCGGCTCCAGGTGCCAGATGCTTTCGCTCCACAGTAAGCCCGAGGTTGGAACTTCTTGAATAGCCCTGGCCATCAAAACTTTCGCTTGTGAGATGTTGTTCGCCCGTCGTTCAACCCGGATACTTTCGGTCCAAAGCTCGGGACTCTTGGGAACAGCGAGACGGGCCCGATCAAGTACGGATCGTGCCCTAACTACAGCACCAAGTTGTTCTTCTAACCTGGATGCTAACAACCAAAGAGGGACTGATTTTGGGCAGGCTCTGGTGCCCGTTCCATATGCCTCTCGTGCCTGCGGGTACTTTTTCTGTGCCTCGTAAATCTGGCCCTTCATCATCCAAAGCTTATCAGCTTTCGGGTAGAGCTGCAGACCTTGGTTCACAAGGTCTAGGGCTTCATCACTGTTGCCCAGTTGACGCTCAAAGGAAACACTTTTGATCCAAACGCGATCTGTTCCAGCTTCGCGGCGAGCGGTTGCAAGTAGCTCTCTAGCTTGGTCTTCCTGGTTTGCATCGGCCTCCAGTTTGACTGCAGCGAGCCAGATATCCTCGTTGTTTGGATTCTGATTGAATGCACGACCAAGGACACGTCTAGCATCATCAATCTCCCCAATCTGCCATTTTTCCTTTGCGAGCTGCAGCCACAGGTCCTCACTCTGGGGACAGGCCTCTACTGCTTTCTCGAGAACTTGCCATAATGCTTCCTTACTTCCGTGGTTGCGTTCGAGGTCGGCTGCTGCAAGCCATATGGATCGGCGGTTCACGAAGACACGTAGTGCATAAGCATAGATTGCCCTTGCTGTCTCGTACTTGCCTCTTGTAATACTGGCCTTCGCATCATCCATCCATATGTCCTTCCGATCATCATCCTCATCCAGACCCCAGCCAAGAGTCTCACGAATAATAGCGCCGCAGCTGAGAATTGCCCCTTCCTCTTCGCACTTCTCTGCTTCTGCTATCCATTCCTCCCTCTTCAGCATGGCATTTTCTCTTGCGAGGGATTGGACAGCCCTCTTCATCATGAGGTTGACTCTGTCAGAGATACCCATCTGCTCCTGTAGTCGCGCAGCAGCAATCCACACCTCATAGCTAGTAGGAACAGCTTTGCGGGCAGCGTTAAGAACTTTCTGTGCGTTCTCTGGAGTTTCAAGACGGGCTAGAGCAAGCCATAGTTCAACGGACAGTGGGATCATTTCAACTGCCTTCGCGAGTAGAAGTCTAGCATCGGCAGGATCTTCTTCCAGATTCACAGCTTCTTTCCAAATCGCAACTGATTGAGGAATATGCAAGATGGCCTGTCTCAAGACATTTTTCTTAGATCGAACTTCCGTTTCCAATCTCATTGCCTCAATCCATAGTCTGGTCGACATGTCATTATTCTTAATCGCATTTGCGGCAATGACTTTGGCGTTATGGCCCTCATTAAGCCTAATATTTTCAAGCCACGCATCTTCGCTTTTCGGACAAAGCTCACAACCTTTGGCGATGATGTTCCTAGCCACAACAATCCTCCCAGCTAGCTCCTCCAAACGTGCAAGCGCGATCCATCCGGGAGCGTGTTTCGGGTTCGTCTTCGTTACCGATTCCAACAAAACACGAACCCGTTTAATATCACCTATCTCGACCTCCCCAGCCTTCAGTTCCGACTGTGTCAAACTTGTAAGATATCCCTTCGGATCAATATTTGTCGCGCTCCCTGATGACGAGTCCGCGGTCGACCCCATCGCAGCCTGATCAAGCCTGACCTTTAGAACCTTATCACGAGCAGCACCAATATCCGCAAAATTTGTCATCGTCCCATCTGTACCCTCTGCGCCACGAATGTCCGTGGTGGTGCCATCATCGTTGACTGTCGTGTCGAACTGGGTCGAGTCTCTCGCGCTGGCTATTACGCTATCTGGAACGGCATAAAATCGTTGCCGTAAATTCTGTTTTGCCCGTCTGTTTCGGCCTGTAAGGTCTCCCACTTCTGGAAGGTTGGCCCACTCGTCCTCGGAAACTGCGGCTAACGAGCGCTTCAAGTCGGCGAATTGCTGTTGAATCTTGGGATTCTTCCGTTCATATTCTTCCCGTTCTTGACGCTCTCGAGCTTCCCTACAGGTGGCGAACATTTATGTCGGTATTCTGTTCAGACAACGGGAACATCCCCCGATGAACAATCGATCTCAAAAAAGAAAATCATGAGTGGGTGTAGGTGAAGCAACTAACCTTCTTGCCTTCCGCCGCTTATCCATCTTCTCATCTACCTCCCTATAGATGCGATCTGCTTCGTCATCTTCCTGGTCAAATTGTCCATATGCAAAGAGTCCGACTTCGTTATCTGGGTCCTGAAAACGATCATCTTCCTCCTCCTCGGCTGCCTCCTCCTTTCCGCCTTTTTCTCTTCCTGCACCGTAAGCAGTAGGGGGTGCAGTACCAAGAAGCTGTGCTCTTTTTGCGAGTGCAGCTTGGATTTGTTCCGGTGTAGGACCTTCTCGGGCAGGTCCCAGATCTGAGCGAGTGGTGAAGCCTGTTGCTCCCCTACCGAGACCCGCAACATAGTTCTCGGGTGCTGGCTGGCTCAAGAAGTCCTTCCGTCCAGTAGACATATCTGAAAACTTCCGCTAGGGAAAAGTTGGAGGATAAACTGAGCTGAGTAATTCGACGAGGAGTTTCGTTTTCGAACCGACGCAGCTGGTTGTAGAATCAAAAGAGGCAAACTGCTGCTTTCGGGAATTTGTAATGCCGACCCGTTAATCTTATCGGAAAATTCTCCGCATTTGTTTTTCTTCATATTTTTTTTGCATGACATTGGGGGGGTATAAAGCTTCTGTATCCTCTCCATTCCTTAAATACATTTAAATACTCCGTTCAAGGTTCCAGGCATTTCACAATGCCAAAGGCAAATCATAAGAAGCGCAACAATGCTTCACACTCGAGTCCCTACGCCGAGGCTGCGGCCAAAACCAAGGCAGCCAACAGCATATTTAGAATGAACACAGATATTGGACAACACGTCTTGAAAAATCCTGGTATCGCCGAGAAAATTGTCGAGAAGGCCGACTTAAAACAAAGTGATGTAGGTTCGGAAGCGGGTATGTCTTAGGATGTGTGTACAGTGACTAAGAGCTCGTTTTCGATTTACAGGTCGTCCTCGAAATAGGTCCTGGAACGGGGAACCTGACTGTCAAGATTCTTGAAAAGGCTAAAAAAGTCATCGCAGTCGAACTGGATCCTCGTATGGCGGCAGAGCTTACAAAACGTGTCCAAGGAACACCTGCTCAGAAACGTCTCGAGGTCATCTTAGGAGACGTGATCAAGACCGACCTTCCATACTTCGATGTTTGTATCAGTAATACTCCATACCAGGTATGCTCAATATCTAATCACCACCTTTAGCTGGAACCTAACTCCCTTAGATTTCCTCTCCTCTCACTTTCAAACTTCTTGCAACTTCACCAGCACCCAGAGTGTGTGTCCTCATGTTCCAACGCGAATTCGCGCTGCGGCTTTTCGCGAAGCCTGGGGACAAGCTTTACAGCAGGCTCTCAGTCAATGCCCAGATGTGGGCCAAAATAGATCACATCATGAAAGTCGGCAAGAATAATTTCAAGCCTCCACCAGCAGTGGAATCAAGTGTCGTCCGTATGGTTCCCAAGAACCCAAGGCCGCAAATCAGCTATGATGAATGGGACGGGCTTCTGAGAATTGCCTTTGTAAGGAAAAATAAAACACTCCGGTCTAGCTTCCTAGGGAAGTCGAGCATAATGGATATGCTGGAAGCCAACTACCGCACATGGTGTGCTCAGAACGACATCCCAATCGAAGATGGGCCTTCCGAGAATCCAGATTCTGACATGATGGACACTGGCAACGCACAAGATAACGGTGAGGAGGATTTGGACGAGACAATGGACGTTGATGAGGACGACGATGTTCCAGACTTTTTCAAGGAGGAGGCCAATGCCCGTATACAAGAAGCTCTCAAGAACAAACCGAATCGTAAAAAGAAAGGGAAAGTAGCGGAATTGGTACGCGAGAAGGTTCGGCAGATCTTGGAAGATGAAACGAAACTTGCAGATAAACGTGCCAGAATGTGTGATGAGGGTGACTTTCTGAAGCTGCTGTGGGCGTTCAACCAGAAGGGCTTTCACTTCAGCTAGGCTTGGCAAGGGAGAATGAGAAGTCCTTCGGCACCCTGCAACGTCAAAATAGCGAACCATCCATTCCTCTGATGGAATCTGATTACAGTCCTAGACCGCTATCATCTGGGGGCTGTTCACCAGAGGGCCGGAGGTGGGCACGTGAGTTCTGGAACAGACTCTGCCAGATAAATGCCTCGCTCAACAAGAGCTCTATATCTTTCTCAGTCCAATCTTTTGTTGGCAGAGCCTGGAGGAACATCATCACTTCCTGCAAGAATTTAGCCCTTGCATAGTGACTATTAATCGGAATAAAAAGGCCACAAACCTGGAAGTCCATCTTGACCAACTGATCAGACCATTTTGCGAGGAATGCAGCACAAACGTACAGATGGAATCGAGAGAAGCCTTGCTCCTCGGCCTGGGAACTGTTAGCATAATCTCTAATATCTATAATGGCAATCCAAGACACACCAAATACGTATCCCACATTCGTATTGTATTTTTAACACTCAGTTCTCGCATTAACAGGCAGTTCATCCACCGAAAGCTAAATTGCATGAACTCGACACCCTCTTTCTCCAGGTGCTTCGCAAGTGCAGAGTCAATACGCATCGTCAGGTCTCGTAAGGCTCGAACCTGCCTGTGTATACCAGGTTGAGCATAGATATAGTTGTCCTGAATGCCTTCGAGGAGCTTTGTAAGGCACCAAAAAGAGTCCGCTTCGACAGCATCCAGGACAGTTCTCGGTAATTGGCCTGGATCCATGCCCTCCTCTATATCGAGGTTTGTAATATAGACACCAAGAAAAACTTGCCAGAATGGCGTAACAAGGTCATTGATCCCTTGCACGTAACCGCTGGCAGGGTGTCGAATTGCCCAAACGTAAAGAATCCTTTCTAATGACCGCTGGGTGGCTTCATACCCGTAGAGCTCAATATGCGGATTAGTGCGTGGAACATCTATGCTGATTTGGTGCCAGATCGCTTCATCCAATCCTCTCCCACGGCCTGACGTAGAACTATTCGCAGGAACTGTCGTAGTGCTTCGCTCAAAAGCCTGGCGGACCCCCTCAAGGTATTCTTTGCGCTTCCTTTCCAAAGTCGAGATACGGCGCTCACTATTCGTGGGTAGATAGCCAAGCAGGATCTGCCAGGTCATTGGGCGGACTTCCGCAGGGACACCGGACCAAGAGAGATCTCTGAGCTCAGACAGATTGACATTGCTCGCCTGAAGGATGCGTTTGAACTTGTTAATTCGTGATATGTGAGAAGAATGCATCTCCAGTTCTTTTGGCGAGGCATCTGAAGGAGGAGGGCTATGATTTATAAGATTTAAGGCGTTGGCAGGATCTTTAAGTCCATGTCAGCGGATCACCAAATTTTCTTGCAGAGATGATCATTACCTTTCAAAATATCTTTGTATTGAGGTCGAAGGATTTTACCCTCGCTCTTTTTCGCTATCGGGTACATGGGAGGACCACGTTCTTCTGCAATGTCTGAACTGTTTGCTCGCTGTCTGTTTGATGGCAAACTAAGACCAAGGCTAGTTGAAGAAGAGCCGCCGGAATTCCTGCCACCTGGGTCAATATTTTTGGGTCGAAGATTGTCGGAACCCTTTTTCTTCTTCCTTCGCATACTCGTAATGCTGGGCAGTCCGAATTCGTCCTCATCATCATCGTAGACAATTTCATCTTCGACATCTTCGTCATCCCCAGCCTGACCTTCGCTCCAGCCTTCAACTCCCTGTGTTAGAATGTTCGAATATGAATACGGTTCCTGCGGAGAAGGTAAAAATCGACTTCCTGTTCGAGGAGGAGATGGGATGTATTGAGCGTTGTTGGAAGATGATCGAGAAGGGGGTTCGGGGCGTGCATGCTGCGGCGATAAACCTCTACCAAGGCAGGTCCATTTTAGCTCGTCAAATATAGACCAATCCAACCTAGAAGAGAAGCACAGTAGCGAACCTCAAGATATCAGTATGAGAATACGAGGCGCCAACAACAGTGTGTTGTTTGTCAGGGCTTCTTGGAGATCCCTGATTCAGGGATGTCGCTCTGCTCTTCCAAAAAGGAGAGCCTGCGCGCCTTTGGGTCGTTAGCAACAGGTGTGAGTGAAGTCAAGTAAGAACCGGTACATACTCGGAGCGGTCTACAGATTAAACGAAACAAGAAGCTATCGTTAAACCATTGAACTGGTTCCAAATAATATGGGGTTTGTCGTGCGGTACGAACCAACCTGGACCATCTCCTTCGATTTTATCGTCAGCTTTTACAGTACACGTTTTGCAAATCTGCTAGATCAGTTCATAATCGCAACTTACCTGCTGCTGACTTTTCCTGGTGCCCATAGCCCTTCCTCAAGCTACTCGGCACACATGTACTAGTAGGTCATAAGGGGGGAAGGGCGGGGTGGAAACAACTCTGGAGGAATATATGGTGTTATAATGGAATCTCTCAGAGTTCGGCAAAAGTAGATTTATATCAAGATGCCACGTCCAGAGAAGGACTGGGCCTTTTTAGGAAGAATAACGAGGCAGAATTGGCCGGAGTAGGGCCTGTAGTGAAAAGCCAGGTTGCAGATAGCCACCCTCCAAGCCGAGTTCGCGTCGGCTGTGACCGCGCCTACTTGTCTTCTCCTCTCGACTTCATGCTCCGCTTTCCTTCTCTTCCCCATCATTCCTTCAAGGTCTCACTCTCATTCCCTCATCTTCCTCCTTCACTTTTCATCCTTCACAGTCGGTCTGCGGCTTTCATTTACGTTGTATTTGCTCTACTGTGCCTGATTCGCTTTGCCGACACGCTAAGGTTGTGCTTATTTCCCATTGAGCCGGGTTTCTTCTCACCTTTGTTCGCCTACCTTCAATTTGACTTCCCCTATCCTTTCCTCAGACACTCTTCATCTCTTTCACGGCTTCGGATTGCTTGAGCTTAGTATCTTTCACCATGGCTGAACCGGAAGATCTCGAGGAAGATCTTTTTGCTGATTTGTATGATGTACCCGTCCCATTATTTTTTCTTGATTCAGAGTCTAACCACGAAACTGGCAGGTACGATGCTGACGACACAACTAATCACGCTACTCCGGCAGTTGAGGCTCCAAAAGTTCCTTTATCTACCGAGTCAACGGTTCATACCCAAACTACCGATGCCCACGGTCCACGGAGTGACGTTTCAAAAACCGAGGCAGAGAATGTGAAAGAATCCTATCAAGTACCCCTGATTGGGGGAGTTTATCAGAATGGAGGCGATTTAGCCACAGGTGTTCATGATGCAACAGCCACTGCCGGTGACCATGAACCGCATGGGACGGGTATCAAAGAAGACGGGTAAGTTGTTGCGCGTTGCGTTTTGCATTTTTCTATTTTCGTGCTCTATACAGAATATTTAAAACTGGCTGCTACCTTACTGGTGATGTCTTGACAATATGGCTTGCTGTTCATGGGACTACTCATTCGCCGTCCCTTGGAGCAGGTATATCTACTCGCATTGGGATGCTGTCGACGGGCTGCTCTGGGCTTTGATAAAGGGCGACGGTGAAAGCATGATATAATCGCTTCGCCTGGGCTTATTTGTGGAATTTGGGGAAGACTTGAGTTGTGAGAACATCTCGGAATTAAAGAAAAGATCAGCTCTATGTCTCCTCGAGGTTGTGGTCATTTCATAGAGATCTGATTACTGCCTCCATAAGAGCGATTCACATAGACCTACGTCCTACAGAGAGTCTAGGTGCTTCTGTCAGTTATGAAGATCGATTTAATGGAGGCGAAATGGTATCTCTTTGGATTTAGAGAGTCAAAAAGAAATCGGCGAACCACAATCGGTGTTATCTTCAGGAAGAGACAAGCATCAGATATCTCACTCCGCGAAACGATACTTCCAGCGGCCACACTACTGCCGATTCTATATAGCTTCTCGTCGATATATCTTTGATAGATCAGAGCAAGGAGTAGAAACCTTGGCTGGCGGGGGAATCATCGAACAGCTTTAATTAGCTTCGCACTCTTAGCAGGAAAGGGGATCCTTGATCACAAAGACAGAAACAAAAAGAAGCAATTTCACTCCATTTCGCCTGACATACTGCAATCTGTGGCTTGCCAATATCGTGCGCATTCCCCGGCTCTGAAAGGCGTTGTCGCTACCTCAGTCCACTGGACTCGTCTTGTAAACCGGTGGATTATTGCCTAGAAGATTGGCCACCAAATGTCTGACAACCTGTTCATGACTGCTCTTATCAATGTCACTGTATACCTGGGATGGATTGGCGAGCCGTGACAAGTTGTGGCTTACTGTGGCCGGCCTACGCCGCTCGCTCGTACTGTGCACATGGAAAGCACCAATGGTGTCAAGCTTTTCTCATGCTCTTCTCGACACTCTGACACGGGTCTGATACAGCCACTACTTTGCAATATAGACGTCCATGGCTGGTAGTGGCAGTATCGGCGTTGGAATATCGGACTCCTGAATAGCAGCTTGTCTATCACCGGTTTCTTTCAGCCAGGAAAGAAGGGGGAGAAGCATTACATTCTGTTTCGATTGTTATCTGTTCCATACAGCTTTCTTTTCTTAACTTTTTAGCCACACTATGTCTGTATATTCGATGGTTTGGTGGGTTACTAATATAGTGGTTTCGATAGGAAGATGTTCATCGGAGGTTTGAACTGGGAGACGACGGATCGTATGTGCCCTCGCTGTTCTATTTGGAATTTCCATCATCTGTTGGAGCCGTCCTGACTTTCTTCGACTAGAATCTCTGAGAGACTATTTCTCCCAATTCGGAGAGGTGCAAGAATGCACCGTTATGCGAGACAGCGCTACGGGGCGCTCCAGAGGCTTCGGGTTTTTGACATTCAGGGATCCGAAGACTGTCAATACTGTTATGGTTAAAGAGCATTACTTGGATGGGAAAATTGTAAGTAGCTTTTGGCAAATATTCATGACTCCGGGGCGCCTATTATCTCGTAAATGGACTTTTAAGGCTTACTCGATTTGAAGATTGACCCTAAACGTGCAATTCCCCGCGACGAACAAGAAAAAACAAGCAAGATTTTTGTCGGCGGCGTGAGCCAGGAAGCAAATGAGCAAGACTTCAAGCAGTTCTTCATGCAGTTTGGCCGTGTAGTAGATGCCACCTTGATGATTGACAAGGATACAGGTCGACCTCGTGGATTCGGTTTTGTGACGTTCGACAGCGAGGCCGCTGTAGAAGCAGCTCTTTCGCGCCCGCTAGAGATCCTAGGAAAGCCAATTGAGGTAAAGAAGGCCCAACCAAGAGGTAATTTACGTGATGAAGAGGACCGAAGAAATCGGCGTGGAAGAGACAACTTCCAAGGGGGCCAAGCAGTCGGTGATGCTTCTCAGCAACAGCAGGGTGTTCAAGGGCCTGCTGGGCAACTCGCAGGCCTTACCCCGCAAATGATGGCTCAGTATTGGCAACGGATGCAGCAGTATTTTGCCTTGATGCAGCAGCAGATGGCCGTTGCAGCGGCCGCTCAGGGTCAGGCCATGGGGATGGGGATGGGTACCATGAACCCTGCCATGATGCAGCAGATGCAAATGAAACAGATGCAGCAAATGCAGATGGGCGGCAACCAGCAGCAGGGAACGATGAGTCCTCAGTCGCAGAACGCGAGTCTCCAGGGTATGCAAAATGTGATGAATCCTAACATGGTTCAGCAGATGCAACAGATGCAGAACCAGGGTCAGGGCTCCAATGTTGGAGGAATGCCCGGACAAATGGGAAGCGGTATGGGTGGAAATTTCACAGGGCCACGAGGAGGACCCGGTTACAACGCCCAGGAGCAAATTGCGTTTGAACAACAGAAGTACGAACAACAACAGGCTCGAAGAGTCATGGAGAACCGAGCCTTCTCTCCGTACCAACAGGGTGGACCGACTTCCTGGGAGGGTATGTACGATGAGGTTCCTCAGCCTAGCATCCCAACGGGTCCTCAGAGTATGAGTCGTGCAAGCAGCATGGGTCGAGGTACGTCTTGAATCCAGCCCATCATGATGAACTCCTTACTTATCAAGCAAATATTAGGTCCAACCCCTCAACCGCAAAGTGCAGCCCCCGCCAACGCTCCGACCGGTCCCAGAAATGCCGGGAAGCCTGGAGCAAACTATCGTGGAGGAGGCCGTGGAGGACATCGAGGCTTCCATCCTTATTCTCGCGGTGGCTAAGAAAATGCGATCAGATTCATTGCAAAGTCGTGTCTTGCGTTACGAGCTCATTCTCTGTTCTCTACAGTTTTCTATTCTCTTGCTTCAATTTTACTTCTCCACATCATTTTGGAGCAGATTCCTCAATCTTCAATACCGTTCATACAGGGAAAACAGAAGAAATTGAATGGGGTTCTTGTTTTTTATTGTTTTCAGCTCACGCTCCATGCGGACTGCCGGTATGTATGAATTTATTTGATTCTGAAGGACCCCTTTGGCCTGGTAGTAGAAAATGAAGGAATTGTACATGAACCATAAAAAGCCGTTATGCTAATACCAAAGCTCTTTGGAGGATGAAAAGCTCGTTTCTGCTAGTGTTAGGTAGAGTAGTTCTTGGGGCTCCACTGTAAAATATAAATATTCGAGAATTTTCCGGTCAGGACAAACTCAAGTTCTCCCTGGTTTCTCAGCTACCATTTCTTCACTGTCTTCTGGGGATCTGTTAAACTTCAACTTCACTCGACGAACCCAACTTCTTCTTTTCGATACGGCGGTCATCCGTATCGTCTCGCCTATAATCATCTCATAGCATGGGGCCGATGAAGGCGCAAAATATTGAAGGTGATGTCTAACATTCAGATCATATGGTGCAGGCTACATCTATACATTGCTTCTGACAATCTACCAGAATCCTAACCAGATTCTTTATTAGTCAAACCAAACATTATCCAACAGTCATTTACATGCAGCTCTGGGGAACGATATCCTAGAGCCAGCACCTCACCCTGTTTACTTGAGTAATAATGCTACAGACTGCTGAGATGTCATTACATCTTTTTAGTCCAATACACCCAGTCTCTTGTCTTGACTCTCAGTACTCGTTCCGCAACTGCAGTGTCGCAGGAGTCTGTCGGTGTTCTACTCTCTACTACTATGTTAAATTTAGTTCCAGCACAATGGTGTCCGAAATGGAATTTGACCTCCCAACTTCTCTAAGAGGCTGATCAAATACCGCCATTTATCAGCCTGGCCAGGATGATATTTTAACAACCAGCCACCAGAACGCATCGCTTATATTGCTGAACTTGCTCAAAGCTTAGAGTTTGGCAAAGTCAATGCCTTATTCTGGGCCATTGATCCAGGTATATGGCACATCCAAGTTGAGATCACTCATTGAAAGTGCAAGAGACTCTCCTGCCCTTTTATCCCTTCTCATAGACAATTGCTCCTCCGTCCCGGTGAAATAGATGCAGCACCCTCCAAGGTCATCAGGTTGGCCTCATCTGCACCGTCAACAACCGACACCAATTAGTCACATAATGCAGCTGCCTCGCCGCACCGTACTCGGGCAGTAGGACCAAAAGAATTTGCAAAGGAGCGAGGCAACCACGCTTGTGTCTTAGCTAAAATGGACCAACATAAAGTTGGTCATATATTTTTTTCATTTCTATGATCAGACCAAGAGGACCTATGAATATGGAGCGTTCAGTCCCAAGCTTTTGGAAGCTGCTCGAACTTTTCTAGGAACCAGAACGTCCGAATAGTTGGCGATCTCGGATATTTCGAGATCCCGAAGACCCGAGCAAAGCAACAGACACTTGTTTCAATAATATGTCTCTGCATGATGACATCTACAGTCTGTGGGGCAAGGGACATTTTGTCTTACGACCTATGTCTCCAACCCAACAACAATACTGAGCTGAAAGCTGAGTTTTGCTGGCAGCCTCATCACCAGCATACCCCAGCACACCTTTGCAGACTCTATTGAACTTGTCCAGCCGCCTCTATCTTCAAGAAATCTTGATCGCTTTGCTAGAACAGTGATCACCATCGAAGTCAAGAGCGGACACTGGGTGCCAGTCAAGTCCGGCAACATTTTATGCTGACGACTACTGACCCTTCAAAATCATACATTGCCAAGCCTTCAGTTACTCGAGATGCAATGGCACCTCAATCGGATTGTTGGCACGTCTGGCGCGGCAGATAACTATGACGATGAGTATGACAATGATGATGGCAACTACTTCGATGGTCGTCAGGCAGCAACCACGCTTCAATGTAATTCATCAGAGATCTTCCGATAGCCCTCTCTCTTCCGTGTCCGATACTGGAGGGAACTAAAATAACGATATGGCCAAACCCCCTAGAGATGCTTTTCATCAAGGTTACATCTTCCTTGCCACTCCAGTCACTTGGTGCTCATCGCATGTTCAGATCTAGTACCCAGTGAGCAAGGGGCGAGCATCAAAATGGAAAGGGGAAGACATGAAGCATTCTAGAAACTCCAGTTTATATGTTTCACAACTTCAAGTCAAAAATCTGTCTCCCGGCATGGCTAAATACAAAACTGGATCACTACATGGAGTTCTGGTGGTACACCGATGGGAAAGAAAAGTAGGGAGAATCATTATCAATGATGGGGGCGTCTCTTCATTGCTGTCTCGGATATAGTAATAAGGCATGGATGGGCTGGAAACCGTCTTTTTGTAAATTAAAGATCAACGTAATGCATGCGCCAAATGTCTAGCATGATTATATTTCTGTAGTGAGTATCCAGAAGACAGTATGACTCGGTTTAGGTACTTTGGAGTCCACGGTGGGGCTCGCCTTCGAAATAAACCCCAAAGGATGTATGCATTTCGCCGAATAAAAAGGGAGAATAAGGAAAACATCGAAGCGGGAAAACAAGTAAATAATGCGTAAGGGAACTTGATACCGAGCAAAAAGTCTTGGAGGGGAAGTCCAGTAAGGAGGGAGTAAATATTCAGATACGCAAAGGTCCAACAACACCTAGGCTACACTTCAAACAAAACAGAAAAGATATAAACAGAACATAATCGCTAGCCAATAATTTCACACGCCGCCTGGCTCAAATTGCAAGACCATAGTGGGGGTTATTGACTGGTTTGTAATTTTCAGGAGAGCCGCTGCGGCCAGTTCGCTGACTATCGCGACTCAAACTTCGGTCCAACTTGGGTTCAGCATAGTACGTATCAACCAAACGGTCGGTGCTCCCAGTAGGATTGTGCCCTGCCCTGGCTAGAGGCTGATCCCGGTAAGGCTCGTACGGACTGGGATAGTTGAATTTGCCTAGTTCTCGCTGATCCTTCACATCAGGACGATGGTCTATGAGGAGCGAATCCCGCGCATCCAAAGGCGTTAAGTCGTCCATATCATGGTTCAATTTTTCTATTAGGGGGAAATGTTAGCCGTACTGCAAAGCAAGCTCGGTATGGAATCCTTCAACTTACTGGCTTCTCTCCTCCGCCTTACGTGAGGATTTTCCCTAATGAATGCAATGAGAGCATTCACAACCATGAGAATAACCAGGATACCTGTAAGCGCGGACTGGATGGCCATAACAACAACTCCAGTCACAGTTTTGGTAGTCTGATTAAAGCCCAGTTCCTCCACGAAAACCAGGGCACAAGCGATGGATATAACACGGACTACCTGGATCGTGATGTTAATCCACTGAGTCGACTTGGCAACATACGGTCGTTTCCACAACAGGAGAATTAGCAGCAGCGCCTCGAGAATGAGTTGACCGGCGCTTTGAGCGAGTCCGTGACCGTTGCCAGCCGCAATAATGCAGCCTTTTGCAAAGGAATACACGATAATGGGTATAAAAACCCACCAATAATCTTTTTTATAACTTTCGTAGAAGAGGCTGTATTTGCGCCATGTCTCTTCGTCTTCATACAAACGAGACGCGTCACCCTCAGCTCGTTTATACCTGCGAGCCAACTGCCAAATACGGAATGAAAAAAACGCCAGAATAACGGTGAAAGCGACCAGTGTGACGGCCGCAAGAAGTTTGGCAGCCCACGAATCACCGTTAGTGAATTGATAGATGCAATATAACACCCAAATGCCGTACAGAATTAAAATCAAGTTGGTTATAGTTCGAGCCATTAGGCCCCAGTAGTCTTTGCGGAAATTCGAGAGTTTCCGTGGAAAAGTTCCATGCAGAGCCCACAACTCCAAGATGACCTTGAAGAGCAAAATGCCCACGACGATTGCGGCGACCACAATGGCGAATATTAAAAGAACTGTCATGAAGGTGTTCGAATGAGGAATGGTCAGTTGCTCCGAGACTGCTTTGATACCAGAAACGGTAAAGATATTATGGGAACCGTCGCTGCTACTGGTGGAGTTGTCGCTAGTTGAATTCAAGTCGGTCGAAGTGGAAAAATCCCGAGGTAGCAGTTCATAGGCCCCAGTGATGAAATCAAATGCCCGTTTCGATTTTGAAGAAGATCCACTCGAAAATATCAACGTGGAATTCTGGAGGTATTCATAGTTATCGCCAGTAAGGTTTCCGCCTGTATGCTGTCTGAAGCTGTCGATAGACCGCTGCATTTCGGCCCATGGGATCAGACCGGTGCTAAAAGCAAAATTCCTCGTAAAGCTACGGTATATCGGGGGGTAATTGACGCTGAGCATTCCATTTGTCGCCATTGAATGGAACCATCCCATCATAACACCGAAACCGGGACCTTTCGAGGCCGCTGCGGCGTTGCCAGCACCGACAGCGCCAATAGCCGAAACTCCAGACATGACAAGAGCAGCGCCTGCCACACCAGCAGCCGCATAAGATACAGCGGGTACATGGGCAGTTTTGCCGTTGTTAAAGTTGCACGTAATGCAAGCAGCATCATAGCCATCGTTCTGGGATTTCAGCTCCAGTTTCACCTCTCCATCCAGGTCGGGGACTGAAAAGGTAATCGAGGGTATCTTGCTAGCATATTCAGAGGGTACCTGCTGTGATCCACTGGCCTGGAAAGTGCCAGTGGGAACTATTTTGCGAGAAATTGTCAGAAGAGAGAATTATCGAACTAGGGACGGGCGCGCTTACCGGGACAAAGCTGCTCAATATAATGGTCAGGGCTACAAGGATCGAAATCAGTTGTGTAAACTTGATGACCATAAGCATAAACTGTCACCAGCCCAGTAACATTCTGTGCTTTTGAGTTTGTTCCTTGAACATCGAAGTTGACAACGCCTGTGGAGCGATCAAACGTGGCGTCTAATCTTTGGAATTGTATATCGGAGTTGGCAAGACAGGATGAATAGCCATCAGTGGAAAGGACGTCGGCAGAGAGAACGCGAGTGGGCAAAAGGCCCAGAAGGACAATGGCAGCCCGAGCAAAGAAACCTCGCATATCGACGAAGACCTGCTTCGAAGATGTAGAGATAAAGATCGGGAACAATCAGGGGTTCGGTCTGAGCAAGGGAGAGTGACCGTGACGGTTATAATATAGCAGCATAAAAGAAAGCGCGCTGCAATCAGGATAATGGCTATTTAAAAAAAGCGAGTATCTTCGAGGGAAATATATTCGACCGGACGATATGGTATCGAGAAGATGACGACGACAGGATCAACCTGGTCAGAACGGAAGAGGAATCAAGCAATAAGAAAATGCCAGTAAATGAGAGACATATACATAGAGCTGAAATGCAAAAAAAGAATGAAAATACAGCTGAAAGTATAGGGGTGTAAGGGAGGCAGTCAGTGGGAGACAGGACGACGGCTGCATAGAAAATGCCAAAGGAGAGAAGATGAGCAGTGAAAATGTTCTGCATGCAAGGAAGCGAGAAGTAATCGGCAAGGAGAAGACCAGCCAATATTGGCCATAGTTGGGTAGATATTATTATTATTTGGTATGTTCTGGCTGATGACCATGCAGGGGTGTCGTCGAAACCCCCAGGACATAAGAAAACTACTGAATCTCTCTTCCTCCCAAAGTTTCCACCAGTGGTCTGCAGTTTATTTTTGTCGACATGTACCCAATTTGTTTCAAGGGAAATGCGAGCCGATGCTTGAGATGGGAGCAGCCCCTGATTGATCTCATCCCACGGCAAGACTTGACTCCTGGGCAGAAAAGGAGCCACTAACAGCCATCTAGTGGAGGTGGTGTCGCAGGCTAGCCAGGCCGATCTCTTAACTGTCGGAAATCCATGCGGACCAGCAGTTAGATCGAGACAATGTCGTTCTTCGTTCGCAAGCAATGGCAATGCCAGTGAGAATTGAAATGGCGGACGATTGATGTCGATCTGCTCTTCCAGTGATCCTGGAGTCTGGAGTCTAGCGGTGTTTACGCAGCTGTGTCCACAAGCCCTACCAGTACCACGGTCTGGCTATCTTCTGGTTTCAGGCTACGACCGCTGTGCGCCACCGGAGTACCGTTTGTTTGTATCGCAGAATTTAGCACGATGGGTCGGTATCATAGTATCATATATTACCTTCCAACGAATGGGCTGGTTCCTGCAAGCCCGGGCGCCACAGCTGAGCTGGATACCTGCCGCTGTGGCGAGTCCAACAGAAGCCAGGAATCGAGTGTCGGGAATCGAGATATTTTATGAAGATCCTGGATGCGCTCCTCTACGTGTATGCATACGCGTCCGTCCAGAGAACGGTAATAATTCCTTCATATAGCCCTGTCACCATGGCTTCTACTTTCTGCATGAGATTGGACTGTACATCTGCCTTTCCATCCAGGAGCTTCGAGATTTTGTAGATTCATACCGTAAGATGCTGTCCGAAAGAGAACCCAGCATCGTCGTTCACTGCTAAGTACAAATGTTCATTAGGGAAAGTATACATCCACATACAGTAATAGTCACTTCATTTCTGCGCTGTCTTCTCCTGCCTCTCACGCATCGCAGCTCTAGCACTCCGACTACCTCCAAGTTTTGGACCGCGAGGAACATCTGACTTTGTTGTCTTGGTGTTGCGCGGCCGCGCAAAGCGACGCCGAGACTGGATTGCATCCATGAATTCTCTCCGGAACTGTTCTGCGATTCGGTCATCGGCAGCCTGGTCATCCTGCTGTTCCTCTTGTGCTTCGTCGTATACATCCACTATATCAAAAGGTGTTAGTAACGGAAAGTCGACTACAGAGAAGGGACAGGGAAGTGTACATTTGCTTTCTCGTAAGACTTCTTCCACGAGCCTATCTCGTTCAATATCCTCGCTGTTTCGTGCTTTTCGATTGCGCCAGGTCTTCCCGTCTTGCCCTGAACGGGTGTTCTGAGTGTCTTCCGCAACAAAGGTCTCATCACCCGCAAGTCTCCTCGTCGCAGCTTCAGTCCTCGCAATATTCTGCAGTTTAGTCTCCTGTCCAAGGTCTATTTCGTGCAACTTGCCCAGAGTCGCTGGTTCCCGCTGCACAAAGGTTGGGGTAGATGCTCCGCCAGTGGCTTCACTCGCAGGATGTGCATCTGCACCAGGTACATCCAAAGGAAGATCCCTCTGGGAACGCCTAGCCAGCTCGGATTCTATATAGTCCATCCTTATCTTGTTAGTCTGTCTCCATTACTGTATGGACGACTGTAAATCCAATGAGGGGACAGTACATATGTTTATCTACGTCCACTTTCTGCCCTGTGTGAACGGTAAATCGGTCACACATGGCTCGTATCTTTAAATCTTCGCCATCGTTTGTTGTTGCCTCAGCGGTAGGCTGTGCATAACTGGCAGCAGATCGTGAGCTAGTGGAGAACTCGACACCGACTCTTCGAGATTTATATGATCGCCTGAGGCGGGTAACAGATGTGGTCGGTTCGGTCACAGCGTCTGTTTCCCGTGATGAGCGAGAAACGGAACGGTGGCGGTTGTTGTCATCCTCTCTGCTGGTCTGAACATCGTCCTGAGCGTCTTCAGGTTCGTCAACCCGCCGTCGCAGAAACTTTCTCCTCTTAACAGGTCGGAAGAGAGTCTCGGGGGTTGGGCTTATATCCGCTTCCATGTTAGGTATCGCGATCTGGAGAAAGGGAAAGTTGATGGTGGGGAGAGAGGGTTGAATGGTTTGCGCGGAGATGTGGCTGAAGAAGCTATCCATAGATATTAGACTGTCCATCGGCTTCACCCGCGCCAATCTCTACTGTCGCAAAAAGACCAAACCTCCCATCCGTCTCTGTCTACATTCCACCGTGCTTCTCTCTTTCATTGAGTGTGTGATATAGCTTTAATAATCTCTTTTGTTTCCCAACTTTGTATTGTCCCAGACAGGCCCATATCGTTCATTGTCGATATGAACCCTTCAGTACCACCATCGACTGCCGAATACGGCGGAGGTATGTCAACATGCAGATGGCTTCTTTATACTGGCGATAATCAGTCGCGAATTCTGATAATACTTTTCTAATATGCTAATCCCACTCCGCGTCTAGATGAGGTATCGGCCATTGTCCTTGACCCGGGATTCTCAACAACGCGTGCTGGCTTCGCAGGAGAAGACACCCCCAAGTCGCTCATCCCAACTTATTATGGCAAATATTCCTCAGACGGCCAAGAAAAATTTGTCTTTGGTGACAACATCTTTGTCACTCCGCGTCCAGGACTATCGGTCCATAACCCAATTGGCAAGGATGGTGTGGTGGAAGACTGGGATATGGCAGAGAAACTTTGGGAATATTCATTCACGTCGCGACTGATTGGGCCAAAACCGGACAACCCACTCAAGAACAGATTGAATGATGTTCTCAATGGCGAGTTACCGACGGAGATGGAAGGGGTGGAAACGGATGAGAAGCCTCTCTCAGACACGCCGCTCTTGGTGACGGAGTGCGGATGGAATCCTACGAAGGCGCGAGAGAAGACCATTGAAATCGCGATGGAAAAGTGGGATACGCCAGCGTTCTATTCAGGCAGGAATGGCGTCCTTGCAGCGTAAGTTTCCCTTATGCTTTGATTGATTCGCATCGCCATACACGTCACTAACTATGGCCGCTAACGCCAGTTTCGCTGCTGGCAAAGCTTCTGCACTGGTGGTTGATGTCGGAGCCTCCAATATCTCTGTCACCCCAGTCCACGACGGGATGATATTGAAACGGGGTGTTCAGCGTTCTCCCCTCGGTGGCGACTACATTTCCTCACAGATCCGTGCCCTCTTCAAAGCGAACTCACCACAACCGATTACTATTACGCCTCATTACCTTATATCTTCAAAGACCGCGGTCGATGCCGGGCAGCCTGCCCAGGTAACCTACAAGACATTCTCTCCAGATAAGGCACCAGACGCATCATACCGCACATTGCTTGAAGACCGTACCCTTACCGAGTTTAAGGAATGTGTCGTCCAGGTTTGGCCAGGACCAAACAGACTCCTCGCCACGGGACCCAATGGCATTTCAAACGAAGAAGTAGCGAAGACAACACCTGCCCGGCCTTTCGAGTTCCCCGACGGCTACAACCAAGTATTCGGTGTCGACCGCTATAGAGTAGTTGAATCGCTATTCGATGCAAAAGCCGCAATTCTGGACCCCGAATCGCCTTATCCAGCACCGACTCAGGCGCAGACCATCCTAGAGCTCATCAAGAGCTCTTTGAATGGCGTTGATGTCGATATTCGGCCTCACCTACTTGCAAACGTCGTCGTGACTGGCGCGTCAAGCTTGCTCTATGGTTTCACGGACCGTCTGAACCAGGAGCTCATGCAAAGCTTCCCCGGCCCCAGAGTTAGAATCTCAGCCGCTGGAAATACAGCGGAACGGCGATTCGGTTCCTGGATCGGAGGAAGCATTCTTGCTAGCTTGGGAACGTTCCACCAGCTGTGGATCTCGAAGAAGGAGTACGAGGAGCACGGGCCGAATATCATCGAGAAGCGCTGCAAATAATCAAATCAAAATAGACGTTTTGAAGGGGATACGTTGCTGGTATCCCCAAGCCACTCGCTCTATGTACCTACCTCGCTCTGAGTCTTTTTTTTTTTTTTTTTTTTTTTTCATCTCTTGTTGAATTTCCTTATAGCCTGTCGCAAACAGGGTCAAAATTTTATCTTATGATCTCATACTTATTACGATGTTTATCCTTTCTTTCTTGACCCTTCTTCTTCTTTTCCCCTTTTCTGCAGCACATGCATTAATAGTGGCCGTAAAGGCCAAGGGGCAAGAATTTTCCTGTTGGAATGGACTTTAAAGTGGTGTTCTTTTTTATCAAATAAATAGATCAATGATTGGGGTAAGCAGCTACACGAGTAATACTATCAGCAGGGCGCTTCTAAAAACTGCAAGTTAGTTTAGACAAGCCAATATTGTAGAGCCCGAAGCAAAAGGGTCTTGCACTAAGTATATACATTATATAGGTATCTTCACGTATGAGGCTCTTTTAACAGAGATAGTTAAAGGTATAAAACAAAAACTGAACAGGGAGTCAACAGAACAGAGGGGACGGGGTATTTTGCAGAAGCATCAGCATTGTATAGGGTCTTCTGCCTGCGATCTCCGTTGCTGACGTCGAATGTTCACTAAAAGCTTATAACAGACTAATGATGACCTGTAAGTCACTGGGAATTAATTAGAAACCTGGGGTTTCTTCAGTGAACTGAAAGGCCATGTATGCATGGTACTCCATTGAATGTACAATGTTTAATTCATGAAGGGCTAATGCCACTTCAAGAATATCAACAACTGGAAATTGCCTGAATGTCCGCAAGGTATCCCATCCCAGATGGCTGCTATCCAAGGGATTTCAACATTTTGTGACTATATTATTGTTTCCAGAAGCGCTTCAATATGGTCCTCGTGCAGAATAGATCTGAATTCTGATCAAGCCAGCTCTGCAATCATCGGTATGGCTTCCCTCCCGTTGCTTTCGCTTCTTTGGTCTTCAATATCACCTGTGAGGATTGATGGAACTGAGAACACAGGTAATCTCGGGGGTGAACTATCGTTGGGCTTCAACCAGTAAGTATGCAGTACGTCCGATTTTCCCGGCATCCAATTCATTTGCTTTGCAGGGCTATCCTCAAGAACAGCAGGGTGATTCAACATGTCCGTCTCTGTTCCACTTAGTTCCGCAGGAAATGATTTTGTTCCATATACATCAGTCGGAGCATGAAGCGCATTTGAATCTTTTGTACGGAATATGCTCCGGGGCCAGTCCTTTTTCTTTGCCGAGGGGAAACGGCTACTTCGCCGGGCATTCTCATTAGAGGTCTCCCATGCATCGATAACGCCGTCTGATTTGAAGTAATATGACAGCTGATCTCTCAGTTTCTGTCTCCGAGCGGAGCCTTGGGTAGTATGTCCATTTTCTTGCGGAGCCATCGACTCCGGTCGCTGAGACTTTCGATTCATCTGGATGGATTTTAATCGATCTAATGAGATGCCTCGGGTTTTCACATCATGGGACGTCGAAACTGGTCGATTCTCCACTAGCTCCAGCTTCTCGCTCTCAGACCTCTTTGTACGGAATGTCCTTGAAAATCTTCCGCTTATACTCCTGCTGGACTTGGTGGTAGCGGGAAAGCCCGCGCTATCATTAGCAGCATCATTCAAAGACATTGATCGGTGGGCGTGTTGCTTTTCTCTTAAATGGATGTCACTCAACTCTCGGGCAATTCGAAGATCTGTGACGCTTTTACTCATCATGATTCGACCTTCAGCCTTCTGATGAACACTCCTTGTTGTTGGCATGTTTAGGAGGTCAGGATCGCTAGGAAGGGGTTTATCTGATACCGACACAGCAACGGATGTTCGTCTCTCAAAGAGTCGTCCTCTGTATGACTTGCTTCGGGGTCGCACGGTATGGTCCTGCATCAATGGCATCTACTCTGGTTAGAAAACCTTCCCTGCTGTAATGGTATCGATCAACGGCTACGAACCACGTCTTTCCTACTTGCCAGACCCACCCGTCGTTGCATCTCAGTGACCGTCATGCCAAGTTGGCTAAGAGCGGATGCCAGAGCAATTCCCCTTTTATCGAGCTTTGAGAATGCAGCATTCCAGCCCTCGACGTTCCCAACCATTGCCTCATAAATGGCATTCAAATCGACAGTTGCAGGAGTGCACTCTTGTGCTAATTGCCTGAGATAATGCCAAAATTCGCGCATTGCCTCCATCCCTTTGTTTATATCTTTGAGTGAATCGTTAACAGCAGCTCCAAAACGCTCAATGGCAAACTCGATTTTTTCGTTATAGTCAATTATTGACGCCCGAAAGTTGCGGTCCACAAGCATTTCGTCGAATACATCAAGGTTGTCGAGGGGTAGCCTGAGGTATCGAATTCTTATTCGGACATCAAGCTGTATGAGAGAGAAATCCTCCCTTACTCTTTCAAGGAAATCATCCAGTTCATCCACATGACCCTGTAGAATCTTCATGACCTTCGTGTCTGATATTGCCAGTCCTTTAGCCAGGAGATGCATGCCAAACGATATTTGAGAAATAAGTTTCCAAAGGGGGTGATATCTAAAGCAACTGCTGTCAGCCTCTGTTGAATGCGGGCACAGGCATGTGTTTTATCCTCTCCAATAGGCCGGTTGATTGCTTGCCTTTCACCTGCCATTTGGCACCATTTTCTGCCACATAGTCGTTCATATTTTGCCCTCTCGAGTAGGTTTCTCCGCCGTGTTTGAGCATCAATATCTACTGTTCGTTGCTTACTGGCTCCTGAGTTGGATTCAATTATTGATTCTTCAAATGGACCCTGCAATCGTGGAATTGGATGGACAGGAGCTCCCGGGAGCTGCCTGTTGTAGACCGATTCTCGGACACATCTCTCCCCTTCATTCGAGGTCCCGGTGGCTGCCATGTAGTGTTCGGTTTTGGTCACTGATGTTATATAAGTTCTGTTGCAGGCAAACTACCGCAACTATCCGACAAACCAGGTCTCTCGCTCACGCAGCCGTACTTTCATAGGCAATATGTAAGCAGTTGCATTCCCACAGACACGCGCAACCATCAAAGGTTATAAGTGGTGCATGATCCCCATAACAGGATATATATACCACGGAGAAAGGCACCGGTGCAGATTCGACAAGAGACAGCGAAAAGAGATGGCTAGGTCGAAAGTTCTGGTAGCCCTTCGGTTGAGGCTTTGACGGGCACCTGACCATAGAATGGACGTATAATGACGCAAAAGACGAGAAAGAAGAGAGACGGGTTTAAGAAGTCCTCGTGAAAGTGAAGAATAATAATTAAAATATTTTGAAGTAAAGTGTGGTAGGGTCAGCATTCAGGCATAGACCGGAAGCTTTCGAAGGGCCTAGTTGCGACAAAGCAAAAAAAGAAGTAAGATTGGGTTATTTTAGTAACAATTTATTGCAATTAACAGCGTGGTTTCATCAACATCGGGGTCCGTGCAGTCAGCATTCACGGGTGTTCGTTATGCTCCTTTTTACTTGTGGATGAAGCTCCTATTGGGCTTCGGCCTTCCGGGGTTTCAGAAGAAGGTTTTACAGGATAATTATTATAACCTGGCTCCGTACGGTTGATGCTAAAATCAATGATCAATATAAATGCAACGCTAAACCGCTGTTAGAAACGTCCATTAATCTGAATTAATCTCCTGATGCGTGGGCAGTGGGACTGAGATCAAACTCTCGGAACGGAGCATATGAATTATTATTACAGTATTGCAGGCAGTTAAGTCTTGAGAACTTTCGGGACTTTGGAAGCAATCGAATGCTTTTCAACCATTGAAGTCATAAGACTGAACTACCAGTGAGCAAGGCGATACTTGGAGCTTACACTTCACAGTAGGTAAAGACCGCCAATAAGTCCAGATTATCCAGTCCACCGAGACTCGATACTTTATTTTTAATCTGTTATCACTGTAATTAGAGCATTTCTAGACCTTCCGAGTATGATACCGTACCCCACATGCAAGGGGCTGATCCTTAACCCTAAGCCCTAAGTCTGTATATCGATGAGTGGTATGAACATGTCTACAATTCTACATTGCTAGGTATACTTGCTGAAGATAAAATAACTGCTGTCCTGATATATATACGAGAGACGTATTCGAGCACCCCAAACAGATAGGTAAAGCGGAGTAAGAAGCGTTAGAGCAATTACCTATTGTTTTTAGCGGGTTGTCAAGACGCGTACGCGACAGCGACGCGGTATATTGACGATCTCATATCCCCGTTAATAGCAATATATTATGCCCATACACAATAGTATGAAAACCGTCAAAGACTCCGGTTTTGATTATCTTCTTCCCATTTCTGTTCTTGCTCCCCGTCACAGCTTGCATACCTCCTACTCCAATATACTGCCAGTTAACGCGTTCGTCTTAATTGCTTCTCGCCATGGCCACGTCTACGAGCCTTAAACGAAACGCCAACCATCTGTCTGCTACAGCAGTCAATTCAAAAAAGTCCAAAACTAATTCGAGCATAACCTCTTTCTTTGGCGCCCCAAAGCCCAAAAATGGCGACTCAAATCGAGCAATGTCATCTTCGAGTTCCACCTTTAACAAAGAGAAATGGGTGGCATCGTTGACTCCGGAGCAAAAGGATCTACTTCAGCTAGAAATCGATACCTTGGATGAGAGCTGGCTGGCCCAGCTCAAGGACGAAGTCACGACGCCCGAATTTCTCGCACTGAAGCGCTTTCTTAAGCAAGAGAAAAAATCAGGAGTCAAGATATTCCCCCCTGAGAATGAGATCTATTCTTGGTCCGTGACCCCTACCTACTAAGTTATTCTGCGGAGTATGTGCGCATAATAAATGTCTGAGGTTATCTTGTTGACTTTCCCCAGGTCTCGACATACGCCCCTACACAAGGTGAAGGTTGTGATCGTTGGCCAAGATCCATACCACAATCACAACCAGGCCCACGGTCTTGCATTCTCTGTCCGACCACCCACTCCCGCTCCTCCTTCTCTCGTAAACATCTACAAGGGGATTAAGAACGATTATCCGTATTTCCAGGCGCCTCCAAACAAAGGCGGACTTCTAACACCATGGGCTGAACGTGGGGTTCTTTTGCTCAACACCTGCTTGACGGTTCGCGCGCATCAGGCCAATAGTCACTCAGGCAAGGGGTGGGAAAGATTTACCCAGAAAGCTATCGATATCGTGGCTAGAGTTCGAAGAAACGGCGTAGTCTTTCTTGCATGGGGTACGCCTGCGGGGAAACGTGTCTCGGGCATCAATAAGGAAAAGCACTGTGTTTTGCAGTCTGTTCATCCTAGCCCACTCAGTGCATCTAGGGGCTTTGTAAGTCGACGTTTGCCTTTCCGCCAATATGGGAAATATCCTATTTGCTACGTTTATTTTCGGTGCTTGCTGACAAAGCCTTATAGTTTACCTGCGGTCATTTCAAAAAATGCAATGACTGGCTCTCTGAACGATACGGGGCTGGAGAGATCATTGATTGGAGCTTGTCGCCAGCGAGCAAGAACGCCCTGCCGATTGAAAAGAATCCATCTTCATCGGACACTCCTACTGTTCAACGTAAGGAGCAGAAACTTGATGCAGCCAAAGCCGCTAAGACAGCTGTTGATGAATTTGAAGGTGATGATATCGATGTCCTGGAAGCCTTTGCTGCAACAGAAAAGGCTGAAGAGAAGGGGTCTAAAGTTGAAATTGAGACAAAATAAGCCAGGAATATGCAAATTAATGATATTGACAACCCCCGTCTTCCCTCCTCCGTGTTATAGCTTCGGATGGGAGAACCATGAACTACTTGTCTACATACGACACCCAGAATACGGAGTACATTATGACTCTATTCGAGAAGAATTGTGACCTAGATGCCATTGCAACTATACACTTCCTGTTCTATTAATTTCTTCCATTTGCGATGGGGTTCGACGACTGCGAGTGCTGCTTCGAAGCATTTTCGGAGGTCCGAAGAAAATATGCGCACGCTTTAGCCATCCATAAAATGCTTATTAACTATCTACAGCATCCGTCCTCGATGCCAAATGTCTGTAAACACGACGGTAATATGCTGTACGGTATATATTCAGACCCCAGTCAGAGGGAATTGCAAATTGTTATGACCCAAATACTGTGCTACGATGCCATTTATGTATCCCTTCAAAGAACTAAAAACATGCAAATTTACCATCATTAGAATAAGACAAGCCCATGTAGGCATAGGCAGAATACATGGTGATATATGAAAAGTCAATCTCATAAAGCAAATCCACAGGCTTACAGTTCATCATGATCCGCCTTCTCAGACTCTGTGGGGGCAGCACTCTCAGAAGTCGCCTTAGATGAGATAGATACGGTTAAAGTGGCATCTGCTTCCTCCTCAGCTTTCTCATCTCCGGCAGCAAAAGCATCGACCTTGTGCGTTCCCTGCTCTTTAACGAAATTGGCAAGATCCTCCACTGATCGAGGACCAGAATATTCGACAGGGGAATCCTTAGAGCCGGCGGGGAAAAGCTTGATGGTAGGGAAACCTTGGATCGAATCTGGCACATCGTTGGTCGTTGCGTCGATTTTGGCAACTGTCACTTTCGATGCCAAGGCTGGGACATCAGCGTACAGGCTGGCAAGTTCCTCGTATTTGGGGGCAAGACTAAATATGATGAACAAGTCAGATGGGGTGTTCTTCAATGCGCTTTTCAAGAGACATTAGGAGGCAAGAACTTACGCCTTGCAATGTCCACACCATGGTGCATAGAACTCAAGGAGGACATCCTTGTCATTGTCAATGACAAGTTCCTTGTAGGAATGAGCGACGACAACAGTCACTGGCCCCTCCTGCGTCTCGGGAATAGGTTCGGATTTGATGCTGGGTTCGACCTTGCCGTTGAGAACATCTTCAATAAACTGACCGACATCTTCGGCGTTAATTTCCTTGGACTGGTCGTATGGATACTTGGCATTCCTTGTCGTCTCTTGAATGGCGAAGGCAGGGAAGTTTTGCGGATCCAAGTTGAGATTTCCAGCATGAGGTCCGAAGATACTAGCATCGATCGTAGCAATGTTAATGGCTCCCCTATGCTTCTCTGCTATAGGCCTGAATTCCTCTGCGAGCTTCTCGCGTTCTTCCTTAGTCTCTGCGAATATGTATGCCAACGGGATACTAGCCTTTAAATCGAGAGTCAGATCCCCATTCACGGAAGAGATGTCCTAGAAAGAATTATTACATACAGTGATATACTCTGAGTAAGTTTCTGGGTCAATTTCGCCGACAAGAGGTGTGCTTGCTGTCTTCACCCAGCCTAGAATGGCATCTTTGTCAAGTTCACCATCATACACGGCTTTCTTTTCGTCAAAATCTTTGTAGAGTACAATAGAGGGCTGCGAGATATCTTCTGCCTTGGCGAGCGCTGGGTCGTTGGTTGCGGCGAAAAGATAGTTGTCTCTCTGGGACTCGGCGAAGGACGTAAAGGTTTCATTTGCCGCCTTATCGTCGGAGCTAATGTAACCAATGATGACAATCTTATCCATCGTCTTGAACTCTTCCAGATTCTCTGGGTTTACAGTAGACACGGCTGGGAGAGACTGCTTGACCATGTATGAAACGAGCCTGTAGGAAACACAAAGGTCAGCGCCTGATGCAGGATTCATATCCAAGCCAATTAACAAAGAAAAAATAAATAAAACAGTAATGATGACTTACGCCTCTGACTGTCGAGCTCCAAGATAAGGCTTGACTGAGTCGGGACCTCGGAAGATCTTGAGAGTTGGATAGCCTTCTATCCGGTAATCCCTACATAACTCTTCTTCCGCGGTGCAGTCCACTTTGACAAGTGGGATATTCTTAGACTTAAGCTCTGTGGCAGCTTCCTCATATTTTGGAGCCAGCGCCTTGCAATGACCGCACCATGGGGCAAAGAATTCGGCCAAGACCAAGTCATGTTCTTTCATGAAATCCTCAAACGTGTCTTTTGTGAGCGAGACAACATCAGACACTGTATCACCTTTTGCATCCGATGCGGAAGTTACAGTGCTAGCCGCAAGAAGGGTCAAGGCGAAGGATACGAACTGGCGCATGGTTAGAATACGTCAGAGAATATGCAATCGAAAAGTGTGAGAAGGTTCTCCGAAGGGCCAATTAGGACCCCAGGGCCGACAAAGAGGCTTGGCGAAAGAAATGAATGGGCTGTTCACAATGATGGAGTTTGCAAAAGATAGTCACTAAACATCTGAGGCGAGAAAAAGATTCTGTACAGCATCGAGGATGTACGGGTGTTAATAATGTCGGCGGAGATGGATAAGGACAGCTTGTTCTTTCTTGCGATGCGCTACATCCCCTGATTGGCAGAAGCGGCCCGCCTCGGTCTACAGGATACTTCGCTGCTCCGTACCAGGTACATAGGGATTAGATACAGCCTCGTACTCCCGGTAGGTACCTAGGACCGGCTGCGAGGTATCCAAGTAGTATCTACAGGCTGCTCAGAAGACATGCTGATAGACATTATTTATATTGTATTGCATACTAAATGCAGACAGTATGGATGGATGTAACCTGGCGGAAGAGATATGACAAGATTAAAAATTACTGTTTAGTCCTAAAATTGTGACTGCATGCAATCCTTAATCTTATTCATCCGCCTCCTCATCTATGAGCTGGATATGGGGAACCGTCCCGTATCCACTTGGGTACGCATCTCGCTTGCCTTCCAGCTCGGTAGCCAGGGCAAAAGCATCCTGCTTTCCCCGTTCAACATTGACCAGAAGCATCAGCGGTAGGGGAAGGAATATAAGAAATGCAAGAAACAAGAATGCAGGCCGGATTTCTCCATAGCGGTCGGTAATGGCGCCTACTATCGCAGGTCCAAAAATGCTGGAACCCTTGTCGGTGATAGCATATAACGAATAGAAAGCGGCCTCGTAACCAGGTGGTATAAGTTCCCCGAAGAAACTGCGACAATAAGACGATAATCCTCCCATGACGAGCCCGTACACCGCGCCCAACGGGAACATTTCCCATGGCTTCTGAAGTCCAAGAAATCCTAATTTCTTAATAGCCGGAACAAATCCCAGGAGACCGTACAGCGGTATGAGCTCAAATAAAAGAATGCATGCGATGATGGTTTGAGATGCCTGGAGATTAAACAAACGTGATATATAACTCCAGGAGAATGCCCCGCAAACTCCTGCTGTCATCGCCACCACATTTATCGCTCCAAGAGCAGCGGGCTTCATGTCGAGTTGTGTCTTTGCAAAAAGCACAGCCGTCCCACTGACGGTCGCGATGCCATCGCTGAGCAGGAACCACGCAGCGAGGAACAACAAGATGTCCTTGAGATGCCGAGCTCGCATTGCTGTCTTACCAAGAGACGTCCACGCATAAATCATATAACCAATCCATGAGCGATACTGCTTTCCGTCCTTAGAAAGTGGTAGCGGTGGACCGGGACGTGGGCGCAGCCAAAGGACTGCAGGTATAGTAAAAGTAAACCACCACAGTCCAATCAAGAAAAGTACGAGACGAAGTGAAAATGTTGTCTGATGTGTAGCAATGACAACTAGTATGGAAACAATCTGCAGTATCACAGCACCGATATATCCTATACCAATCCCGTAAGAGGATATCTGTGTTGAAAGTTTCAATTCTTTCGATATTTTGGGAAGAGCAGTATTCTTTTGATTCATCGCCGAATTCGCACCATGAGCTTGATAAGATTGAAGTAGCGGTGAAGTAGCATCGGCTGTATCTTGATACATATCGGCGGTAGCAGACGCAGGGTGTTCTTCATCGACGTCCGATGGGGTGCCCTCGTCGCTCGTATTCAGTAACGAAGGGTGATAACGGACCAGTAGTGGTAAGAATGAATTCAAAAGCACAAATGAAGCTCCAAAGCAGGTGTTCGCAATGATCGCAAATAGTCCGCCTAGGAGGTAGACCTTAGGTATCACTGAAAGAAACAGCATCGTTGAGCATGAGCCGAGGAAAGCGAAAGTTACCAAGAAAAGTTTACGATAGCTTCCATGATCCGCAGCACCTGACATCGATATGATCAAAATCGACTGAACCAGGACACTTGTCGAGAATGTGTACATGGCGAAGCTAGCAGTATTCATTTCAGCCCCAAGGATGTAGATGACGCATTGGCCTGATTTCGGTGAATGAGGTCCACCAGAACCAGTAGCACCATAAGAGAAATTCCAATTCCCGCCAAGTACTGATGTCTGCGATGGATCATTCCAGGTTGCCTTGCACGGCGTTGTTCTGTCGGAGAGGAGAACGCCTCTGTCTCGAGCCATTTGCTCTAATGCTATTGGGAGAAATGAGCCTAGATAGGCCAAATAACATCAGCCACAAGCTCTTTGACCTAGTAAAGGGCGTATCTTCCAAGAGGGATATATACCTATGCCACACACGGCAAAGACCTCTGCTGCCCAGCCGTAGGAGTACCACCCAGCAAGCTCCTCCTTGCTGGTGGGTCGAGTATCATCACCAGGATACTTTGGGAGCACACGGTTAGCCTCTGTGATGCCATTATCCCGCATGTTGATGCTGGCCTGAGTTATAGTAGGATTTTCATAACGAGTGGATGAAGGAAATGTTAGAACAGATCAACCCGAGTAGTCTGTAGTGAAGCTGTAATCATACGTCAGCGGTCAGACCACCCAAGGCAGATACCAAGGCACCAAGGCATTAAGGCATCAATAGATCTCGGCATCTCCGATCATCGTCTTCTAGAATTCAATGTTATTACTCTCTTCATACATATCAATATCTTACAACATCTCCTGTTAGCACTGCAGCCAGTAGCAGTGAACAATACTCTCTCTATAATCTGTGCTTATTGCTGGAGCTAATCACTTTCTTCATTCTCTGCATCCCTTTGACACCTGCAGTGCAATCCCACCTCATCTGCTTGGCCTTCGCATCAACGTATTCCACTTCACGCCGGCAATATTCGCGCTGAAATATCTCTCAAAGTTCTCCTTTGCACACTGAACCAATCGATATTTACCCACAAGTCCTAGGCATACTGCAACAGACCATCTCAAACGTGCGCGACCTTCACAGCTCTGCCTACCTTCGAACATTCGTCTCCGAATCTCATACGTGTGACCTTGGCAGTTGGTCCTGGCTTCTAGGGTCCGGGCTAGTTATTAGCACACATGGCATTTCATTGATATCTTTCTTTAGTGTAGCGCCTTTTTGAATTCATTATTGTATCCGGCGCCGGCATACTCGATCACCGAGCGCTTCTGCCAACAGGTCGCTCAAATTGCTCCGCGCAGAGGCACAGAAAGTAGGGACCTAAATGATTAACGGGCTGCCGCGCCAGTTTGCTGCTGGACATGCCGGGAGTCATGGACAATGTCAGCGTCGATGGCTCTAGGCAGGGATTAGTCCCTCATGACCATGAAGACAATTTGTCAGCGCCAATTCCGGGGGCTGAAAAACCAAGAGGTTCTTCTGACTCAAAAATTGGCACCCTATATGTCAATGGAGGTCTAAAAGATGTTGATCGATCCAACCGGAACTCCCAGGTTGCCCGGTCCATACCGGTCGAACCGTTTCAGTTAACACATATAACGCATGGCTTCTTCCCATTTGCGAAACTGGTAAATAGGTCTGTACAGCAATGTTGGAACGACTTGTCAGACCTTATTACCGAGCTCGTGGGAATCCAGATTTCCTCTCAAGATCAGAACTCTCCGTCACTCCTCGCCACTGGTAAGGTACCGGGTAACCAGAGTGCGGAAAATGTCCAAAAGAAACTCCGGATTTTGGATTTTGCTCATGCAAAACGAGCTGAATTCATAAAGCTTCTGGTTCTATCACAATGGAGCCGGAAAGCGGCAGATGTCAGCAAACTTATCGATCTCCAAGGCTTCATACGCACACGGCACCAGGCCTACAGTGGCGCCATCCAATTGGTAGGTGACATGAAAAGAGATCTAGTCAGAGCTCAGGTAGCAACTCCGGATCTGAAAACGGCGTTGGAGGTCCTATCTAAAGGGAAGGTTGAAGCTATGCCAGATGTGAGTTCTAGTGATATACCCCATGATGCTGTTTTCATTACCAACCCTTGGCTTTAGCTTGGTTATAGACCCCCGAAACCGCTTACGCCGAGGAATGCTCTCAAAAAACTCCGCAAGATAAATAGAATCATCGGCGTAAGGTTAGCGCTGCACGACACGTTCCCTATTCCCTTTCGAACTTACCATGTCCACGACGGTCGAGTTACCTTCATCGTTCCTGAAGAGTTTGAAGTCGATCTTTCCATTGCAGAGGAAAGCAAAACTTCACAATTCTTCTTCGTCGACATCAGATTTCTTTTTACCCCATCCTCGCCTGTCCCTAAAGGCCGGTTTTTTAATGAGCTCGATATCAAAGTCAACAACACCCTGCGCGATAGCGGCCTGTGGGGATGCTTTGATTTGTTACACAGTCTGGTGCTCACTAATAAAATAAATATTCTCTTTAAGCAAGCTACAGACCTAGCAAGGGGCCTTTGGTCCGATGCCTTGCATGTTGAGTTGTTACATCGGACACTGGTTATACAGTATTGGACATCGAGGCCTGGGCCTAAGAGCTGGTTTGAAATTGGCATTAAAAGTGGTCATAAAAAGGCCAGCTATGGTCAAGATAGACTTGGCCAAGTGCCATTTTTGGGCTTACGTTGGATTCGAGGTGGCCAGGAAGTTGACAGTAGTGACATCGTGTTTGATACAGGAACTCTCTCAGTGGAAAACATTCTGCGGAGCGTTATCGCCATACACATCTCTCACATACTGTCATCGGCATATGCCAAGCTAAACGAAATGCGTCTCTTCTCAACCCGTGTCCTGTCTTTACGAGCGGAATTATCGGGAATCGAGCCAGGAGACTGTCACCTTGATGTCCAACTCACTGCATCTCGGCAACTTCGAGTCTCAATCGAGCCAATGTCAGGAGCAAGTGTCTTGTCATCCACGCCTACTGTATTGGACCGTCCCGAAACCGAACGTAATCCCGAAAGGTCGCTCGCTGATGATGTGGTAACCCGTATTTCACGGGTCCGTTGCATCGCTGCAATGGAGGAAATTGAATCAAATGCCAAGATGCTCGGCTTGGAGCCAGTGAACCCGAGAGAGTTCAAACTCGACATTCGAAAGATATTCCCTTCCAATGTCTTGCGGTTTTCTTTCTTCTCGCACCGGCTCTGGGAACGCAATTGGATCGCGGCTGCGACCAGCAGTATGGACAGTGATAATTTGTGGGCGGTCCAACTTCGACCGTTGGTGACCACGGTCAACGATTTAGCATTGGGTGCTGGTGCCCGGGAATCTACAGTCCTTCAATGGGCTCAAATCATTAGCAATACTTTCCTAACGCCACAACAGCAATTGAACTACGCATCGTGTGCGGATCTAGGGCATTGTCTTTCAGGTATCCTTGCAATTTACGCCAATGCTCGTTATTTGGGGGAATTACAGCGCATCAATTTTTACCCTCCTCTGCAAAAATTGCAGCTGGACTCGGATCTTCAGGTACCAAGTATCTTCCTTCGTTATGAAGTGGGAAAGCTTCCATCGAGCCTTCGGATAGCGCTACCCATGGGGTTGAAAAGAAAGACTTTTGTGAAGGAGACTATTCGTCTCGCTTTCCTTGGTGTCGATCCTAACAGCAAACTTGCCATTCTGGTGGCCTATGGCCATCTGCTGGTTTCGGGGAAGTCCTTAACATCTCTAAATTCGAAGTTAGACCATTCCTTGGTTTTCCAGCCGACTGGCAGTGGTTTTGCGATTCGGATGCTTGCGCCAGCAGGTCGTTCCATCATCGTCAACCTCCTTGAACGCCTTCAAAGACTTGAATGTGTACTGTCCATTCTCGAGATTCTCCAGCGCAAGAGAATAGCACCTCTGAGTTTGTCACTGTCGAAGATTGCTTTTGCCTACGGATCTGAAAGGGATCTCTCTGCCAGCATTAGCATCAAGGTTCTAGGGCCATCGTCTTCAAAAAACATCGACGCTGTCGATCTCGTCTCGAAACCCCACTCTCTCTTCCATTTGCATTTAGATATCAATTTTGATAATCCGAACCCACATCGGCGTATTCAGGAGTCACTTACTTCCATCCTAAATAACGACTACTCAGATGCTAGCCTTGAATCAGTCCTTGATTTATTATCTGTCACGCTTCCTCTGTTGCAAGTTTTCGATCGGATAACCACGAATACGTCTCTAGAGGAACCGTTAAAGGTGCAAGTAACCGTACGAAATGCCAAGACATTTCGAATCAGCTATCCTGGGACAAAATGCCAAATGCAATTGACGTTGGGCCGGCATCTTAACCGCGCGAACTGGACACTCAAGGACGTGAGTGACCCTCAGGATCGGTTAAGCCACAGCCACATTACAGCAAAACTGCGAGAGATGCTATACAATTCCAAGGGCGATGGTTGGAGGGGTCTGGGCAACGGCGCTGTGGCAGAAGTTGACGGTGTCTGCAATCTCGTATCGGAACTTCATAAATGCCTTACTGATACCCAGAGTAATCCGGATACGGCAGCGCCTGACAATCAACCCAATTCAGCGAGCAAAGTTCAACCAGCGGAAGCCGGCCGCACTGGACATGGAGGGAGAGTGGAAGTGACTACGGTACAGCAGAGTCCCAGGGGTTCAAAAAGCACCAATATCATTACTATTGACTAGAGTTGTAAGAAAATGAATATGGTGATTTCGCCTGAATCTTCCCTGTCATATCAACGCCGGTTTCCGTCCAGTCTCAGCCGTTTACCATTTTTCATGTTTCTTTGCCGTACTTGACCGCATCGTTCGTGCCGGATCTATACTACTACCACTACTACTACTACTGCGTCATGGTCTTCCTTTTGTCACATTCCCAGTGTCTACGGGATGAGTTGCCCAATGGGATATGACCTTTTCGTAATGGCTATTCTGGGGTTGTGATACCATAACGAACAAGTCAACTTCGGAGTTGGTGTTAATTTGGGAATTTAAGTAATAGAAAGTAAAGTCTATGTACTACATCGCTTTTCTTTGGTTTTTTGTATGGAATTCCCAGCCTTGATCCCAATTTTATTTCTAACCCAACTTTGGCCTGTTGCATTAATTTTCAAAATAACAAGCACCAATACTTTATATCTCCTCACTAGCCTAGGACGAAGATGGCTTGCTTTTGCATCAGAAATTTGGAAGACGCCTTTTAATTTCAAATTAGCTATGCCATGTTCCTTTTCTAGAAGTCGTTATGTTTCCCTTAGGGTACTTAGGTTAACAGTTCCCATGGGGTGTGGATGAATATTGTGGTAGTCGGTTATTATGACTATGTACGCTAGCAATCTTTCCTAGAGATGCTATCTATCTATTGATGACCCATCAAGCCATGGGAGGAAGCCAAATATGGAAATAATGCTTGTAAGCATATATTATCACAAGATCTTCCCAGATTGTTTGATATCATTATATCAGTACAGGTGTCGTCACATATGCCGTTGCCTCATAGCATCATAAACAGCACATGAAGCAGCTAATAGTGCTCTTCCCTCACTCTTCCTCGGTTTTTTAAGACGTCGTACTCCACCCATTTCACGGTGGATAAGTCGCCCTCCGGAATCAACCTCCCAGGATTCATCACATGGCAGCCTTCATAGGTAATACAACAGGGTGGAGCTTCGGCGTCCGCGAGAACGAATGCAGTTGGTAGCGGGTATAGCTGCAATGCTGACGCATGGTCCCACAATACAGGCCGCACTGAGAGAGGGAAAGGAGACATTGTCCCCTGGTCTAACACCGTCTTGACCAACTTCCGGGCCATGAGCATATTAGGCGGAGTATCCAGTCCGGTGCTCCTTCGCTCGGCTAGAGGCTCAATTGGGTTCTCAGACGCTGTGGAACTCGCGTTAGCCAGGGAAGAGTTTGACGCATCGAGCATCTCAGTATCAAAATCGGATTCAGGTATTTCGGAACGCAAAATCACTGCGTTGCGTCTCAGTCTTCCTGAAATATCATCACGAAAGATAGCGATATCATGCAAGGGACCAAAGAAAGTGAGGCGTGATGGATTAGAAGACCAAATAGCTTCACCAACGGGTTCCGTTGAATGAGACCTTTCTGATCCTGAATTAGCTGTTGCAAAAGCACGTTTCACTCTTGATGTGAACAATTCAGGGATTCCCCGACGTGGAATTGTGGACGCAGCTCCTGCTGAAAAAGTTGACGCCCACGGATCCTTATCGCCTGGAACAAATATAAACGTGGAGTGTTGTAATATCGACGGAAAATCGGACAATGTCAGTGCGAGCGAGTCGAAGTACTCTTTGTACTCGACGCTGCCAGATCGACCACTTCCATTAATAACGGCCGTTTGGGCAAAATTGCCCATCATGACATAAACAACCGGACGTTCATCCAACGGCAAGCTGTTGTATAAGCCAAAGATCTTCCTTAATGCGTCAAAAGTTTTCATATCGTCGAGGCTGATCTCGCTCATAATCGCCACTTTCAGTCGTGCAGGAGTTCCGGTACCACCTTGCTTAGATTTCAGGCATTTAGCTTCAATTTTTCTCATGCGAGAACCTTGTGCACGTTCACTTCCAACTCCCAAAAAGTCAACCCAGCCGAAACCCCCGCTAGAACTGATATCTCCGGTGCTTTGCTGGCTGCCTGTCCCTAGTGAAACATCTCTTCGTTCACACGGCGGCCCACAGATGGAAGCCCCAATAAATCTACCTCCTATTGCACCGCCGACTCCGCTATTTCCGCCTATGGTTGAACCTGAAATGTTATCTCCTTCTTCGTATACTCCTTCAACAAGTACAATCATTCCGGGTGTGAACCATGCGCCATCCTCAGGTACGATCCGCGCATGATCCAAGTCGAGCGCAACACTTCCGGTCAAATCAGTAAGTGACAGATCTCCTGTCGGCGAGATGGAGAGCAACCCTAGAAGAAGATGTGATGTTCCACTTCGTCCAAGGAGGTTCGCTATTTGTGTTAATTTATAGCATTGCTGTGTAGCAAACGTAGATGCAGAACGCCGCAAAGAGGGTACACCGGATGTTCCAAAGGATGTTTGAAACGACTCATTCCGGAGCAACCGCTGGTGGACCAAGTTGTACCGATCTCTGAATAGATTGGTCTTGTGAAATGACGGAGGTAGCAAAGTAGGTTTCAATTTCGCGGTCTCGAAGTATTTCTTGCCCACGTTGTATGCCAGACGAGGGATATCGAAAGCCCCAATGGCCTTGATCCAACTCCTTGGGTGAAACGACAAATCCGGATCCTCCTCGTTATCTTCTGAGGACGGAGAAAGAGCCAGCTGCAAGCTGTTGCGACTCAATCCAACACTTGCATCGCCCACATTTCTATCCGAAGCAATATTCGTTCCTCTATCTGACGACTTCCCGGAAATTATCCTCCCGCCACTCATACTACCCTCCAAAGTATGCAGTATGTCCTTCAATGAAGCCCCTTTGCCTTCTTCAACAATAACACCACCCCCAGCTTTCTTCCAAGCTTTAGCCACTTCGTCCAGAACTCGCTCCGCAAGACCTTCTTCACGCCATCCAGTGCCACAGTTCTTACCCACGAATGTGGCTAGTGTTTGGAGGGCCGTTGAAGAGATTGTCAGATTGTGCTTTCTGGTAAAGGTGCGAAAGGCTACAGGCCGAAGAGTCGAAGGAGGAAGCAGGATAGGAAGTATGGACGCCTTTGTGACAAGTGGACTGTGCCTTCTCGGTTTAAACGGGCGCGCTGGGGTTCCAAATCCAGGAGATGACGAAGGTATTGAATCTGAAGCTGTTCTCTGCCTAGCATCTGGGGCCCTAGCTGTCGACGATGTCTCCTCCATGTCGCTTCCTTTTAATTTCCTAGGCCAGATGAAATTTCCACGACTTGAGCACAACTTGACGGATTAGAGATGAGATCCAGGGAAATATAGAGCAAAATGAAGAGGCCCGGGATGGCAATCGTCATGTCTGTTGTATCTATAACCAAAAAAAAGCACCCTGAAAGATAGGTCTTTGCGCCGGCCCATTTAGACGCGTCGTGCGGGCCGCGTCCGCGAACGCGCCCGTGATTCTCATTAGACCAAACACCTACAACGTACTTTTATGTGTAGCGACCCGTTCCTTGCCAAACTTGCACGCCTATATATTCTTCCCTCCACTGGATACTTACCTTGAATTCGCACCGGATATTTGATATAATCCTGCTTTTCACGTCTTTGACGTTTTTTAAGTACCACCATGACCGAAGCCGATAAAACGGAGACAAGGATAACTCCAGAAGACTCCCGAGCACGGCTGGCAGATCTGACTAAACGAGCTGCTGCGAAAGATGCTATCAAAGATTTTGAAGCAGCGGCAGAGCTGTATTCGCAAGCCACAGAACTTCAGGCTGAGTTAAACGGGGAACTCTCAGTTGACAATGCCGATCTACTTTTTGCTTACGGCAAATCTCTGTATAATGTCGCTGTGAGCAAAAGTGACGTTCTTGGTTCGAAGGTAGCCGGAGAACCACAGACTCTTTCGAATAGTACAGCTGGAGGAAACATAGCGTCTGCTGGGTCCTCCACTTTAGGCGATGATCTTATAAAAACTGCAGTTGCCAACGGATCGTCCGAAACTAGTGTCAGTGAGGGCAAGAAACTCCATGACGCAGCGAAAAACCAGCCATATTTTCAGTTTGCTGGTGACGAGAACTTCGACGATTCTGATTCCGAGGACGAGGGTGCGGAGCAGGTCGATGGAGATGAAGATGAAGATGACTTTGCCAATGCTTTCGAAGTGCTTGATATGGCACGTATCCTTTACACGAAAAAGCTAGGCGCCGCAGAGGAAAGCCAGGATAAGGGGAAAGCCACAGACTTACCCTCCGACATTCAGCATATGAAGGAGCGCCTCGCAGATACCTACGACTTACAGGCGGAGATTTCTCTAGAAGCAGAGAGATTTACCGATGCAGTAACTGATCTTAAAGTCGCTCTTGAAATGAAGCAGTCACTATATCCCATTGAAGACCCATCTGTTGCGGAATGTCATTACAAGCTCTCCCTTGCTCTGGAATTTGCTTCCGTCAACAAACAGAAAGACAATGATGATCATGAACAGGCGGACGGCGCGGATGAAGGTATGAGGAAAGAGGCTGTACATCACATGGAAACCGCCATTGAAAGCTGCAAAATAAGGATGACGCAAGAGCAAAAGAAGTTAGACTCCGACGATATCACCGATGAAGACAAAATTTTCGCTGCAAAGAGGAAGATAGCCAATGTGAAAGATATAATTGCAGATATGGAACAAAGGGTAAGCTGCTATCTACCAGGACTGTCATCACATTATCTATTTACTTACTTCGCTTTTGTAGCTTATCGATCTTCGCGGCCCGCCGGCATCAATAAAACAGCAAGATCAAGAGAATGGGTTCTTAAAAGGCATTATCGGCCAAATCTCAGGACAGTCCCCAGCCGAACAGAAGGCCCGACTAGATGCGGCGACCAAAGATGCAACCGATCTGTCTGCACTCGTTCGACGAAAACCCGCTGTCAAGCAGTCTTCTCTGCAACAACCTGCAACTAAACGGTCGGCGGAAGTGGCTCATGATGGCGATAGAAAACGTGCTCGAGGCGAAGATTCTGCTCCAAATATGTGATTTGAAATATGAAACAAACATCTCTCCTGGTCTATTGGGAGGCTACGCATGGTTTAGTTGGTTCAAGCGTCAACATTTTATTCCCCAATAGGAGTTGAGTATATTAGGACATTAGGAGATACCCAATATCGACGAGATTTACTTTCTTTGAGGCCTGCTTATAATGTGGTTGGTGTTTTAAGTAGGTGCTGTCGTAGATACACGACATACTACCAATATATATTGGTTGGTTACAGCTAGATAGGCGTCAGCGAGGGCGGACTTATGCGGCAGAATCACACGTGATCCAACATATGATGAGGATATACTGCCCCGGGGTCCGGAGTATATATGTTCCGGGAGGAAAGGTGCCTACATCCGAGTATCCCGAGTCCTGTATATAGAAGCAAGCAAGCGATTGAGCATTGAGCATTGAGCATGTCAATTAGAGCTTCACGATATACTAGAGACGGCAGTATATCGGTATAGAACATTCACTACGAATCCTACGGTATCCTTTTAGTATTTGATATCCAGACGCCGCACCCCTGATCCACATCAATATACATGCTCGCGTATGTGTCCTAACACTAATCAATAAATTCAGCACCAAAACACTTTATAACTTTCATCAATTATAAAGCGGGTATCTAAGGTTAAAAGGCTTCTTTAAGATTATACACACAAAATCCTTTATCTCTTGCTGAGACATGGTTGGAGAAGATTTACAAAGGATTTGAAATGGTATTGAATGAGACCATTCTTCTTGAGAAAGAAGTCCATGATTTATAGGCTGCACATGAGAAGCAGCTTTAAAAAAAAAGAAAGTAATATAAGCAGTAGATAGCTGCAGCAGAAAGTTTATCCGTCTAGGAAGGCCAGCAGCTTCTACAGCATGAGAATGAGGTCTGAGAAGCCCAAAATACTTAACCTACTGAACCAGCACCAGCTGCATTTGAGCAGCATATATGGGTACCACTATGGTGCAGTGATTACCATATTATTGGGCATAATAGATTGCAATGTCCTATTCACTGTACGAACTAGTTTTTTATAATATACATGCTTTTGGGTGTTGCAGCTCGCTTACCGATTACGCTAAATTGTAATAAGTTATGACTCAGCTCCTCAGTGGATCATGCCCTGGTGCGGGCGGTATGGAGCCTAATAACCCAAAATTTCCAAATTTCTATCAGCCTTCGTGGCGCATTTGCTGGATCGCTCACTACTTTCTGTTTTCAGATCGCTTGCAGTACACGCCTTATTTTTCTTAGAACCCAAAGACTGGAATTGACAGGATCATCTAGTTTCCACCATCATGCCCACTGTTCATCTCCTCGACTATGTCGCCGGAAATGTCCGCTCCTTGGTAAATGCAATCAATAAGGTTGGATATCAAGTGGAATGGATAAAATCACCAAATGATGTCAAGGAGGCAGAGGTGAGTTCCATGATTCATAGCATAGCATCAACCCGTACATTCGTTCGTGTGGTGGAACTGATCTTTTACTCTAGGTATTGATACTACCCGGAGTTGGTCATTTTGGTCATTGCCTCTCTAAACTCTCCGAGGGGGGTTATCTCGATCCAATAATGCAACATATAGAGTCGGGAAAGCCGTTCATGGGAATTTGCGTTGGCTTACAAGCGCTTTTCAGTGGCTCTGAGGAGGATCCGAATGTTCCTGGACTGGGCCTGATCCCCATACGGATGCGGAAATTTAATGACGATACGAAGAGTGTGCCGCACATAGGATGGAATTCCGCCACGATAACTTGCTCTGGTGAATCGGTGTACAAAAGCTTTTATGGATTAAAGCCAAATAGCAAGTATTATTATGTTCATTCCTTTGCGGCTCCATACACTCCAGATATTTTAGAAAAAGAAGGCTGGTCAGTCGCCACGGCGACCTACGGTGACGAGAAATTTATCGGGGCAATAACGCGGGGAAACATTTTTGCTACGCAATTCCACCCAGAAAAGAGTGGACAGGCTGGCCTGCGTGCCATTCGCGCCTTTCTGGATGGAGAACAGTTCAAATTGCTTCCACAGCCTTCACATCCGACAGAAAAAGGGGACGGATTGACTTGCAGAGTCATCGCATGTCTTGACGTTCGGACAAATGATGATGGCGATCTTGTTGTCACGAAAGGTGATCAATATGATGTCCGGGAGAAAAGTGGAGTGAAGGCTGGGGGTCAAGTAAGGAATCTAGGAAAGCCAGTTGACATGGCCAAAAAATATTACGAGCAGGGTGCCGATGAAGTTACGTTTTTGAACATCACTTCCTTTAGAAATTGTCCGCTTGCGGATACTCCTATGCTTGAAATTTTGAGAAGGACATCTGAAACGGTCTTTGTACCTTTAACAATCGGAGGTGGTATCAAGGACACTGTCGATACAGACGGGACTAGGGTCTCGGCTCTTGAGGTGGCAACCATGTATTTTAAGTCCGGTGCTGATAAGGTCAGCATCGGCTCCGACGCAGTTATTGCAGCTGAGCAGTATTACGAAGAAGGAGAAAAGCTGAGCGGTCAAACGGCCATAGAAGCGATATCAAAAGCCTATGGAAAGCAAGCTGTTGTCGTGAGCGTTGATCCTAAACGCGTATACGTGAGCAGCCCAGACGCCACCAAGCACCATACAATCAGGACCATGTATCCAGATGCTACAGGCCATAACTATTGCTGGTACCAGTGCACCATCAAAGGCGGTAGGGAAAGCCGTGACTTAGATGTTCGACAGTTGGTGAAAGCTGTTGAGGCAATGGGCGCTGGAGAGATTCTCCTCAATTGCATTGACAAAGATGGAAGCAACAGCGGATTTGACTTGGAGCTTATTAATGATGTTAAAGATGCCATTAAAATACCTGTCATCGCCTCGAGTGGTGCCGGAATTCCTGCTCATTTCGCTCAGGTTTTCCAGCAGACGTCTACTGATGCGGCTCTGGGAGCTGGAATGGTAAGCATACCAACCAAAATTTCTACAAACAATGCTGACAGAACAACAGTTCCATCGTGGCGAGTATACAGTGACTGAAGTCAAAGACTATCTCAAAGAAGAGGGGTTTTCTGTTCGCGTATTTGAACCTGACGTCTGAGCATCACTAGGCATTATGGCATGTATATTACTAGTCTATTTTTTGCGCAAGATATCAATATATCTATTAGGGTAAATCCTTGAATTCGATATTCAATATTTGATAGGATGATCATAGGTTGGAAGAGGGTAGCAATAATAACACTTGAAGATCTCCATGCGGAGTACGCTGTAATTAACTAACTTAACTAGTTACTTCGTGAATAAGGCTGACATATCAAAGGCGGTTAAGAAAGCGGTAGTCAACAGAATTGATCATGTGATATAGTTTGAATCGCCACCGGTGTAACATTCTACTTCCTTTCTCACTTCGGTCTGTCAATCTTCTTTTTAATCTTGCGGCTTCCGCTGGATTTTCAGTACCAGATACAGGTATCTGGATATCGTGTTACATGATACTTCTTCTTACAGCCTCTTCTTCCCACCGGTATCATTCTTTATTTCTGCTCATATAACCTTTTATCCGGTTTCCCTTGCCCATATCTGGTCTTCGCGCTAATCAAACGGACTCTGAGCTGGATAGATTATTACCGTTTTCCCTCATTCTCACCTACAGAATATCCACGCCTACATATCCTTGTAGGGGATCGATTGCTACTAGTTTTCTTTCCCCTTCCGGAAGAGTTTCCCACTTCTCTTTTTCTTTTCTCCGTCAATACGGGTTAGACTTTCAGGCCTGGGAAAGAAGTTCTGTTTCTACATTTGGTAAACTGGGAAGACTTTTAAAATTCTTCTTAAGCTCACCTCTGATATATGATACATTTGTCGGGTTTTGTACTCAACAAATTTCGTTTTTACTTGTATCCACCAGTTTGAGCACTTACCACTCAGCATTGAAGAAAGAAGTTCTCTTCCTCCCCCCTTCTCCCCCCTTTCTCTCTGTGTGTGTCTGTCTGTATGTGTGTGTGTGTGTGTGTGTGTGTCGGTTTACCGGTTTTCAATTTACTCCCAGTTTTGTCCAATTTCATGGATTGAAATAAATAGATACACAACTGTCGTCTGAAAATCCTTGTTGAAATATCCACAAAGCCACTGTCAGCAGATCGTGCTTATTTGGACCAATAGTCATTGTCGACAGCAATTTGTCACTGTTATCATCTGCTCTCATTTCGTGTTTTGTTTTTGCATGTACTTGCTGTGCAGAGCCCCTAAATCTTTGTCTAATTACATCCACTACTTTTGTTGGGCTTGCAATTGAATACAATGTCATCCTCCGTTCACTTCAAGTTCAAGTCCCAAAAAGAGCCCTCGAGGGTAACTTTTGATGGTACCGGTATCTCAGTCTTCGAACTGAAACGTGAAATCATCAATCAGAGTAGATTGGGCGACGGTACTGATTTCGAACTGTCAATCTACAATGAAGATACTGGAGAGGGTAAGTTGAATGCGGTCCACTCCCAATAGATTACCTGCCTAATAAGCATTACAGAATATGATGATGACACGACCATTATTCCCCGCTCTACGTCTGTTATAGCCCGAAGGTTGCCTGCAGCAAGACCCGGAAAAGGGGGTGCTTCACGTTATGTGTCTGGGAAAATGCCAGTCAATGCACGCAACACTTCCCGTAACGATCAACCTTCGTCAATGCGAATTGTTCCTGCTAGCCATACCGTCAGCAACAGTGTCTTAGAACTCAATAATGCCCAGACTGAAGATGAGAAGATAAATGCGCTTTTCAACCTACAGGCCAACCAGTGGAAAGAACAGCAGCAGGAAATGGCTAAGTGAGCGGGACCCAACTCTACATAATAAATAAATGGTGTACTGATACATATTCATAGTGCTACTCCTGTGCCCTTTGGTCGTGGGAAAGGAAAACCTCTTAATGTTCCAGATCATCCACCGCCTCCTGGGTATCTTTGTTATCGTTGCCGCGAAAAGGGTATGTTTTCTTGGAAAGAAATGTGTATATATAATTTTGCTGACTCATGTCCATAGGCCATTGGATTCAAGCATGCCCAACGAACAATGATCCCAAATTTGATGGCAGATATCGAGTGAAGCGGTCTACTGGTATTCCCCGTTCGCTTCAAACCAAGGTTGAGAAGCCAGAATCTTTGGCACTAGATGGCTCAAATGAGGATTTGAGAAACACAGGCGTCATGGTCAATGCTGATGGCGATTTTGTCATTGCTAAGCCAGATAAGGCGGCTTGGGAACTATACCAGGAGAAGGCCAAGGCATCTGCTGCTGCTGCTGCAGAAGCAGCAGCAGCCGAATACAGCAAGCAATTGCAGGCACATGGTCTAGAGTGCCCAATCGACAAACGTATGTTCTTAGAACCCACGAAGACACCATGCTGTCAGAGGACATACTGCAATGATTGTATCACAAATGCATTGATTGAAAGTGACTTCGTCTGTCCGGGTTGTGGAACTGAAGGGGTCTTGCTTGACAACCTTTCCGTCGACGATGTAGCTATCGATAAGATCAAAAAGTACGAAGCCGACAAAGTGGACGAGAGGAAAGAGAAGGAAAAGCATTTAGGTCAGGATAGTCAATCTTTCGTCAAGGATACTGGGGCAGATAGTACAGCCTCACCGATACAATCAGAGCTACAATCACCTACTTCAGCCAGTCGACCTACGCAAATACATCCCAAGAAACGGCCTGCAGAAGATGACCATGCGACCATGGAAACTGGCGATTCGAACTCCACTTCCTCAATGAAGAAGCAGAAGCCAGATAGCAGTTCGACCCCTGTGGGCCGGTCAAGTGTGCAAGTTCCAGACACAAAAACTACTTTCCCCCCGCCTTCTGTCAATCAACAAGTGCCATTTTGCAGTCTCGGACTTCCGCAGCCCCCAAACACGTCAGCTATGTCCTTCCCCGATTCTGGATTTGTGAATGAAGGGATAGGGTTTTTGAATCCTATGATGTTCCCAGCAGGTGGATTTCAAAATAATATCGATCCTATGTGGGCTCAAATGAATGCAATGAACTTCAATCCTCAACAGGATGGAGCGTATGGTGGCAGTGTCAATGGTAGTATGTCTCATGGCTATCAGGCAATGAACATGTATGGCAATGTTGGCAATTTTCCGATGCAAATGTTCCCTATGGGTCAAATGGCGAGTTCAATGCATCAAAGCCCCAATTTTCAAGGAACAGGAAGAGGCCATTTCTCAAACCAGCAACGGACTACGTTTAGCACACCTTATGCTAGGGAAGAGGATACGGCGTATTTTCGCCAACCTGTAAACCCACAACGACACCAAGCAAGACATCGGAGAATTCGACCAAGTGACTATCGGGAGCTATGAACCCCCTTGAGACACATTTGAATACCCGGAAGCCCTGCTCTAATGGCTATCGAGGCCGGTGGAGTTCAAGCAGGATTGAGAAACAAGTGAGACTTTTCCGACTTTCAGTCGAAGTTCCGTGATCCAATACCCCTGGGTAGGTCCGCGTCTGTTTAAAATTAGAGGTTGCTTTAAGTACCCTGGGACACACCGGTCAGATGCGGAATGGACACTTGAATCTCTTAATACTGAGAAAATCTGATCCGTCATCTAGTCTATCATGTACATATATTATGACGGTGGATACTTTTTTCCGGGCCTATTCGGCCTTACCCATTTTCTTTCTGTTTATCTGTACTCCGTGTTCTGTACATGATTGGGCAACATTCATCAAATTTTTATTTTACGTTGATACTTCTTTCCAGACCTGCTGATGACATACTTAATCTTAAGCATGCGTGACTTTTGGCGTAAAATTGGAGCTTCCACCATTAAGAAAGAGAGTACTGCTACCACCGACGTACATGACAATGCAGAATAATAATACTATGGTGCCCTAGAGTTGCAACTAATGGAGGTATATCGTTGGTTGGTTACTAGCTAGAAAGGCCTACGTAGTGGAAAGGGTCAGCGAGGGCGGACCTATGAGGCAGAATCCCACGTGATCCAACTGCAACTTGCCAAAGCTTCAGGTAACTAATAATACACTGTCAATAACATAACTAGTTAATCCACCACGAGTCGTGCCAAATTCCGCGAATTCTCCATCCTTACTATATGGCTTTCTCAATCAATTTTCTACCATTTTAAAACATGGAAGGTCTATCTAAAGAACGTTGAATTCCTGGCACTATATGCCTATAAAAAAAGGTCAATTTAAAACCAAAAAAGCAGCAGCCTTGGCCTTTGATATCCCTGAAACCACCCTTGGATACTGAATAAGGGGAGCAGCTCCATGGTCTAAAAAGTGATTAAAGGTGCTGAGATAAATATGCAGAATGCAGTCCTATTAGCTTCAATTTGAGAATTAATATAGAAAGAGAAGGCAAAAGAGAACCAAATACTTCATTCAAAATGGGAGTTTAACTGTTGTTGAAGGTAAAGAGAGGATTAAAGAGGAAAGGATTCTTTAAGAAGATTGGCAACCTAGGCTGCGTCAGCTACCAACATATAGTAATTATAATATATTAGGATACACTAGGGTCCAGTATCCTAGTAAATAGATCTAGACTATTTTTCAATGAAAGATATGCTTATTTTGTAGTAGTACAAAGCACCAAGTTCATGGAATACGGCGCGACTCGGTAACTAGTGGATTACGTTATCGGCATTACGCTGTACTTTATAATAACAGACTCCTCACGGAGCCTGCGGGTGTCTTTACAGTATACTTTGTAATCATTGCAATCTTCTCTACACCGATTACTAGGGCGAATTTCTCCCACAGAATTTCCAACATACCCTTGCATTTTGGCTATCTCTGTTACACCCATCGAGTTTAGCAGAATCACCGACACTATGGCGAAATACCTTGACAGTCACAGTAGTAGTCACAACAGTCGCAACCACCTGCAACGGCTGCTTGACCGGCATCCCCAGACCAGCATTACGGCAAGCTGCTACAGCGTTGATTCATCATCTACTACTGTTGCTGGCTTTCATTACTGTACTACGATGGGGGCCGGTAAGAACCTCTCGTATTTGTTTCTAGGCTGGTGCCTTGGTAGCTAGTACCTCACTAACACGAACTTCTTGGTGTTGCAGGAGCACAGTGGTATCCCTGAGGTCCCCTCGGGGTCAAAGTCTAGTATAAGCCCTCCCCTCGACCATCCGGTCGCGGAACGCATCTGGCCGGATGATGATTGGTCGGAATATGATGGGGAGGCGGCGTATACCATCACGGGAGAGTGTGAGAGGCTCTTCTGCGACTTACTGTCTGCAAAATTTCTTGGTGAGAAGGGTGTTGCACGGCAGGGCTCGCTTGTGATGGATGCGTATCAAGCATCACGGCCAAATTATACCAGAGAAGACTACAAGCAGATCCAGAAATGGATTGAAGTATGGAATTATCCAAGCGATTCTATTTATCGAGGATTCGTGGCGGATATGCATAACGAGCGGACGCTATTTGTATTCTTCAACGAAGATGTGATGACTCATGGTCTAAAATCCGGGTAGGTGCTTACTCCGAGGGCACAGTGTCTCATAGATTGGCTTGGTTTCTCTCCGTAATGCTTACTGACACGATGACTGACAGATTGATCGCCCTATTCGAACTGGCTAGTACACCCGCATTCTGTTGTTCTCAAATGATTGCGTGTGTTCGCCGTTTACAGGATGGTACCGAAATGGAGGTTGTGAGGAGTCTGGGATGGTGTGGTTTTAGTTTGACAACATTGGCAGTTGGGAACCCTCGTGCCAGTCGAGATGTCTCTTTGAGCAGCAAATGGCTTTTCCTGAGCGCTGAGATCTGACCGTCCTTCGCGGTGCTTCCGGTGTTTCTCCATGACTAACCTTAGATGCCCCAGGTGAATGAGCCAACCACAAATGGAGTGGGTTTACAGGATTATAACTACAGTTGTATCAGTTGGGCAAGGATAGTACTTATTATGCAGTTGGCAGCTCCAGGACACAAATTTGGTTGGCCGGGTTACGAAGCCTAGGGACATTTCAGTGTAATCGACAATAATCGGAGTTACTGGGTACATGGAGGTCCATTTCAGTTTTGTTTTATCCTAAATAGATATTTATTGTATAATGGCACCCTTCCGTACATGTTTTATGGTGCCAAACTTTGCAGGTGCTCGGCATGAATATTACCTGCCAACTGTGAACACAACCTGTTAGGACTCCCCAAGTTGAAACTTGATATTCTTGTAAGTCTCAAAATCAATGAACGAAAAAATGGAGACATGTACTGGTGGCTTTCCGCATATATGATACGAGTTCAGGATATTCCACAGCAATGGGCAATGGCTAGATATCTAGGTGCCGGAACCAGCTTGACTAGGTCAGGCTAGGGCGGTCTAACTGGGCATAAACCACGTGACCCAACACCACACTGTTGGATCACGTGGGATTCTGCCGCATAGGTCCGCCCTCGCTGACCCTTTTCACCACGTAGCTAGTAACCAACCAAGGATACACCTCCATTACACTCACGAGCCGGCCTGGTAGTGCCTATTCTAATTTACATAGTAAGTATCACTAGACTTCGGTGCTTTTCACAGATAGGAAAAATGCTGAAATCGCTTTGGCAAAAACCATCCTCTGTCAGCCAATCAAAAGCTTTGAAACAGAATTTGCCGGTTTCCCAATATGTAATTACTCCTTTATGCCGATCAGCTTGAGGAAGGTATTGAAACCATCAATTCTGAGAGGTTTTGCCAGGTCGTTTGCAGCCATGTCATTGGTATGGTATGATTTCATCTCGATGACACCTTCTTGGGCCTTTTTCACGCACGTAACGGTAACGGATGTCGATGTGCTTTGAGCGTTTTGTCGTGAGGTCAGAGGTAGCCGTCTGTAAGGCACCCTGATTATCCATTAGCAACGATATGGGCGGATATGGCACTTCATTGTCGTTTTCATGTGTGGGTTGCATATCTACCATCTAAGGGGCAGATTTGGTGGATTTTGTAGTGTTTTTACCCCAAATAGGGCTTAAGCATCCCAAACACTGAAACAAGATGCAGAGTGGAATTTGTTTTCAATCCCTTCCAAATGATCTATGATTGTACCTCTCTTCCTAGGGGCAGGTTGGTGTTTTGCACCCAGAGAAGGGCTTGTGTATGTATGCTCTTCATATCTCCCGTTTTGGGTTCAGATTGATTGAGCTGGTTGGTTGTCCTTGGATCCTGAGTGGTGTTGGCACTACAATCCTCCAGGGGCTTATTGGTATGCCATGGGTTTAGGACATTTTTCTGCTGGTTTATATTGATTCACGATATTGAAGGGATTTGCTTCAGGGTCGCTTTGGGACTGCTCCAGCTGGCCATGACTCTTATGAATTTTTAGTGGCCAATGGAGGTGCCAGTTCATTTCTGTGTTTTCAGCGAGAATCAGTTCGAGGGGTTCATAAAATATCCACCTCTCATTACCGACAACTTGCTCATTTCGGATCGTCATTTGCTGGGATGTTGAAGCAAGCTCACGGATCCGCTTTTTCCCAGCTTCGGTGATCTCGGCGTCCAAAGAGACTAGGAAAATGGCCTCGGTATTGCCATTTTTGGCGGCTGGCTAACCGTGTCATCACTAAAGGTAGTTAACTAGTGATGATTTGTACACAATTAAACTACTCCCTAATTATCTAAGATCTTCATATTTAGCTTAAGTTACTGATAATTATATTGCTGGGAATATCTCATTGCGGAGTTCAGCTCCCTAAGTGCTAAGTACACGTGATCTTTTGTGGCCTGAGGCTTCTGCGTTTGCGGCTTTACATCTGGGCATGACCAAAGCGCGTGAGGTGGCCGGCCCACTGACCGATTACGTTAACTAGTTAGTTAACTAGAGGCTCACCATTTTTCCCCTTCACTCTCTAATTCTCTTTTCTATCCCTTTGTACGCGGTGGCCCATAGTATTGTTGATGATATAATAAAATAAACCGCCATTGAAATTGATCTCTATGTGTCTGTTACAGGCATGAATGGCAGTAACGTGAACTATGGTGGCAAATAGCTCAAAGACATATCAGGATAATATTCCCAGATTGCTTTAGCTATCTGCCCAGTATCATTCTCTTGACATTCATGCAAAGGGTAGGCTCTTCAAAGGTAGATGAGACCATTAAAAGGCTGAGCTTCTAATTAGTCTTGAGTATTAAAAGGTGAGGGAACAGATATCTTACAGGAAAAAATTGCCTAAGACGCACGCCGGCTGCTTCCAAAATGGCAGCACTCTAGATCCTAGTTAGCTTTATCTCAAGGAAAGGGCAAAGGGGTCACACATCTCGGTCCATATTATAGCTTTGTGAGTATACAACCTCGGAAATTCCAACCTGTGCAATCTTGACGGTGCATGTCAAGCAAGGACACCTATAGTACATGTTAATCTGATGAGCAATTGGCTAAAGCATGCATAGAGCCTTACGTATTGCAGTAAAGAATAGCGCCTTCTCGTATGCGCTCCCTTCCAGCCTCTAATAACGCATTTTCTTCTGCATGAATGCATAGGCAAGTCGACAATCCAACGCCTCCTCCTTCGCCCCTGTTGCATCTCGAGCCTGCCGTATAGTCAGGGACAGAGAAAGTTCATTAAGACATATATATACATACATCCGCCTTCGTTGCAGTTCCTGAGATGTCGTGGGGTCCCATTGTACCCAGTACTGATAACGCGGTGTTCCCGGACGAGAACACAGCCCACTCTTCGTTTCATGCAATTGCTCCTCTGCGCAGCGAGAGATGCCAGCTGCATGAAATATTGATCCCAATTCGGTCGTAACCGCTGCTCATCAGCTAGGTTGAGGGAATCCAGTGAAGTATGCAATTCCTGCAAAGAAGATGATGAATTAAACAATCTGACATGGGCTCTATCAGTCAAATAGGCGCGTCCAACGTCTCTATCGTATAGATGTCGATCATTCCAGAGTACAAATTTCTCAAGGTCCGGGGGGTCAAGTTGTCTTCTCCAGCATCTGTAGTGAAGTTAATTACCCACCCCGAGATGTAAAGTTTGAAGGGTAAAATCTATTGTACTTACCTATCAGAGAACCTCTTCCATCGAAGACTAACTGGCGCATCAACGCTTACAAGAAGAAAGAAGGGCCGCTGGAGTAGACGATCGGAAGTGTTAGCATCCCAAATGTCCGTTGTAACCCAACGTTCGCGCCATCTTTTTGTCACAAATTCTATGAGTGAGTCGATATTTTCAAAAACGAACTCGGGGGATTGGACACGTCTGATTTCAGAAGCTTGTAGCCGTAGATCATCATCAGGCTCATCGGCTACCCGTGGGTAGTTGTTGTCGTTTAATTTCAATAGCTGGAAATTTTGATGCTGGATCAAATATTCCGCAATGGCATGTTTGCCAGCACAGATGCCTTTATTTACACCACATTGGTCAACACATGCAAATACCTTCCTAGGAGCTCAATGGGACTTCTCTGCTAACCTCCGCACAACCCTATCAACATTTATGCTAGATGGGTACAAAGGAGACGAAACAGCGGGTGTATGATAAAGGAAGGAATCAAGAAAAGACAAGATAATGACAAATGGAAGTATAGCATTCAGGTGAAAAATGAAATGCAACTACACAGCAGGGCGTAGTATACTGTATTGGAGAGCTGAGATATGTGCTATCTAACCATGGCAATATCTGGCGATTCTGTTTGAATTTAGTAATAATGGTAAGAGAATAATAAACAGTAACCATAAGGACTCAAAAATATATATATTATTGTCATTACTGTTATTATTACAGAATTTTATTATCTTCTTTGGGCAGCTGTTTTACATAGTCGTCCCACATTGGGCATTGGCCTAGCCCTATTATGCACCGCCTTCCTGAACTGGATTAAGACGGGTAGGGTTCTAGCTCGGCCTGGAAAATTTCCACTAAAATCTCTAGCCCATCAACAGCTAATTAGCATACATGATCTTCCTTTCTTCTCCATGTTTGATCTTCTCATCAAATAACTGCCTAGATAGCTGAATAGCATTCTCTATTAATTTTAGAATTGAGCTCCGTGACACTATGCCAACCAATGCCATACAAGGAAGAAAATCAGATGATCTATACAAATAGGAGGCGTCTTAGTGTAAAGGATGCTAATAGCTGTGTTGAAGTTAATGCATTGGAGAAAATGCGAAAAGATGCCGACGGCTTCATTCAACGAGACCAGAAGATATTGGAAAAGGAAAAGGAGTGATTAAGCAACCAACCACCATTAAATATTGGTGCAGGTCAGGATATAGCATCTTTGGCCCTAGGTGAGGATGGCCAACTGCCTTTTTTTCTTTTTTTAGTAGATATTACTGGTTGTTAGGGTGTAATTAGTATGTTGAACTTGGAACCGCGTTTAATTTGGGTGCACCTACAAGAAACACAGGTAGGGACCATGTAGGTAGGCGGTGTGGGCACAATTATAAGCACATGATAGTGATAACATTCCCCTTATGTATTGTATATGTGGAACTACCCATTAACCTGCCCCACTATCCTTGATAACTTATCATGGTTGCCATTCACTTTCTCATGATCAGTTAACATATATCATACACCTCAACTTACTTTATTAGAGGTATTCTTAAGTGCCCCCAAAGACTGGATTTGATACCCCCTATCTTCCTTTGAAATAACCGTAACATTCAGATACCCAGCAAAGCAACGAAATAATAGGGATTCGTTTCAAGGATGCAGTACACACCATTTGCATCAGATATAGAACTTCCATTCTACACTGCCCTGAGTTCACTCAAAATCAACCATGACAGGCTAAATGACTCCGCTCGCAACATGCTGGGTCTCTATGAGATTCGCCCTACTGATCCTCCTAGCACATCATGTCGAATGCAAATTCATGGCAATGCTCTCACCAGTGATGAGTTAGTATATTCCTATTTTCTCAGCCGCACTATGTGCGATCTTTTTTCTCTGACGCTTGAGAGAATGATGTTTGCTCATGGTGACCATTTCCAGAGTACCAGCAGGCTATTATCGGGCTGAAGGAATTAGCAAGAACTTTAACACTATTGAGGAATATCAAACAGCTGATAAAGCTTTAATTCTCCAACAAGCTGGTAGAAAGGTAGGCTTGCAGGGTAAACCAGGTTCAAAAATTAGCGCTAACCTCATGTCTCTTTAGATTTGGGATGCCATAGCCGACGGCACTATATATGATCGTCCTTCTCTATTATCATCCTTTATTGTTATCTCATTTGCCGATCTTAAAAAATACAAATTCCACTATTGGTTTGCATTTCCTGCAATTCACTCAGACCCTTCGTGGGTCCCGTCTAAAATAAATAGCGATGGAATTCCTGTGTCCGATCAAATGAGGGATATCAGTTCGCGAAGTGCGCACAATCTGACGCAGCTGGATTACGCTGAGCTTGTGGACGCGGTTCAAACCTGGAGTTCTGGAGTGGATTCCCACCAGCGAGGGTTTTTCTTGGCCCGGAGGGTCTGGGATAACGCTGAACGAGTCGATCCAGTCCATGAAATCCCATCCAAGGCCCATGGCTATTACCCGACGAGTCCACATGGCGCAACTAAGTTTTCGTGGAGAATAGCAGCGCTTGGAAGCTATGAGCATGGGTTCTTCGATGAAGCGAGGTTTGAAGACTGCTATCTCTGTTTTGCAGATCCTTCGAATTACACCAGTGCTCCTGGCTGGATGCTAAGGAATCTATTGGTGCTCGTGAAGCAACGTTGGAAGCTCGATAAGATTCAAGTTATATTTTATCGCGATGTGCGCTCAAAGAGTGGTCCAAGTCGCAGTATTGTTATTACCCTGGAGTTAAAATCCCCCCAGGGAGCCGCAAAGACCAGCGAGACTCATAAACTAATGCCCAAAGTAACTGGTTGGGAACGCAGCCCAACTGGGAAACTATCGGGTAGAATAGTTGATCTGACGGAATATATGGACCCTAGGAGGTATGTCCGTATGATAGCAGGTACGCTTACTGTTTATACACTAACTCGATGCTACAATTCTAGATTGGCCGATCAATCCGTTGATCTTAACCTCAAACTTATGAAATGGCGAATTAGTCCGAGTTTGAATCTCGAGAAGATCAAACACACCAAGTGCCTCCTACTTGGAGCTGGCACACTTGGGAGCTACGTTGCTCGAAACCTGCTTGTAAGCATACCTAACTTGAGGTCATGGCTGCTAGGGAAGCTGACACGCTCATTAGGGCTGGGGAGTGACAAAAATTACATTTGTCGACAATGGCTCGGTTTCATTCTCTAATCCTGTCAGACAGCCGCTTTTCAGATTTATGGATTGTCTAGAGGGTGGAGCGAGAAAAGCATATCGTGCTTCTCAAGCCTTGTCAGAAATATATCCTGGAGTCGATTCTGCTGGGCACGTTCTTTCCGTTCCAATGGCGGGCCATCCAATAACAGACAATGAGAAATCTCGGGCTGATTTCGAGGCACTTGAAAAATTAGTGCATGAACACGATGCTATTTTCCTTTTAATGGATACACGCGAGTCACGATGGTTACCAACAGTCATGGGGAAGGCAGCAGGCAAAATTGTTATGAATGCGGCACTGGGGTTTGATTCGTTCGTAGTCATGCGCCATGGAGTCAAAAGGGACTTGGATCCAGAATCAGAGCTCGGTTGCTACTTCTGCAACGATGTTGTCGCGCCAGCAAATGTGTGTCATTCCTTCTTTTTGAAGACCAACTGTATCTCCAGCTGATAACGATGTAGTCTGTCAAAGACCTGACGCTTGATCAACAATGTACCGTTACACGCCCCGGTGTAGCTGCCATAGCATCAGCATTGTTGGTTGAGCTATTTGTGTCACTCCTCCAACATCCTGAGGGCGCTGCAGCTCCGGCCCCGGCTTCACGGAATGAAGATCGAGGGGACCATCCCCTTGGGCTTGTGCCACACCAGATCAGAGGATTCCTTCCCACTTTTGAGAATATCACCATCATCGGCAGAAGCTATCAACACTGCAGCGCATGCTCGGATGCCGTCACCAATGCATACAGGAAAGACCGCTGGGACTTCGTACAGAGGGCCTTAAACGAATCAGGATACGTGGAGGAACTGAGCGGCCTGAAGGAGGTATGATGTGACGTATTACCATCCTTTTCACAGATGCTGACACCATCATTAGGTTCAATTGGCAGCTGAAGCAACGGCAGCCGATGTCGAATGGGATGAAAGCTCTGTAGACGAGGAAGAGGAGATAATCTAGGACGCTTCATTCCTTAATATACGTCGTCGTGTCTTTACCCACCATCTGCGACTTTCCCTTACCGCTTTAGTACTCGGCCTTCGCGACTCTTTGCTGTTGAGTCGGTTTGCGCCGTGGTAGCCCGCTGTTCATTTCATAACATGGACTCGGCTAGTCTTATCCGGTTCTTTGCACCGTTGACCAACTGCTATCATTCTATATCCCACCTTTCCTAATGAACAAGTTCTATGAAATATGCCTAAGTGTATGTTCACCACTGGCGAAGCCTGATGACGGGTCTAGTCTGTCTATTGCTGATAAAGTTGTTCGGATATCTGTTAGCGTTTTCTATGGTAAATTTATAGAAGGATTACGGTAGATATTGGGTGAGCCGGTTGTTCAATTCTAAATATCTTTCCGGGACCATGTGAAGTTGGAAGAATAGCTCCCTTCTAGATCCTCGCGTTAATATAGTAGTAAGCTGGGTTGGCCTACTAGGCCCCTGACATGTAGTCTATAGCGTAATCTAGCTTCATCATTCTGCTGATCTGAACTTTTCAAATTCAACTATGCCAATTTGATTACTATTGCCCGCCGTGCTCCTTAAGTGCTTACCAGTAACCCAACCCCACACGTCGATGCCTATTATACTTGTCTCTTTGTCCAGCACTCCCTAGTAAGGATTTCCTGCTTCGCTCACCTACTGCCAAACGCCATGTATATAACTTCTTAGTAGGTTAAATCCATACTTATTAAGGAGAGGAGAGAGAGCATGCATGCATGCAAAGTCACTGAAAAACTCTTAGAACACAATTCATCATCATAATTGTCAGAGATGACTGAATACCACAAACTAGCCACGTGAAAACCTATTGAGTGATAGTCACAGGTGAGCAAATACAGTACTTTCAGGCACGTTTCGCTTTCGCCTGAGGCCGACAAAGTAAGCTTCCTTCGATTCCTGCAGGCTAGTCAGTTGACAGAAATCTTTGTGTTCGTGTGTCCCCCCGGCTTACACTGCGAGATGATTCCGGTTTCAGTCGATGGACCTTTTGAAACAGTTCATTGAGCTGTTTCTCGAATTTCTTATCCTCCACACCCTGATAGAACTTGCAAACAAAATGACCATTTTCCTTCAGGGTGTCAAACCCGAATTTTAATGCAGTGCGGCAGAGGTCCTTTCCCATTTGTTACTCAACTGTAATGTACGACAATGGGCCTTCTTGTGGCAAATCTGAGTACATACCATGCTTCCGATATGGTCCTTAAAACTTAAACCGCTCGTGTTCATCATCCTGCGATGGGGATCACTTAGACTTCTCTTCCAAAATCCAGTGGTTTGGACCCAGGGAGCAGACATATCGCTCAAAACCACATCCACCGTCCTCTCCAACTCTGGATCGCCTAAATGAGCTGGCTCAGAACCATCTTTCGTTGCTAAATTATTAATCCTGTGTAAATACTGCCGCCTCATCATGTCCCGCGTGTCGACGTCCCGCGTGTCGAGAACAGACGATGTCTTCTGGAAAAGTGGCCTTCCCCTCTTTGGGTCTCGGAGAAATTCTCGAACATATTTCTGAATCTCCGGTGACAGAAAGTTGCCCTGTATGGTAGACACGCCTTTCGGGGGTTGTGCCGGAATTATGTCAACACCAAGAACTCGTCCACCGGGCTGCGTGCGGGTCACTGCAACCTTCGGGGCCCAAGAGAGACCTGTTAGCGATATGTTGAGGGTATGAAGGCGCCAATATATACGTACCTGAGACCACGAGCCTGGAGCATATCCCTTTTCTTGAGTATTAGCATAAGACAATACCTCGATCGCTAGCTCATACCAGATCGACGACTGTTTGGCCACTTCTGAAGATATGGTGCTTCTCATCTATCTATGGCAAAATAGACCCATCAGAGCTTATATTCTAAATCAGCAAACGCCAGAGAGACTACCTGCAGCAACTTGAAGGCTGCTCTGCTCTTTAGGCCTTGTACAGCTGCCTCCCGGGAGAATCGGTCGTTTAATTGACGAGCTTGCCATCGTTTCGATGAGGATAACCTCTTGATGACGCATGGGTAAAGCCCGTGGATCCAATGAGTGCGCGTAAACAACTGTAATGGGGACAAGCTGCACATCATCCAGCTTGGGCTTTTCTCAGGTTGAAAGCATTATTATTATGTGCAGCGCCATGCATGCGTCCAGTGGGTACTTACAGGTTCTCGCTCTTTAGTACACCGTAACCGTAGCCCTTGGCAGAATCCGAGAATGTCACTCAGCCTCTCAAAAGTTCAAGGCGTAAAGAAACTACTAATAACTGGCTAAATCTGAATACTAAGTGGTGGAATGGTGGAATAAACCATAAATATCATGTAAATTCTTTTGGGGATGAGTATTATTGATTGCTGTTGGAAAATAACTGTAATTACAACTTCGAGTGAGTACCTAGGTAGATTCAGGTTGAGCCAATTTGGGGGGGGTACAGCCTATATCTTTTCTTCATGTTGAAAAAGGCCATTATAGTTCCTAGGGTGTTTTAATGCTGTCAAGGTCCTCATTCTGACAGCAGTCGTTTGCATGAGGCAATTCCCTTCATTCCTTGGCTAGTAACCCTCCCTTCTCCATTGCCATGATGGGAAAAGAATTTGTGTGCATGATGGCATATGGCTGGCCATTTCCCAAATGTTGGAAAGAAGGAAATTCTTGATAAAGAGATGGCGGTGCTTCCTGTTCAGTTATCTTGTGCAAATGACTGGAATCATACACAAAGTACTGTAGTCAGGCTTCGTGCCAATTGAAGCTCTCCAGCACACGCCATTCGCCATTCCGGCATAAGACAGTTTCCAAAAAGGATCCCGACTTTCTGCTCCCTGACAACATATCAAGCCCAGAGTCAGGTCATCGTGAGACTGAACTAAACCACTGTTGTGTTAATCTGATTGTAGTAGACATCTTGTGACAGCTGGTAACTGGGAGATGACTTCTATATTAAGAGTATCTTCAATCATACTACGAGCGCCTCTTGTCACGCTTTAGGGGGGAAAACCCCATTGAAATATCGAAGCCGTGGTTTTGGCGAAGACGATCGCCAGCAGAAGTCGACGACGATAGACCGCCGTGAATCGCCAACTTCTGCACTGGCTGTCTTGGTTCTGATAGGCCGTCATCGTCATCATCGAAAATATTCTTGTCGCGCTGAGCACCAAGTCTGCGCCTCTTCGGTTTGGCCGGGAGCTGGCTAGAGAATTTATTATGCAATGTGTTCGGACCCGTCAGTTGTTGCTCGCTGTCTATATTCCTAGATAATTCACTCGAAACCCCCTTCACTGATACCTCAGGGGATACCCTCCGATGCGAATCTGGAAACCGTTGCCCTCTATCCTGAGGGAGACTTTGCGCGGCCAACATTTTGTCCAATCGGCGCTCCTTATTTTTTGCTTCGAATGTGCCAACGCTTGTCGATGGGGTCCCAATATTATCATTTAGAATGACTGTATCCAGTTCATCCATTTCATCCGCTGAAGTCATTGGAGAATCCAAGTTTCGATTGGTTCGGTTCAGGAACGGAGTAATTGAAAAGTTCGACTTGTCGCCTGGAAGCGCTGACGACCTCTTCGTTTTCTCACGAACCTGAACAGCCCCAGGCGTTGCGATAGTCAAATCGGGATTAAAGTGATGAGCTGCTGCCCCTTGGAGAGGAATTTTATGAGTCCATGCAGCAGGGTCACGGCCCTCATCTTTCCTCTTGTGGCCCCGATGGCGTTGAAATTCATCCTTGGACTCTTGGAGTCGATCCTCGGTCGAACGTAACTTTTTCTCAAGAGACTCTAGCTGCGCTTCAAAACGCGCACGTTCAGTTTCCCAATCAAGGAGCTTATGCTCCATACTTTGCTGTTGCCTTTCCCTGGTCCTCGATTCTTCTACAAGCTCCTCTCGTGTCTTTTCAAGTTGCCCAGAAAGGGTTGTAATTTCTTCCGCTTGCCGTGATACTTTTGTTTGTGCGCGCTCATGTGCGTTCTTTTCATTCTCTAGCTGCGTTTCTGCTGACTTCAATCTTTTTTCCAAATCTTCCTGTCCGACAAGTAGCGCAGCACGGGAGGCGCTGTGCGTTTTCAGCTTCTCAAGCTCTTCCTGTGCAGTTGACAGGTCTTTCGCAAGACGAGCTTTCTCCTCAAATAATTTATTGTGTTCGAGAGAGTAATTGCCGCGCAGTGACGCGAGTTCTTTCTGTTTTTGCATTTAGAATTGCTGACTATCACAGCCATTGAATTAAGAGATCCAAGACCACCTACTTGAAGGCTTTCAATTTCATGTGATGAAGCTTGCACAATGGCCTGTAGAGCTTTTATTTCTTTGCGGGACTCATGAAGCTGATTCCATGCGTCGGAAGCTGCTGCCGTTTTGATGAATTCATTCGCTTGGTCCAATTGAAACTGCAACCCATCATTTTCAAACATGAGAAGTAATTTCTCCATGCACTGTATTCTGATTTTTTCGGAGTCTAGAAGATGAACTGTATGCCCAAGAGTATTCTCATATTCTTTCTCAAGATATGCTGTTTGAAATGATACCTCGTACTGAGCATGTCAACTTATGTTACAGCAATTGCAACGGAGGACTTACATCATAAAATGACCCCTGCTGAGGAGCCATGGTAACAACTAACCAACGAGAAGAATATACAGAGGACTTCCGTATGGTTGATTATTCAATAATATAGTAGCAGTTTCGGAGAAACTATCATACCGAGCTCTGGACACCTGTAAACTACCTGAGTACTTCGGTGTACTTGAAACGCAAGTACTTTCTTTTTGGTCAATGGCACAAGTCTTCATGCCAAAATGAAGCTCTTAATTCTGGCCGTTTCCATCCTCTATTTTGTGACTAGCTCACTCTCAGTGGTCCCTATCTCAGATAAGTTTGAAAGATTTCAGTCTCTCTCTCGCCTTGGACTGGTTGACCTGGACGATTCATCATATGAACACCTGACGTCCAAACCCCGAGATTACCATGCTGCGGTCATCCTGACGGCTACTGAAGCCCGATATGGATGCACTATTTGTCGTGATTTTCAGACGGAGTGGGAGCTCATTGCTCGGAGTTGGAACAAGGGTCCTAAGCCGGAAGGGCTCAAACTACTTTTTGGTACCCTGGATTTCAATAATGGAAGGGGTACCTTCCAGAAAGTGCGGATTGTCTTGAAGAAATAGAATTGGAACATTATGGTGCTAATCAAGATAAAGCTCATGCTTCAAACTGCACCAGTTGTCTTGCTGTTCCCTCCGACTGTCGGACCTTATGCTAGAATTGACAGCTCTCCCGCGAGATTTGACTTCAGCGGGTAAGTAGAATAGTCCTTTCAAGTCCCTGTGGAAATTTCTGTTATTAAATTGGATATGTAGTCCCATAACAGCCGACCAGCTTTACTCTTGGATTGATCGACACCTTCCCGAGGGCCCAAAACCTCAGCTTGTCCGGCCTGTGAATTATGTGCGACTCGTTTCCATTGTGACTATTTTTATGGGGGTATTCACCCTTTTCACGGTTTCTTCTCCATACATTCTTCCAATTCTCCAGAACCGAAATCTCTGGGCTGCCGTCAGTTTGATTGCAATTCTCCTTTTTACAAGTGGGCATATGTTCAATCATATCCGCAAGGTACCTTACGTTGCTGGTGACGGCCGGGGCGGTATCAATTACTTTGCAGGTGGCTTTTCTAATCAATTTGGAATGGAAACGCAAATAATTGCTGCAATTTGTAAGCAGACTATCCATGTTCCTTGAAGTCTATTCCATTTCTCAATGACTTAGCTGACTCCGAGAATTTCACGCGTCCTGTGAAGATGGTGTCCTTTCTTTTGCGACAATTGCTCTTGCGATGAAAGTGCCGCGGATGGCAGACATCAAAGCACAACAATTGGCAGTCGTCATATGGGGAGCCATCCTGCTTGGCATATACAGTTTTCTCCTGAGTATCTTCAGGATGAAAAATAGCGGATACCCCTTCTTCCTCCCTCCATTTTAGTTTGATTCTGCCTGCCAAGAATAACAGCTCGTGGTTTCTTTGGCAATATATAGGGCTCTGCGGCTGTTGTATTATTCACACGAGAAGACTAGTTAATGCAGAAGGTTAAAAGGGCTGAGTCTGTTGGTTGCCGCTGAACCGGCCTTAGAAAATTAACTCCGTCTACTCTGCAGTATGATACGGTACTGATTATTTGGAGGTTGGGAAACCCTCTCTATAAGTGTATAAAGCATTAGCACGCTGAATGATGCTCCCTCAACAACAGAATTAGTCCAAGGACTCGCAGGTATTCTCGCCTCCTCTATCGTCCAAATAATTAAGCAGAACTGAAGCATGTAGCAACCTTCTAAGCTGGTTGACGTGACCGTTTTTCCATTTTCCAAGAATCAGCAACGGAAATCAGTATCTAGGGCTTAGGGTTCAGATAGTTAGTGATAGCCTTCTCCAGTACGCGACCTGCTTATCAGGATTCAGGCTTCCTTTTATTTGGTTCCTTAAGAGTTTCTTGGTGATGGAACATTCCCCCTCGTGTCATTCAAAGTTCGTTCAGGCTTCATACCCCCTACTCCTTGATGGGATGTCTGACCGGTCGAGAATTTAGAAAGCATATCGCTCTACATCCACTTCTAATTCACCTTAGGTCAGCCGTCAGTCAAATCACTACTATAACAATCTCTGTCATGCGATACCCCAGCCCATTCGCTTGATGGTTTATCATAACTAGAGATCCGAGAAACATAAAACTGGGCAATATATACAAGGGCACATCTGAGCAGCCAAAATGGCGCGAGCAAGCCATGAAATCCCCGTTCCCAAATTGCTGGCATCTTCCGTAACTGGGACTACACTCCTAATCATGATTCAGCTGGCCTCACGGGTATTTACTTTTGCGACGAATCAATTAATCTTACGAGAGATATCACCCAAAACCTTAGGGATCGCCGCTCAGCTTGAACTGTATCTCGCCTCGGTACTATATTTCTCGAGGGAAAGCATAAGGACCGCAATTCAAAGGCAGCCTTCAGAGTCTTTCGCTACAGCTACAAAAAGAGAAGAATCCTCTGAGTATAACAAATCGAACTCTGTGCAGGCCCAATCTGGCACGTTGCAGTCAGTGGTCAACATTTCTTATCTGTGTCTCGGCATCGGTATCCCTCTAGCTTTGACATTCGCCTCGTTTTATTCTCATCTTGCTCCCAAAGAGGTTTCCGAACTGCCGTTTTTTCAGATTAGCCTAATTACCACCGGAATTGCATCAATCCTAGAGCTGGGTGTGGAACCTTTCTTTGCAGTGGTACAGCAGTGTATGCTATACAGAACACGGGCTGTTGTTGAAATGTCCGCTGCCTTCCTGAAAGCTCTTTCACTCTGTAGCATTTCTATCTGGGCTGCATGGGCTGGTTATGACCTTGGTGTTCTTCCGTTTGCTCTCAGTTACCTGAGTTATTCCCTCGCTCTTCTATGTGGCTATGCGATAACCATGTTGGACATGGCACGTAAAAATTATTTTTCGTTTCTTCTTACACCTATAAGGCCTAGGTATGTCGTGAAATCTTCAAAAGGGACAAATCTATTAATGTAGTAACAATGTGCAGTGGTGGCCCCAATTACGTGGCCGACAGGTTTTCTTTTCGATTGATGTCGCTCTCTGCAACCGTCTTCTTCCAGACGGTAGTGAAGCATATACTTACACAGGGAGATTCCTTGATGCTTGCCGCAATGTCAAGTTTAGAAGACCAAGGAATATACTCTCTTGCATCCAATTACGGAGGGCTTATCGCGCGCGTTTTCTTTCAGCCAATTGAGGAAAGCAGCCGGAATTTGTTTTCTACCGTTCTCGCATATAATGAAATCAACAATCAGAATGCAGATTGCATCAACATGGCCAAATCTCACCTGGTAGACGTTTTGCAGGCCTATGGGATATTATCTATAATTGTTTTCCCTCTAGGCCCAGTTATAGTGCCTCTGGCACTTCGTTTTTGGGGAACACATCGTTGGAATTCACCGAAGGTTGAGGGCTTGCTTTCATTGTACTGTTATTACGTGCCGTTTCTGGCATTCAACGGTATAGCCGAAGCCTTTGTTTCCTCCGCAGCAACGCCTTCGGAACTTCGGAGTCAAGCGGGTTGGATGGGAGGCTTTTCCGCGTGTTTTGCTTTAGCGGCCTACGTCTTTCTGAAACTAGGCGATTTAGGTGCTCAAGGACTTGTGCTGGCCAATATCGTGAACATGGGCGTTCGAATCCTATGGAGCTACTTCTTCATCAAATCATATTTCGGTCGACACAAGAACCACCTAGGTCTAGCTGATGTCAGCTTACACCTTTGCAGCTACCTGGCTGGAGTCGTAACAACTTCGGTCCTATCGTCTAAGAGAGTGTATGTTGCAACCAACCTGCACAGCACCATTGGGATATTCATTGCGGGAGTGGCTTATATTCTTCTAATGTGAGTTTACCAACACCTGCCAGTAGCGAGTTCTAATTGTGAATAGTCTATACTTCGAAAGGAGGTATATTACAAAACAATACAGCAACATTCGCCGTCTTTTCCATTCCAAGGTTGCGAGCCGAAAGGTGGAATGATGTGAAGGTCAGTCATCGAATATGATCTTTGTTGCCGACTTGCTGGTGTCAACATCCTTGAAGAATGCACCATAGACATCGTGTTGCTTCTTCTTAACAGTGGTCCCAAACTTAAGGAGGGCCTCTGGTACTTCTTGCTTTGCCTCCCTTAGGACATTGATAAGCCTGGGTGTCATTGTTAGTTCGGGTTCATTTGCCTTCTAATTGGATTAAGCCACACAGGAGGAAAGGATACTCACGCTCCTGACTGGGTCTTGTCGTTCTCTGTGAAGAATGTAGTGGCGCGGCCCTCTGCTCCAGCCCGTCCCGTTCTTCGGAAGTCAGCTACTTGAACTATGCATATAACAGTAATGCCAAACTTACCGGCCTATTCGATGAACATAATCTTCCACCGTCAGGGGAAATGTGACGTTGATAACTAATTTCACAGAAGGGATGTCAAGGCCACGCGCTGCGACATCAGTCGCAACAAGGATTGTAGCGGCCCCCGATTTGAACGCATTCAAGCTTTCGAATCTCTTTTGCTGATTCAAATCACCATGAATACCAGCAACTCTGAATCCTCGGCGTCTTATAAGATTCTCAATGCGTACAGCTTCCTTCTTGTACAAGCAGAACACTAGAATTTTGTCGACGGCTTCTCTTCGAGACTGGTCCAGCAGTTGCAAAAGCCGCGATTCTTTCTCCCTTGGACTAATCACCTCAACAATCTGCTTGATCCTCGTATTTGCTCTGGGGTCCGCAGATGGGTCACCACCAACAGTCACAGTGACTGGTGAAGTCATAAATTTTCCCGCAAGATCCCTCACTGTCGGCGGCCACGTTGCTGTAAACATAACCGTTTGACGACGAGATACGGGCATGGGGCGAATTATATCCTTAATATCTTGTTCAAATCCCTTGTCTAGCATACGATCCGCCTCATCTAAGACGAGATACTTGACTTTCCCTAACACTACTGAACCATCATTTTGAAGATCTTTCAGACGACCAGGAGTCGCAATAACAATGGCCGCAGTTCTTAGAGCCACTCGCTGCTCTTCTTTTTTCACTCCCCCGAAAATGCATGCCACATCAATGTCCACGGACTGTGCAAATTTCAGGACTTGGTCATATATTTGCATGGCAAGTTCTCTTGTGGGAGAGATTATCACAGCTGCAGGTCTGTAAGGTTTACTTTTCCTCTTGGAGTCCAATATTTTCTTTAGACATGGTAAGGTAAATGCAAGGGTCTTCCCGCTTCCAGTTTCTGCAATACCAATGACATCACGACCAGCGAACAAAAGTGGCCATGTCGCTGACTGAATTGGGGTCGGTGATTGAAATGAGGCCAAGGGAGCATAGAGGCTGTTGTTGCACGGGGACAATTGGTCGAACGAAATAATTGCACGCGGAATAGGTGTCCCCGGAAGTGAATCTGTAATCTTTATAGAATTCGTTGCAAGGAACTGGTCGGACTCTGATTGAGATACAGAGCTAAGGGCAGAACTAGCATCGGATGTATCTTTTTCAGACGCCCTCACCCCCAGATCCTCCTCATCGTTGGAATGCTTTGTGCGCTTATCAGGATTTGGTCGCTGATCAGCAGTCTCTTTGTCAGTGTGATTGCGTTTAGCCATAATGACACCTGGATTGGTTTGTAAATCTAGGAAGATATTGGCAGATATACGCCCCGGTATAACAAAAAGTAAGAGTATATAAGCAAAGTGAGGGGTTTCCCTTTGGAAATGTTTTTAAAGAAAAATCAATAAGTAGAAAAAGAAGAATGAAGACAATGACGAATCCCAATGTAAGTATCAAGCAGCGCTTGAAAGGAATGTGGGAATAGTAATAGCTTTTTTTTTTCCCTTGGCTGAATCTCAGCAAAGCGGAATTTCATATTTTCCAGGAGTCCTACAGACCCACTCGAGTTCGCGTTCACGCGTTCCCTTCTGACGCGACACCACGTTATCTCATCAGATATTGCTCCCGAGTGTACCTCAACATACCAGAAAATCACAGAAGTTACTTATCTTTCTCTTCTACAGTCTTCAGAATCATCAGGGTGCACATTGACTCTTTTCAGTTTTTTTATTTAATTTATTCTATTTTTTGGCAAGGATCAGGTGGTACATGATGGCTGCAGGAGTGGAGTCTCAGGTTTCTGTTGGGGCCCTCAGGTATTCTCACATATTGGCTCCTACACTACAGACGAAAGCACATGCTAATTCAGTTTGTCTATAGTGCTATATTTGATGACACGAAAACGCCTGTCCATGAGCCTGTTGTGCAGTGTGTCCAAGTCAAACCGCTACCGCCGCAACCAGGTCATCAAGAACGCTATCGAGCTGTCTTCAGTGACATTTCCAATTATGTCCAGACAATGCTTGCAACCCGTAAGTGAAAAGGCTATGGCCATCGCCAAAGTGAACTTGGAAGTTTGCCGACAGATAGGATGTTTACATTAGCAGAAGCAAACCACCTTGTGACGAGTGGATCGCTTCGAAAGGGATGTTTTGCTCGGCTTAAGTCTTTCCAAGCCAATTCAGTGAAAGGGAAAAAGTCCGTTGCATGAAATTTCGTGCCCGAATACTCGCTAACACCCACAGGATCCTAATAATCCTTGATCTCGAAGTACTCAGGGAACTGGGTGAATGTGAGAAGATCGGGGACCCAAAGCCACTGGAAAGCAGAAGTGAAGACGAAAGATCTCAACCAACTACTTTTTCAAGCAATGGCTTTTATGGCTCCAAACCGCAACCCTTGCAGGCAGATGCAAGTAGTCGAAGTCGAGCACAATCGATGCGGCCTACATCTACCTCGGCACATGCAACTATATATCCGATTGAAGCCATAACCCCGTACTCCCACAAATGGACAATCAAAGCTCGCTGTACGAACAAATCTAACATCAAAACCTGGCACAACAGAAATGGTGAAGGGAAACTATTTAGTGTCAACTTACTTGATGACAGCGGTGAGATCCGCGCTACTGGGTTCAATGAACAATGTGACGTGCTTTACGATCTCTTCCATGAGGGGAGTGTCTATTATATCTCAAGCCCCTGCCGTGTACAGATCGCCAAAAAACAATTTACTAATCTAAACAACGATTATGAACTCACATTTGAGAAGGATACAGTCGTTGAAATGGTTAGTAAAGCTTGGCTAATCTGGGACGCTTTAATTTCTGACAATGGTTCGGGGTAGGCTGAAGATCAGAATGACGTTCCACAAGTTCGGTTCAATTTCACTACTATTGGCGAGTTGCAATCTGTGGAGAAAGATACGACCATCGACGTCATAGGGATTCTGAAAGATATCGGTGACGCTTCTCAGGTCATCTCTAAGACAACAAATAAACCATATGACAAGCGAGAATTGACTTTAGTTGATGCCACCGGATTTTCTGTTCGGTTAACGGTTTGGGGCTCCACAGCAACAAATTTTTCTATCCTGCCTGAATCTGTTGTCGCTTTCAAGGGAGTCAAGGTCTCTGATTTCGGGGGAAGAAGCTTGAGTTTATTGAGCTCTGGTTCGATTACTGTGGATCCTGATATTGAGGAAGCACACAGACTCAAGGGCTGGTACGATGCTCAAGGCAGGACCGAGACTTTCACTTCTCATGCTGCCTTATCCAACGCAACTAGTTCCACTACTAGGACAGACCTTTTTAAAACCATCGCACAAGTACGCGAGGAGCAGTTAGGCATGTCTGAAGAAGCATCATTCTTCTCCCTAAAGGCCACTGTTATTTACATAAAACAGGATACTGTCAGCTATCCTGCCTGTCTTTCTGATGGGTGCAACAAGAAGGTGACCGAACTTGATCCGGGCCAATGGCGGTGTGAACGCTGCGACAAGACTTATTCACATCCTGAATATCGCTATATAATGCTTGTCAATGTCAGTGATCATACGGGCCAACTCTGGCTAAGCTGCTTCGATGAAGTAGGGAGACTAGTTATGGGCACAACCGCAAACGATCTAATGGAAATTCGGCAAAGCGACGAAAAGGCGGCCGATAGAATATTTCAGGATGCTAATTGCCAGGCGTGGAATTTCAGATGCAAAGCCAAAATAGATCATTTCGGTGATCAGCAACGGTAAGCTCAACCAACGTTCACTGCTGGATTACTATTTTACTTACATCTATCTGAGTTAGTGTTCGCTATCAGGTATTCTCGGCTAAGCCTATTAACTACTCGGAGGAAGCCCTGCGCCTCACTGAAGTAATTAATTCCTATACCGTGGGCTGAATATACAGTCCCTTCCACGGTGCTAATATCGGTGGTCCTCGTTTATTCTGTTCTTCATAACTTTATAGGGCATGTACTCTGCATGTCCTCGGGATTTAGATTCGAGATTCAGATAATGACCATGGTTCAAATTGAGTTTATTTCACCTATTCTGCATGTCTAGTCTGTAATAGTATTGCCATTTGTGTGACATGATGTAAGGAATGTAGCTGGATCACCTACGCTTCCCCACAAGGCCAAAAAGAGACCAACATTATCCGCGCTCAGTGGATAGGACCCTGCTTAAGTACGCCCTGGGGAATCCTGTATAGCGCTGCCACTATGAGGCCTGGCTGTACCGGCGTTTGAACATGAGCACCATTATTGTTATACAACATTGTACTTTGTACTCCATACTCTGGGCAGATCTGCCCAGGTGAAAACTAATTCCTATGCTGTAATCTCTAATTGCATGGTAATTGCTACACTATGGTGGTGCCCATATACATTGCTCAACTACAGCTGGTGCTGGTTCAGTAGGTTAAGCATTTTTTAAGCTTTTTGGACCTTATTGCTGTATAAGCTGTTAACTGTCTTTAACATATCCGGTAAGCAAGCGGCCACTGTAAACGAGCGGCCACCTCTGCTCCAATCCCACCTTTAGGTGAGATTCTAGGGTCTATATCAACAAAACAATTGCATTTCTATATAAAAACTAATTACTAGGTGGTTTAGGACATCTAACTCTAGTATATCCCTGAACATGACAATTAGAACACTGTGGGGGGGGCTTGTATGTATGGCCCAACTGTAGAAAGTGCTGGATCTATATGAAGTGCATCTTGAGCTTCATAGACCTTATTCTTGTGCTGAAATTGCTCTAGGCCTTCTTAAATAGCTGGCCCTTCTACAATAGCTAGCTGCCTATTAGATTACTTCTGCTTTTGGCCTTTTCATTTATTATTAGCATGAAATTTGCATACTTCTTCCTATATAATCATCTACTTATTTAGAGCTAATTTATAACTTTTAATAAGCTTATCTAAGTGTGTTTCTAATAAAGATAAAGGGCTTTAAACACATTTCTTAAGCAGTTTTCTTATTGCAGATGCCTGCTTTTCTAGCTATCTAGTAATATAGGGTGTTTTAAGTGCTGAATCTGTTGATTGACTGCCTGGTGATGTAGGAGTTTTTAGCTGAATATCTAACTGACTAAGCACCCTATCTAGATTAAATGAAACTAGGCCAACACCTGCAAAGTTATTTTGAATAGTTTCTGCTTAAAAAGTACTGTCATAAGTTTGTGGAAAGGCCTCTAGGAAATTAAATTTATTAATATGATTAATTCTTAAATATGCTTTCTGCTCCACTAAGCTCCTATATACCTTTTTTAAAGATAAAAAGCAGCCTATATCCAGAGGTTGAAGCTTATGGGAAGAATAAGTAGATATATAAATAGGAATAATATTATTTTCACTACATATTTAATCAAATTAAGGTATAAGATAGCTGCCATAGCCATTGAGAACTAGAAGACAGTATTTCTTAGTTATATAATTAGAAATAATAGAAATAAAGAGATTTTTAAGCTAGCAAAGGCTTATCTTATCAGTAATCTATCTATTAGGACTAACTTTAATCCTATTATTATATGAGAGCTTAAAATCTTGATACCAACCCTCTATATAGACCTTCCCCTTAAAGATAATACATGAGGGAAGTGCCCAATTAGTAGAGTTAATATATTCAATTAAAGTAATTTATTCATAATTGTCTAGCTGTACAAGAGAGGCCTTCTTATAATAATTAATTTTAGTAACTACTTATGCAGTAGTTACTAGACCCATAGTAAAGCTAGTCTTATTAAAATTATAAATATCCTCTTATATAATCTCATACTGTATTATAGTGATTTGTATATAATTAAACCACTCCCTAATAACTTTAGGATCTTCATATTTAGCATATCAATAATCATATCATTTTAAGAAGTGTGCTTTCAACTGATCTTATTAATTAATAAAGTTGTATACCCATTTCTCTCCAACAGGTTAAATTAGAGTAGTACCATACTGAGTAAGTAGAATATTGGCCATTTCTCATACATGTAAAGGTCAGGGAGGTACTCTATGTTGATCTAGTGAGAGAATCTATTGTATAAGTAATTCTCTTTATTTTAAGTCATCTTATAGTTGTTGACATATTTTTCTGCTTGAAAGATGTGGCTATTTACTCATTTTCAAAGTGTTGTACATAAAATATTATAAACACATGCTGCTTCTGCAATACTACAGATTTCTTACTTTTTTAAAACAGATATAACAAGTAAGACCCTTCCCTCCTGCTCTATTAAATCTTTTGAAATTTGATGTACTTTTGGAGGCATGGTTGGTGGTTGAAATGAGTGAGGTTTTTGACCACAGTCAAAACGCGGAGAGGTGGCCACTCGCTTACAGTGGCCGCTCGCTTACCGGATACGTTAGAGCTATATATAGGATGCTTATATAATAGGCTAGATTATATCTATATTGGATTTAGACGATATTTAAGATATAATTTAATATATTAGATAGCGTTTTATAACAACTAATATTTAATATATTATAATGTGAAATTAGGAACCAAAGTCACCATACTAAAAAAGAGAATTATGATAATGCTGAAAACTACATATAATTTAGTTAAAAGTACACCTATAAATACTTATATATGTGGACAGCATACCAGCAAGAACCCTAAATTTAAGAACAATAAGAAATTTCCTTGGCCTAAAATTCATTATAAACAGTTCTATTCAGATAATTCATAAAAAGAACCTAAAAAATTTGATAAAAAAGCTTAAAAAATAATTTAAATCTTAAATCAAGACCTTTAAAAGTACTTTAGCTATAATAAGATATATTAAATAATCAAACGTTAATATTGTTAGGTCACGTACGCAAGCATGTACATGTGAGTCAGCAATCTCGTATATCACGTGACTTGGTTAGCATACTTATAGCAGCACAGGGCTCCGAGACTTCGAGCGCCGGCATTGGTTCTCATACATTAGTTAAGACCCTTAAGGGCTGCGCCACGAGTTCCTGACCTTAGCACGCTACTCGCATAATCCCTAGACCCGCCACGCTCTGTAGCGCAGGTCTAGCAAATATAACAAACACTTTCAAAAGATTATAATACAATATTAAGGATATTATAGCTTAGGTATCACAACCTAATAATAAATTAATAAAGAATTTAATCTAATTTAAAAATTGCAACTGTGAGAAAAAGGATATATAGAGATAATATAGATCTCATATCCATCTATAAAAAAAGTATCACAAAGATAAACCTAAGTGGTAAAAAACAAGTTAAGAATAGTTATTTATCTATAGGTAAAAGACAGGTTTGTATTTTAGATAGCAAAAAAAACTAAAGAAAGATTGTTATAGTAAATAGGTATGGCAATATAATAATTATTAAGAAACTTATCTATAAAATATTTAAAAAATATGAGTAATAGCAAAATAGTATTAAGAACCTAACTAGACTAGCAGCAACAGAAAATTAGAGAAATTAATATATCTAGATTATTGTAAAGAATTTGAGGATATGTTTAATAATTATAGACAGCTAGCTAAATTATCCAAAAATAAATATAACGTAATTCCCTATCGACCCGGCCACCCTAGTCAACCTGATCACCTAGATGAAATACTGTATGATTTTACACCCAAATAGCAGCATAATTTGACGATATTTAATTGCTATATTAATTAGGGCATCTAACCCTTGTATGACCCTTAGTATTGTAATTTGAACATGTTAAAGGTGCCTGTTGGTGCAGCTGTACAGTTGAATCACTTGATTCTTCCATCCTACTAGCAGAAGCTTTATTTGCTTCATTATTTCTCTGTATAAGAGCTTGACCTTAATAGATAATCCTGATATAATATTTATTTAATTTTTAGATCACTTCTTCTTTTAGTTCCTTTTGATTCTATGGTGTTTTAGATAGGGAAATAGTGGAGGTAGTTGATCAGCTTCCTAGCAGTATAGGTGTATTTAATTAAATAGTGAATTGTCTAAGCATCTTTTTTAGATTAAATAAGATAATGCCAGTAGCTCTGAATCTGTTTTTAATAATATTTGACTGAAGGTCTGCATATAAGCTCCAGGGTAGATGCTTAGGAAATCAAGCTTATTAATGTGATTGAATCCTTGCCACTGCTTATCTTAAACTAGGCAATCATATACTCTTTTTAAAGGCCTAAAGCAGCTGATATCTAGAGGTTGACAATAAACTGATAAGTGTGCTGGCATACAGACAGGAATAATATTATTCTTATTATATATTTTATTAGATTCTGAGGTTAAATAACTGCTATGCCTATCTAGAATAAAAAGGCAGTATCACTCAGTCATACAATAAATTCTTTAAGGTATGAAAACTTTTTGAAGTCAATATAATCTAATCTGATTTATAATCTAGCTATTTTCACTAATTTTGATCCTCCAATCCTTTGGTATATTAGGATCCTCATACCAAGCTTGCATATAGATTTTTATTTTAAAAATGATACATAGCAGCAGCACCCATCCCATAATATTTATATATTTAATTAATGTGACCTATTTATGATTTCCTAGTTGAATAATTTAATATTTTCTATAATATTCAGCTTGTGTTACTACCTTTGCAGTAATAATAAGATCCATAATATATTTAATTTTATTAAAATTATAGATATCTTTATCTATAATCCCATATTTTATTCTGTGAAATTGAATATTATTAAAATAAGGTTTTATAATTTTTGAGTCCTTGCATTTAGCTCACTGATAAAAATATTATCTAAAATAAATGATTTTTAACTCAGGATGACAATTAATAAAGGTGGTTACCTAATTCTTGCCTAGCTAAATTTGGCTATCTTAACCTGTAAGAAGACTGCCTATCTCTTAAACTTAGGTAGGCTGAGAACTTACTCCACATAAATCTATAGATAATATCTATTATACAAGTAATTTCTCTTTCAATTCTGTCAATTTTGATCTGCTGTTGGGCTTATTATAGTGATATTGATGTCTTTGGAGTCTCTCTTGGAGGGTCAACCTAGGAATATTGTAGACTGATGCTGCTTTTTGTATAGATTGAATCTGATTTTTTTTTAAAGCTTGGATTG